ATATTAGCAACCTTTGACTATTTATATTTATATCAACAATTTCTTTTTGAGAATTAATATTAATTAATTTATTTATTCTTTAATTTTCTTTAAAATTTCTTAGAATTTCAGTAAATGATAATATTGAATTGCTTTTGTCCTACATATATCCTATTTCTTATTTAGTTTATATCAAAAATTTAGATTTTGATTTTTTTATTATTTTAATTCTTCCTTAATTTTTGAGTATAAGAATTTTGTAAATAAATCAAAGATATCTTTGAATTAATTTTTTTGCTTCTCCATTTACTGCAATTTTCTAATCAAATTTGGAAATAGAAGTACTCAGTTTTAAATTTGATCTTTCTTGAATAAGTTTGATATCTTTATAAGAATTTAAGGTAAAATTTACTCTTCAAAAAATTTTGGAGTTTTAAAAATGATAGATTGTTCTAAATAAATAGCCCCAGGGAATTATACTTACTAATGTAGAAATAAGGCTAGATGATAGCATTCCATGAATAAATTTTTATTTAAAGATTGATTAAAAAGCAATTTATTCATCAATATGAATTGGATTAAAATCTTTTATTAGATAGAATAAATTCTCATATTTGTTCTGTGAATATTCTTTCTAATTTGAATAATTATCTAAAATGAAAAAATGAAAAAAATTAATGAATTTGCTTCAATTTGATATTTTATTAAAAGAATTAAAAGTTTGTAAAATTCTTTATTTATAATATTTTTTAATTTCAATATAAAATAGCTATTATTATGAAACCCTAGGTATAAAAGATAATAAATATTGTAATAATCGTTGTCGGCCATACTAAGCCTAAAGCACCGGATCCCATTCGAACTCCGAAGTTAAGCGGCTTAAGGCGAGGTTAGTACTAAGGTGGGGGACCGCTTGGGAAGTCCTCGTGTTGACAACCCTTTTTTTTATTTTAACTTTTATATTGTTATTCAACTGTTTTTTTTTTAAATAAAAAATAGATAACATTTAACACAAATAATAATCACATAAATTTAAATTATTAGAAGAAATCTCTCAAGAATTATGACATGTTGATTAAAAATATATTTTTTGTTAGTTATTTACATTAGTGAATAGACTTATTTGTAACAAAGTTTACAATAAATATTTGATAATAATAATTTAAGATTGAGATTACCTGATTTTTTATATTCTGATAATAAAATTAAAATCTAAAATATTTTTAGTATATTACATTAAAAATAGATTTTAAATGTATAAATATTATTATCCTAAAATAATTATAATAGGTCTAGCATATGACTTCTTTTGTATAATCAACATTTGCAATATCTACAAAACCTAATTTTGAGTTTTTATAGAATTAAATTGATTCTGACTCAGAGAATGAAGAATATAAATAAAAGTTAGTGTTGTCGCATGAGACTTAGAAGGAACATAAAAAAATAAAAAAATCAATTGATATAGAATTGATAAAAGAAGAATTGAAAAATAGACCCAATGTTGAAATGAAATTAAGTACAATATAAAAGAAAAAATTTTCAAAGATAAAAAGTGTTCGTTCTCTAAGTGATCTTATAATACCTACATCTCCAATATTAATAGATTAAATAGGAAATTTGAAGAAGATAAAAGAGATACGTTAAGAAGTACCTCCTGAATTAATAGGGAGAATATACTCTGAACTTAGGTAATTAAAGAAACGATTATATGAGATATGAATTTGTGCCAGCCTTAAATCCAGTTTATCGATAAGGAGATTAGAATAAAAGATATTATATAATATTAGAAGGGAAAGTAGTTGTGATGAAGCCAAAATAGAAGATGGTGGGGTCCAGTAAAATAGAATTTTTTGACAATTTGTAATAAAAATTTTAAGGTTCTAATGATGATGATCCATTTGGATTGAAACTTCTTTTTCCAGATTATTTAATACTAAAGATCTTATTTTAAGGAGAGTATGTATATTTTGATAAATATATTTTAGTTCATTTGGAGAAGCAGCCATCAAATTAGATACAGCAAGATCATCAACAGTGTTTACATTAGAGGATACCCATCTTTTATATGTTAATGAAAGTGCGTATCTAGAATATTTAAATCCATATCTAAGTATTTCTTTAGATAATAAATTGTCATTTTTCGGATAAACTTCTATTTTTAAAAACATCAATCAAGAAGATTATATAGGTATAGTATTAGAGAGCAAATTGGTTAAAATGAAAGCAGGAGAAATAGTTTATGATGAAGGAGAAAAAACTAAATATCTTTATTTTATAATAAATGGGGAAATTGAATTACTGAAATAAGTAAAAAAGAAATCAATTATTTTGTCATCATATGGAGAATTTCAAAGCTTTGGTGAAGTAGAGATTATGATGAAAATTGATAGATATACAAAAGCAAAAGTTATTTCTCCTAGACTCAATTGTTATAGGATTAGAAAAAGAATATTTTTTGATAACTTAGGTAATTATGGGGCTTATGAAAATATGAAAAAACATTCATCTGTCATATGTAAGCATTGGCAATTGATTTATAATACAGTATTAAGATCTATTAATCCAAGAGATGAGGTACTATATTCCTAAAATATATATTATAGGTTTATGAAGTTTCTTAAGATGATAATTAAAAAAAACCAAATTTATTAGCCAAATCTATTTTAAATAAGAAACTTATAGAATCTGAAGGATAAATATTAAGTCAAATTAAGGTATTTTAAAATTTGGCTGAATCCAATTTCAAAGAGTAAAAGAACTCTAGTAATGAAAATCAAAATCTGCCTTAAAGAGTTTACAGTAACACGCTCTAAAAATACTAAGCAAAGCTATTAAAGAAACCTTAATTAGTTACTTATGATTCTGATATTTCATTAATAAGAAATCAAAATTAATAACCTATTAATACCAATAGTAACTTTGATAACAATTCTACTACAAGTCCTTTAAATGAAAATAGTGTAGATCTCAAATTGAATTCAAATAGATCATCTGTTATTATAAAAAGAGAAAGTTAGTAAAAAATTACTCTTCCATCTTTAAATCCTTCCTTACATCTTGTTGGACCTCAACCTTAATCGTTAAACACTGTTTTAGAATCTATAAGCAAATTACCAAAAATTCCAAAAAATAATTTAGTTTTATCTTTGATGTATTAATAAGCCTATAAAGCAGAAAATCCCGCTAAAAAGGCTAAAGAAATTTAACAAGTTATTTAAGCATCATATAGAAATGTATAAAATCGATTCTAACCAAAATAACATCATTTAACAGAAATCTAACCATCTTCAAATGAACATAGAATCAAAAAGAATTTATAAATTTCAGGATTATTAAGTATGAGATCATAACAAAAATAATATCTGAATTTTGTACATCGAAAATAAATTTTTGGAAGTAGTCAAATCAATTGATTTAAATTATGAATATAATCAAATTAGTTATCAATGAATAAAAACACATTAATAACATTATTATTTTTGGAAATATACATCATCAATTTACTATTTCTTCTTTTATTACTTTTTGATACAAAACATAATTTTTAGAATCTTCATCATTCCAACCTAATAATTTTATTCTTTGTTCTTTAGTATCATTATAAATCTTTTTCTTTTCATTGAGATATTGAGTGAACTAAAATTTAAATTTTAATACTTACTTATTCTTTCATTTCTTTTCTCTTTTATTCTCTATCATATTTGGCTTTATTCAGAATTTTATCATCTTCAGTTTCATACTTTTTGATAAACAACTTAGAGTTATTTTGTAATTCTTATTCTTCTTTTAATGATAATAGATGAATTGGTTTATTTCTCCAATGAATATCTGAAATCTTAGTCACAGTATCTTTAACTAATTATTCTCCTATAGCACTCCAAATGTTTACACTATGCCACAAATCACTCATCGTTATAAAATACTAAAATAATTATAAAATAATTATTACTATTCCTGTTGGATCCCATTATGCATGACTCATATAGAAATGATTTGTAGATTTTGTGATTTCTGTTGTTAATTATTCATTCTTTTTAGATATTTAGCCAAACTCAACCTTTCCTTAATCAGGTGAATTCTTTGTCTTATTGACCATTGCAAAATAATTCTAAAATTATTTTATTTATTACTCCATTTGATGCCCATAACAATTCATTTGTGTCTTTTCCTTTTTATTCCCCAAGTTAACATAATTTGATTCCTTTTTTCGAATCTTCTTGAACTGAATAGAGATGGAAAGTATATTATTAAGTGGGCTTTTATTGTTTATCTTTTTCTCTATAACATAATCCAAATTTTCCAGTATTGAGTTCAGTAAATATACTTTCAACATCATCATTGATTGTGTGTTCATCAATTTCAAATGGATCAATTCTATTTAAATTACCAACCTAAATTGTAGTGGCAAAAACTTTATTCTTTTATTTTTTTTTTATTAGAGTAGCTACCCATTTTCCATATGTATGTACAAAAATTTGGATGCTATCAATTTCAAAAGCAATGTTTCTCCACTTAACATCAAAGTTCCTCTTATAATCATGTAAGTAGATTTAAGTTTTAATATCTTTACCATAGCAAACAATTGCAAGATAATTGGTTTATGGAACCCACTCAATTTATTTAACTCCCACAGCCTTAAGATTTAATTAGTTTTTTTGATAAAACTCAGGAGCTTCATAAATTTAAATTTCATCTTGTGCCTATAAAGCTAACCATTTGTTATCTCTATTAAACTTGAATTATTTAATAGAAGATTATTATAATACAATCTATCTCAATTATCTTTCTTCTCTTATATTCCAAATAATAAATTACTAAAATATTAAGGATTTATTTATACTTATAATCCATCAAAACTTATCACATATTATTCATCCGGACTGAATAATAACTCTGAAACTCTTTTGTGTTCAAATTTGTGCAAAAATTCTAACTCTTAAGCTCCATAGAGTGAAAATTCATTTTCAGTAAATAAAACTAAATATTAACCTAAGGGTGACCATTGTAATCTATCATATTATGGTAATTTCTTTTCATTGACATTATCTTCTAATTTCTTTTCTAATGAATTCAACCATTTGAGGGAGAGTTTAGTTTTTTCTTAAATAATTGTAACAGCTGATCTTGGATCCTTATGAAAAGCTAACAACTCTTATCTGGATTTAAGAGTAATTGGTGTATATTCTGCTGTTTGATTGATGTGATTAATTTACTTTTAAGTAAAGGCTAATAATTGATGTTTTGCATCAAAATTTTGATTTGTAATCTATTCTGCTGCTTATTATGCTTAATCTTCATTTTCATATGATAAGATAGCTTAACCAAGATTATTAAGTTCAATATCTACAAATTGGATATAATTGTTCTTTTTTAGATATCCCTTTAGTGCTGTTATGAGTTTAGGTTTCATTTCTTCTTTTACTTTTGGTAATCCAATAAGAAGAATATTAAGATTGGAATTGAAATTCAATTTAGGAAAGCCAAACAAGAAGTCTTTATTTAGTTTTTCAATTTCTTCGCTTCCTCTTTTGATATATTCTATGGGTAGTTCTTCGCCAGAAAAATCAATTAAGTCTTGTAATTGGCTCATAATCTCAAATTAAATTTTTATTATAGCAATGGGAAAATTATTTCAGATGAATCACCCCTGAAAGTCGTTAGTGAAGTATTCCTTCAACAAATCTTATTATTTAAGAACTTGAATTTGTAGGACATTTATGGTCTATTTGGCAGTATCTAATTCGAGGGTTCTAGATAAAAAAGATAAAGTTATACAATTTCTACAGTTAGTCTCTTAAATATTGTATCTCTTAAATGAGTTCATGAGATTAATCAGTATTCTATTCACCATTAATCTTCTACAGTTTGTCAACCAATTATTATAGTTCTTGTTTTTCAGTGAAGAGTTTTTAGTAATCATTGATGGATTGGCAACGAGTATCATCTTAAGAATAGGAAGACTTGCGTTTGGATTCAATATCAAGGATTTCTTAATAAATTTGCTTAGTCTCTTTTAATTCTTAGATCATGATCTCAGAATCTAAACTCATTTCTGACTTGAGTCGAGCAATAGCACTTTCTTTGAGATATTCATAATGTGATCTTTTTAATTTTTCAAATAGATTACTTGACTTGTTCCAACTATTATTAATGATATTTCTCCTATTCATCAAGTTATTAATGAAGCACTGAAATTTCGGCATCCTTTTCACTAATTTAAATCTGTAATCTCTCTACTAATCTAATTACTTTATTTAATTCAAACACTGTCTATTTAGAAAATAAGATGAATACCTAATCTCTTTCGACACTTAATTTGCTTAATTAAGTTCGACACAATTGTAAATCTTCCTTCAGTTTCTATTGATTTGACATTAAATAAATTAATGACAGAATCCATTAATTTTTAAGCTTCATTATAAATTAAAGGATTAGATAGCATATTCTATATATTTAGATGATTTAAATGAAGAAGATAATTACTTAATGATATCAAACCTAGAAACAACTTAATTAAAAAGAATAATAGGCCACTAAAAAGCCTCTATATATTACAACATTAGCTTTTTTTCAGGCTTATATTATTTCTACATTTCATATAAATGATATTAATTTCATTACTAATTCTTCATTTGAATACAATAGATCGAATATTGGACAAACCAAAAGTTTTAAACCTATTCACATTGTTTATTTTTTTAAATATAAAACCAAAAAATAGATCTTATACTCACTTTAAAATAGAGATTTTTAAATCGTTATAGAAAAAAATATTACTTGATGCTTCCTTTATCATCTAGTATAACTGAGGTTCTTCTTTTCTATTGGGTTTCTCAAAATATCACTGATTGCATCTTCTTAATTAATCCAATACGATTTGAAGAATTCTAATTTTATGAAAAAAATTATCCTATCTTATCATTTGATAAATTATTAACTAATAAAAACTTTAACTTCACTTTCTTCATAGAGGCAATATCTCAGATCAAATAAAATGCAACAAAACTTTGAGATTAATACCTTAATAATAGTAGTATCATAATTATTTTAAATAGAAACAATAAAAATTAATGTAATTATAAAAAAACTTGTCTGTTTTGAAATAGAAGAATCAAAAATCATTTAAAAATTGTACATCCTAATTGATTTTATAATCATTTAACTTAACAACAAAAGATCATTTTCTTTGCTGAAATTATTTCTATTTTCCAATTGCTTTATTCAAATTTTTTTAATTATGTTTTTATGAATCCTTTTTAGCCTTTTAAGCTACCTTATCTATTTCATTCTCTTGCTACTTCTTCTTTTTTTATGATTTTTTTGTCTCTTCTTAAGTTAATTCATTCTTTTCTCTCTCTATCTAACTTAATTGACCTCTCAAATAAAGCAATGTCAATAATAATCCAGCATCAACAAAAGTCAGAATCCAAAAATGAATAGCACTTCAAATAGATCACTTGAATACAATTATTTATCTATAGTCAAGGCAATTAATGGAAAGGATATTAATCCAAATATTGAGGAATATGTTAGCCATACCATCATTTTCTAAGCTGTAGGTAACAAACTACTAAAAGTAAAATCAATTTGCTTATTTCTCTGACATAAATATATTTTAATTTTTTATATGTTTATTTATTTTTTGTATTTATATTGATCATTCTTCTTCTCTTTATATCATTATTAATAAATCTTTAATTGAATAATTAAATTATGAATCAAGCTCCAGTGATTTAAGTAAATTCCCCTATCACATCATTTGTTAGTCCAGGTTTTAAAGTAAGAAAATATCAAATAATATTAGGTGTTGAATTAAAACGAAAAACAATATGCCTATCATTTTGCAAGAGCCTCTTGGGAAGGTGCAAAAATCTGTTACTTCTAGAGGTCTTATGAGGCACCAGGCTTGTTTTACATTTTTTATAAGATCTTTTCAACTGAAAAGCCTTAAGCTGTGACATAGCGTTTATTATAGAATGGATGGAGTGAAGAAGAAGTTTAATAATTATTTGTTTATGTTGCTGCCGTATTCTAAAATTCTGGAAACTATAAAAGCTTTGGAGATTCGAAATTCGTACCTGAAATATCTGAAGAAAAATTTGAATAATTTATTACTACATCCCTTGGATATTAAGCAGATCAAGTTTGGGAAAGTATTCGCAAATATATTTACAACTACGATAAACCTTATGGTCTGATTGATTTATAAGAAAAGAATGGTTCTAATTCTTATTATAGTACTAATTTAAGTGGTGAGTTATTAGAGGCTGTTGATAAATTCTTAATAGAATAAGGAATTTCTGAATTAAACACAAGAGTGGTTAAAGTTGGAGAAGATATTCATGTGTTAGTAGCTTCAGTCAATGAAGGTTAGAAGGATTTAGGAGAAGTACATAATCATAAAGTTAAATTGATTTATGGTGATTTCGCTCCTTTTCTTAATAGTGTTGTGACTCATTTGACAGCAGCTCTTTAATATGCATCAAATGATAATCAAAGGAATATGATTTAAGCCTATATTGAGCATTTCAAAAGCGGAGATGTTGAATTACACAAATAATCTTAAAGACATTGGATCAAAGATAAAGGACCTGTCATTGAAACAAACATTGGATTTATAGAAACTTATTTAGATCCACTTAAGGTTCGAGCTGAATGGGAAGGCTTTGTGGCTGTTGTTAATAAAGAAGAAAGTGCTCTTTTGAATGAATTAGTCAATAAAGCCGAAGAAATTATTAAGTGTCTACCTTGGCCAAAAGAATTTGAAGTTGATGTCTATAAAAGACCTGATTTCACTTCATTAGAAGTTCTAGCCTTTGCTAGTTCAGGGACACCATTAGGTATCAATATACCTAATTATGATGATATCAGATAAACTGAAGGGTTTAAGAATGTTAATCTTGGTAATACAATTGGAAAATTAGCGAAATAATCAATCAAATTTTTAGATGAAGCAGATTAAGAAATATTTTATAAATATTAATCAGAAGCTATATTCTTAGTTGTTGCACTCCATGAATTAATTGGTCATGGTGCTGGTAAAGTTTTTATGAAAGATAAGGATGGAAATTTAAATTTTAATCTTGAAAATACAATTAATCCATTAACAAATCAAAAGGTTGATTCATTTTACAATCATGGTGAATAATGGCATTCAAAATTTGGTGAATTCTCAGGAGCTATGGAAGAATGTAAAGCTGATGCTACTGCTTTATATTTATCTACTTATGATGATGTAGTAAAATTGTTATTACCAAATTAATCAGAAGAAGAAAGAAGAAACACTGTTTTCGCAGGATGGCTATTTGTTATTCATAGAGCTGTACAAGGTTTAGAATTTTATAATCCAGAATAAAAGAAATGGGGTTAAGCACATGTCTTAGCAAGAAATGTCATCCTATAATCTCTTATTAGAGAAGATCCAGATATTATCAAAATCACAGAAACTTAATTAAATGATAAACCTTATTTGCTTTTCAAATTTGATTAATCTAAATTACATACTACAGGTAAGAAAGCTATTTCTAATTTAATTTTACATTTACAAGTATTCAAATCTATTGGAGCTGGAAATGAAGGTGTTAAATTCTTTAGTGATTTGGCTGCTGTTAGTGACTTATTCCTTAATTATAGAAATATTGTTATTTAAAATAAATTTCCAAGAAGATTAGAATTATAACCAAATTTGATTTTAGATGATGGATAGGTTAATCTTAAGGAATATGAATCTACATTTGCTGGAATTATAGAATCACATGTGGATCATCACTTAGAGAATATAGAATCTACAAAAGACTTATTTTTAAATGTATAAAAGTTATTTTAGAATTGAAATATTCATTAAATAAATTAAAAAATACATTTTAGCTTTCCTTCTATTAATTGTTGATATAAACTTTCTAAATAAAATTCATCAAAAAATTAATCCTACTTTATAAAAGTTTATCAAATATTCAAACATTTAAATCTGTCATTATTATTTTATTTATCTATAATTTTATTAATCCTTATTACAATAAATATTTATAAAATGATTTCATTAATTTAAAAACACAATGTATAAAAGAACCAGAATCAATTGCAAACATAATTTTTATAAATTTATGAAAAACGAAAGGAATTAAAGATTTAATAGCTTCAAATAAATCCAAAATATTAAAGATACTTATTTTAAAAAAACATTACACTAAAATCATTAATCTTATTATTATTTACACTTTTATTCTTAAAAGAATTATTCAATTAATGTAATCCAATCATTTTACGGCTTCTTCTCTTAAATGTAGCTTAAAATCTTCTCTATGTTAATTTATGAGATTTTAAATTAATTTAATTATAAGAATTTAATTGCTTTTCCTGTGTTTGCAATATCAACTCTTTATTAAACAGTGTAATTTTAACAATAGATTACTTTTTAATTATTTGTGGTCCTATCTTAATTGCTTAGAAATATTTATCCATTATGCCCTAAAATCATATTTACATTGTTATTAAGTTTGATAAAATGTCTTTTTTATTTTACAATCAAATAATGATTAACCTTACTTAGAAGTCCATTTTCAATTTTGCCATATTTCAGTCCTCTTGTATGAAGATTGATTGATTTATCATTATTAATAGCTAATATTTAATATTAAGAATTATTACAATGAACTTCTGCACATATTAAATCATTTTCTGCAAATATTTAACGCATATTCATTTCATCATCTTCTGTTTTTTGCCTCTAAAAAATTTATGATTATATATTACTTATTCAGGTAAATAAGTAGAATTCAAATGAAGAGTGGCTTCTGAGCTGGAACCTATATTTACAATCCATTTTTTATCTCTAATCAAAAAAATTTAACCTATTACAATTTCACCAATTTATGGTTAATAACTACATTTTATTGGTTTTATCATAATCAACCTAAAATAATTTAATTGATTACTTATTTGTTTAATTAATAGTTCCTGTTGTGCTTGAGAATATTTTACCTTACTCTTCATAAGTATTCGTTCCACTAATAAACCCAGGTTCATCAGATAATAAATCTCCTGGTAAATAAACTTCTTTCTTCTCATGATGCAAATTTTCCTCTAATTACATTTTAATTAATATTATGTTTAAAAATAAATTTGGTTCATGATAAATAGAATAAGCATTAAATTTAGAAATTGGAAGCTTATTTCAACCAATTAAGATAAGTAAAAATTCAATCTATTTGAGCATTTTTCATTAAATATAAAAGAAATAAACATAAATAGGGAAAGTTAAGAATGATATAAGAAATACGTATTGGTATGAAAAAAATAAATATTTTAAATATNCAATAAATATTTATAAAATGATTTCATTAATTTAAAAACACAATGTATAAAAGAACCAGAATCAATTGCAAACATAATTTTTATAAATTTATGAAAAACGAAAGGAATTAAAGATTTAATAGCTTCAAATAAATCCAAAATATTAAAGATACTTATTTTAAAAAAACATTACACTAAAATCATTAATCTTATTATTATTTACACTTTTATTCTTAAAAGAATTATTCAATTAATGTAATCCAATCATTTTACGGCTTCTTCTCTTAAATGTAGCTTAAAATCTTCTCTATGTTAATTTATGAGATTTTAAATTAATTTAATTATAAGAATTTAATTGCTTTTCCTGTGTTTGCAATATCAACTCTTTATTAAACAGTGTAATTTTAACAATAGATTACTTTTTAATTATTTGTGGTCCTATCTTAATTGCTTAGAAATATTTATCCATTATGCCCTAAAATCATATTTACATTGTTATTAAGTTTGATAAAATGTCTTTTTTATTTTACAATCAAATAATGATTAACCTTACTTAGAAGTCCATTTTCAATTTTGCCATATTTCAGTCCTCTTGTATGAAGATTGATTGATTTATCATTATTAATAGCTAATATTTAATATTAAGAATTATTACAATGAACTTCTGCACATATTAAATCATTTTCTGCAAATATTTAACGCATATTCATTTCATCATCTTCTGTTTTTTGCCTCTAAAAAATTTATGATTATATATTACTTATTCAGGTAAATAAGTAGAATTCAAATGAAGAGTGGCTTCTGAGCTGGAACCTATATTTACAATCCATTTTTTATCTCTAATCAAAAAAATTTAACCTATTACAATTTCACCAATTTATGGTTAATAACTACATTTTATTGGTTTTATCATAATCAACCTAAAATAATTTAATTGATTACTTATTTGTTTAATTAATAGTTCCTGTTGTGCTTGAGAATATTTTACCTTACTCTTCATAAGTATTCGTTCCACTAATAAACCCAGGTTCATCAGATAATAAATCTCCTGGTAAATAAACTTCTTTCTTCTCATGATGCAAATTTTCCTCTAATTACATTTTAATTAATATTATGTTTAAAAATAAATTTGGTTCATGATAAATAGAATAAGCATTAAATTTAGAAATTGGAAGCTTATTTCAACCAATTAAGATAAGTAAAAATTCAATCTATTTGAGCATTTTTCATTAAATATAAAAGAAATAAACATAAATAGGGAAAGTTAAGAATGATATAAGAAATACGTATTGGTATGAAAAAAATAAATATTTTAAATATGAATTTAAAGTATTTATCTGATATATTTATATTTTTAATGAAACTCTATAGAAAAAAAACAATGTTAATAAAAAAAATAAGATAGATAATTGTAAAATTAAAAAAATAGAAAGAGAATAATTTGATTGAATTAAATAGATTTATTTTTTTTCGACTGAATTTAAACATATTGTTGTAATTATATTAGTCTTTAATAAATTGGAATTTTCCAGAAATAATAATAAAAATAATAAAAATGACACGTATTCCAAGTATTCTCCTACTCTCACTATTGCTTGTTTCAACATAAGGTTACTTTTAAGATAAAGAACATAGAGAGGAAGCTAAATCATTCTTTTTGAATTTTATAAAAGAGTTTACAAATTAATATACTGCTATATCAGCTGAGGGTTTGGATTATATGGAATCAATGAAATTAGCTTTTAATTATTGGATAACAAAAATAAAGATTCATAATTTTGCAGAATTAAAAGTAAAAATAAGAAATAAAAAAAGGTTGATTATGATGTTAATCATGATATTTTAGAAGTATCAGCTCCAACTCTTAACATAGATTTAATAGTGGAGAATACATACACAATTCCCATAAAGATTGAAGAGTATATAAAATAAATATTTCAGTTTATTTGTATCAATAATATTCAACACTGGTCCAACACACTTTAGATGTGCAGAGGTGGAAATAGATTATGGATCTGTTTCTTTGGATATGAATATTATAATAGAATATACAACAAGACAATTGTTATCATTAGATATAGTAAAATCAGCAATAAAGAAATCAGAGACTCCAATAAAACTTATTTTAATAAATGCAATTAGAGTATATATATTGATTGAATAATAAAAAAGAACAATCATTAAAGAATAAATGGATTAATAAATGATTTGAGAACAGGTTCATTGAATCCAGGAGTACTCTTAGCCTAATTACCAAATGTACAATTTACAAGAGTGGAGAATGGAGAATATATCATAAATATTAGATAAATTTTCAGTTTTGAATCTTAGAAAGATAAAGAAAAGAAAGACGATCTTTGAATTATAATTATATATGTGAGATTATCAAATTTGTTATTAAGGGTTTATTTTGATAATAAATTTAAGTAATGATTGATTTTTCATACCTTGCTCCTCCAAAAGAAGCTCATGAGCTTATTCATACAAGTAAGAATTCAATTTTTGATTTTTAGAGGATTATATCAAATATCAATAGAAAGAGTAGGGAGTTAGGAGAATCTATGAAACAGTTGTTTATGATTAGTTTGAGATAGAAAAGGTTAAAGAACTTAAGGAAGAGATTAAAAAATAGAAAATAATTCTTTCTTCTGAGTAAAATATCTAAATATTAGTTTAGTTGGAAGGAAAGTGATTATTTAAGAATAAGTTATGCTGGAAAATTCAATAAAAAAGAAATAATAAAAGTATAATATTGTTGATATAAAAGAAACTTCAATAACATATAGCTTGGAGGTGTAATAAGATTTATTAAGAAATTAACTCTCATTCAGAATAATTGTTAAAGGAAGGAATCTGTTATCTTTTGGGTAGAGATAAATAATTTAGACCAATTATCATAATGAATGCCTATTTAATAGATTTAAAAAAGGTATATAGTAAATCTATTATATATTTAGCACGATAAAGAATTAATCTTTTAAGTTTTATCATTTCTTTTGGGAATAGTAAAAAAGAATATGTTTATTCCAGGAAAGGTGGAAACATGGGTATTTCTTTTAGACACTGGTAATTTAGGAGGTCAAGGTTTGTAATAGAAAGTCTTTGAAGTATTGATTGATGGGTTGAATACTAATTTCTCAGGTTATCTTGAAAGAATGTTTATATTAAATCCTTCAAATGGATTTAACTTTTTATGGTAATAAATTAAAATACTTTTGGATTCAGAGACCATTAATAAAATTAGTTTTCTCTAATAAAAAGAATTTATATAATTAAAAGAATATATTGAACCAAATTAATTGGAAGAAAAATTTGGAGGCACTAAATCAAATTTGATAAAATTTTGGTATTTATCAATATTCTAATTAGGCCCCCTTATAATTTAGATTTACCAGATGGATACACAAAAAAAGATAATAAATCTAATCCAAAATAAGATTTGAAAATTTAAAATATGTAAATTGAAGAAGAGGAAGAAAGTGATCCATATGATTAGGTAGAATTCAATTTGAACGATTTTATGAAATAATAACAATAAATGTATTATGGGGTTTCTAATAAAATATAATAGTAAATTAATGAAGAAGATAAAGTAATTAAATTATAAGATTAATCATCAAATATATAAATTTTAGAAGTAGAACCTTAAATAAATCATAATTAATCTTAATAAAATAATTAAAAGATTTCTTTAGAAGAACCTGAATAGCCAGATTTATAACCATAAATAATTCATAATGATGAGGAAAAAAAATAAAATGTTCCTTAAAATTAAGAAATTAAAGAAAGTACTGAATAAGTTATTTTAACAGAAAGATAAAAAAATTACTAATAATTAGGCAATGATACAGAATAAAATAAATTATTAACTCATGATGAATAAGGGTTTAATTCATCTGCAAATAAATTAAATGAAGAAAGCCATGGAGAAAAGATACAGATTTAACAATTGGATCCGGTGAACAATGATAAAGGATGTTGTTAAAAATGTGAAATATTTTGATATTAAAATACATTTATAATACTTATATTCTTAAATTTAATTATAATTTATGAAGTAATAGAGACATAAACATATACTATTACTTCAAAAATTCATTTAATCTCAATGTATTCTTCTGCCAAATTTTAATTTTCCATCTATAATTTAAAATATTCATCTATTAGTTATTTTATCTAATAGCTTTTCTCTGTTTCTAATTTTAAACAAACTTTCTCATTATTCTTATTTTTAGATACATCTTCAAAATATATTGTCAATGTGGTTTATAATGAACTTATTGATTCTAATTCATCAAAACTTACCTCTAAAAGTTCTTACTATGAGATGAATGATGATAGAAATATTATAGAATTATATCCAATACCTAAACATAATGATGTTAATCCTTTTATATTTTCTGTCTTAAGATTTTATAATGATTTATCCTACATTTTTTTTTAATTCCAATACTTATTACTTAATTCAATAATCTTATTTATGCTTTCTTTATCAGGTTTAACAGAAAATTTAGAAAATCCAAAAAATCTTTTAGATTTTAACAAATTCAAAAAGACTAATAAAGCAAAATGAGTTTCAGTCATCTATCCTTATTAAAAAATATCATTTTATTAATGAATCATATTTAATTCTGATCTTATTTATTTCTGTTGATTCTATTTCTCATTGATAATTTAGGAATGAAAGTTTTATACTAAAGTAGGTAAAAAATTGGTCCATTCATCCTAAGTGATAATTTTTATTGCAATTGGTGGTAGAAACTATATTTAATTTAAATTATTAATTACTTTTTTAATATCATTGATAGGTATTTTTTTAGGATCTATTGTTTTGTAACCATTTAAATACAAATAAAAAGCTGTATAAAGAATATGATCTTTAGGTCCTAAAGTTAATCTCAGATTACTAATATCATCAAATAATTAATAACTAATTAATTATAATCTCACTAGATCTTATGTATAATAATCTGTTTCTTCTTTATTTGATACATATAAATGCTTTCTAAGTTAAAGTAATTTTCCATTGTAAAGAGGAACTTTCTAAGATTTTTTAAATAATCCAAAAGGTTCATCAAATCTTACTAAAAAGTTCCATAATTTTTCATCATTATCTAAAGGTTTTAAATAAGAATTATCTATATAATATAGTCTAAAATCATAAGCTGATTAAAGTTATATTTCAGTTGCTATATCTTCCATTAAACTAAAAACTGATGTATCTTTGTTTATAAAAAACTCTTTTTCAACCTACTTGAAACTTAAGAAAACCATGACTTTTATCTTAACTTAAATCGAATTTAAAAAGTCTTTATCTACTACTGAACTTTATCTAGAATTTCCTTTACTTTCTACAGCTAATAATTGAGTAGCTGAAATCTTTCTTACATTTTTTAGACTTGCTGCTCTCAATCCTCTAACTGCAGGTTAAGGACTTTTAGAATCCTTATGTATCTATTAAAGATTCTATTCAAATTTCTAATCAGAAAACTTTTGGTCACTTGATTATCCTTCACTTTATTTTATTACATCTCTTGGAGAACTAATTTATGTGAACATTGTTGTAAAATTAGAATTTTCATTTGAACTAAAACTAATAGAATTTTATGAAAATTCTATAATCCCATTTGTTGGCTTTCTTGATGCTCTAAAATTAATATTATGAATTGCTTATTTATGTTGATTCATTAAAATATTTGGTAAATCATAAAAGTTTTCAGACAATCCTAATTATGCTAAAACTATCTTATTTTATGTATTATTCTCCTTAAATTCAGATGAATTTAACAATATCTATAAAAATTCAATCATGACTATTTTCCTTTTCTAATCATATAAAATATATTTATTTACATCTATTACTGCAGCTTCATTTCTATCAAAATAAGAATTCTCTTTAATTTCAGGTGTTTTTATCTTTGGAAATAATTATTTTACATCTTGAAGTATTTTTTTAAATAAACTATATCGTAAGTATATTTTCTATGTTATATTATTATTTATATCTATTTCAAAAATATATTGAGTATATTTATTATTAGATGCATCAATTACTTCTTCAGTTCCAATTATTTAAACAAAAACATTTATTTAATCATAAGGATTAACTTTTTATTTATCAGGAATCATCTAAGAAAGTGCTTTATCTCTCTCTGCTTTTTTATTCTAAAGTTCCTTTATTTCCTAATTAACTAAATTGATATATTCCTACACATCTTGTGCTGAATTTTAACTTTAAACTACAAAAATTATAGAAGTATTAACACCATTTATTTAAAATAAATGCTTATACTTATGCATTTCTGGTAATTATTGACATTAGCTAAGATGATTGAGTTTAATATAAGTCTTAAAATTATGTTCTTGTTTTATTTAATCTCTTTCGGTTACAAGTATCAAATCTGAAAGAAAATAAACTATCATAGGTTTAATTGAGTTTCCTTTTGTAAAATACATATGGAGTGATTCTTCTCTTAAAAATTATCTATTTTATTCAAGAATTTTAACAAAGTTCCCATACTATTTTTATAAATCAAATAATTTTTGATTTTTAAGAAGACTATCCATAGATTTATTATTTTAATTAGCAACTAATTCGAATTTATCAAGAACTAATTTGATATTAGAATAATCTGGATGATCTAAAGGGGTATTTTTTAATAAATCTTTAAACAATAATACATATTTTGGTATTCTTTATACAGGTAAAATTAAAAAATAAGTTTCTAAAGTTTTGCCTTAATTTGATTTATCAATTGCATCTATGAATTACTTATATTATTTATTTTCCTTTTTTAGTTTCATTTGTAGACCAAAAGCCTTTTAATAATTGACTAAATAAGATGAATATATTTTGAAGAAGGTGATGTGTTACTGTAATTAAATATCAGCAACAAGAGAATAATAAGTAAATTATTCTAATTTTTTTCTAAATATTTCTAAAACATCTACGGATAGCTATTGAATGGCTTCCACATTAGAAAATATCTATTAAATAATTTATGAAGATATTAATTTATTTTGTTCTCTAAGTGGTTTTAAATAAGTATTGATTAATGTAGTAAGGGCTTAGCAATAAGATTATTCAGTAATGAAAAGTTCATGTAGAACACGTTTTCTATATTGAAATTACATCTTAAGATGCAAATATTGTCTTTTAATAAGATAGGAACGAATTTTGGATTATACAATAATAACTTTTTTAATATAAGTATCTTAATTATTGGTAGAGTTAAATTCTTAAACTTCTTCTAGTTTAGCCATAGTTTATTAGAATTAATTGCTAATTCTGTCAATTCTTTCTTCTTCTTCTAAATTTGGCATAGTTGATATTCTAGGTTTTGAAGATCGTCTATGATGTAGACCATTGATGGATTGATTAGATTGTTACTAAATTTTAATATCATCTGAATATTTTTGATGATCCTTGTGTATAGGTTATTAAATATCTGAAAATGATATTTTAGTATAATTTACTTAATAAATTATAAAGATAGTTCTTTTACTTGGTGGAATGAGAGTTGGTTTGATTTATGGGTTTTTGCTGATTGGAATCGATTTCTTAATCAAATCTGCAATTCATGAAATAATGAATAATAATAAAAATGAATGAGTATTTATCTAGAATAAAAGTATAATATAGTTTGAGGATAAATAATTATATTAAAATGAGTATTTTTGAATCTCAAAATGCTATTGAAGAGATGAGAAACAATATAGGGCGATAAGAAAATTTATCTAATATTTATAAAGAAGTAGGAAGTCCTTCAGAGCATTCTTTATAGAGGTTTATTATAATGAGATAATTGTAGTTATTTTTCACCAAGCAATAGTTTTATGATGGGAAGTAAAAGTAAAGTTCTAATAAATAAATCTATAGAGCTTGCTACAACCTAACCATTAGGGTATTTATAATTTAATTTAAGTCTAACTCATGTGTGGAAGAGTAATGGTTTGATAATAATTACAATGATAATAAGATTTCTATACACATTGAAATTGTAAACAGAATCGATGAAATACAAGCTATTAAACAAAAGAATATTTACAATAATTTAAGATGTTTCATCAGATTATTTAAATATTGTACGTTATCGAAATAATAAATATCATATGAAAGGAAGGTCGGAATTGTAAGTACAATATTCGTAGTTTAAGAAATAAATTAAATCAATTTTTGAGTATTATGGGGGGTTCATTTCAGTATTTTAACCAGATCAAAGATTCATAATTTATTATGAGTTCTGCTTCATTATATCCATCTTATTAAACTTATTTTATGTGCCTATTAATGTCAGTTTTTTAAATCATGAAATCTCAATACTTTTTGACGCATTTCCAACAGGGTTATAAATAATATGGATTGTAGTTCAGTTCAATCTTTCATTTTATGAAGATCAGATTATGAAAAAGAATAGAATTGATATAGCAAGCAATTATGTGAGGAGTTATTTTTTATTAGATTTATTAATAGTTTTGATGACATACATGTAAATACTTTATGGTTATTTTATTCCACTTATATAAGTAATTTTAAGAATCCCTCTATTGATTAGAGTATTAGATTAATTTGAATATAATACAAATTTTAAAGAAAATCTTGCAGCTGTATTTGATTTAATAAAATTAATTGTAATGTTAATATTTATAATTCATTGTTGTGCTTGTAGTTGGCATTATTTAGGTGTTTATGAAATGTAGAATTATGTGTCAGGAAAGAATTGGTTAGAATATTATGATATAAGTCATTTAAATTGGATAGAGCAGTAAGACTATCATAATTAAATAAAGATACATAGCATCCTTGTACTTCAGTGTAATAACTACATTAACAGTAGGATATGGTGATCTTACTCCATAATCAGCTTATGAACAATTATTTGTAATACTGGTTGCAATGAGTTTATGCGGTATGTTAGGTTATACTATTTCTAATATTGGTGAAATATATAGATCTATGAATGAAAAGAAATAGTAATATAAGACATAAATGAAAGCTATTGAATAAATTATCAGATAACGGAATTTAAATGATTAATTGTCTATCAAAGTTAGAAAATATTATCAGCATTTATTTTAATAAGAATAATAGGAGAATACATTAGGAGAATAATTATTAACTAAATTGACTAAAAACTTAGAAGAAGAAGTGATGATTGATTCTTATAAAAACATTCTAATGAATTCTTATCTGTTAAGATAATTTAAAAATTCAACAGTTGAATAATTATGTACTAAAGTTAAAGTTTTAAAATTGTAACCAGGAGATGAAGTTGTAAAAGCATAACAATTTGCTGATCATTTAATATTTTTATTGAGTGGAGATCTTACTTTATTAGGACATAATTAAAGATAGCCTATAGTATTAAAATAATTAACTGGAGGAACTGTTATTGGAGAGTAGGAATTTACTGAATAAGGATATTATGATTACATTATTATTAGTTAAGGATATAGTAAGATAGCTACTATATCTAGAGATGAATTTTATGAAATATTATAGTATGATAGATAAGAGTTTGAAAAGATGTGTAAAATTAGAGATTAATATAAATTTAGTATAAGGAAAAAAAATGTTATAGGAAGAACTTGCGAAATCTGTGGATGGACTCACGGGTACTTGCAATGTCCTATGACATTTTATTAAGTAGACAAAATGAAATTGTTGACTTATCATCGATAAAATTAAGATTAAAAAAGAATTTTTTATAAAGACTTTAGAAGAAATAGGAAATTTAAGACTTTGACTGAATTATTATCAATATAAAATGCTTGTTTAGATTTTATGATCAGTTAAAAATTAGTTGATGAAATGTATCTATATATATTTATATATTTAGACCAAATCATGATTAAAATGAAGAAAATACTTAAAGATTAAAACTTAATATATAAGATTTAGAATCATCCAATTTAAGTTCAAGTAGATCAATCTAAGAGGATATCAAAGGAAATATCAATTCTATTTTGAAATCTCCTACTAATAGTTCTAGATTTTAACTCGTTTGTAAATAGATTGATTAATAACGGGATTAATTATAAAAGTAATCTTTTGCAAGAAAAAATATCAAAAAATAGTCTTTAATTGTAGATCATAATTTTAGGAGGAAGGAAAAGGAAGATGATATCAAGGAATATATTGATACAATTTTAGAAAAAATGAATATACATTAAAAAGAAAAAGAGAAATCATTAGTTACTACTCATTCTAAAGTTATAACCTATAATCCAGATTTAGAATTTGAAGTTATGTAATCTTATAAATATTACTTTCCTTAATTTAATATAGATAATATACTTGAACGTGTTAATTAATCATATGAAAAATTTATACAAAAAAGTAAGAAAAATCCCATTCGTATTTTTGTTAATCGTAGAAAATTAAAAAGAAAAATCATGGTTTAGGATTGAAATAAGTATTTATTATGATATTAATATTTTTATTTATGATTTAAACTTAATAATCTAAAGAAGAGACTTTTCTTTAAATCACAAAAAATATTAGTTAAGTTAATATTGATAATGAAGGGACTTTCAAATACATTTTGATTTTATTAGAGAATGACAAATAAGAATGTTATTTTGTAAGAGGTTTAAAATAATATGAATATCATGCTTAAAATTTTGAACACTTTTGTAATGAAGTTAAAAATAATTTGAAATGGTCAGAATTTACATTTGATATAGAAGAGGGAACAATTAAAGCATAATTAAATGGTCATAAATATAAATTCAAGTGTGTTGGAGGAGGGAGACTTAAACATTCAACTGCATAATAAACTTTAGAAATTTATGGATATTCTTAATCTTATGGATAATGTGATCATAAAATATCCTTAAATGTGATAAGAACAGTTTATCCATATTTGGACAAGAATGTAATTACAAGAAACGATGGTTATTGATAATAACAAAAATATTGTATTTCATTAAATAAATGGATTTATGTGTCCTCCATTAGCTTAATATAAATGAGTTCCAATTCCAAATTATTTATGATTATTCAATGGTTCTATGTTCTTTTTCAAATTCCATAATTAACATGACAAAGCAATTTTGAAGACAATTACGAAATAGCTAACAATAATTGTTATTCTCTAAGCTATAATGAGTTCTGATTCTTATTGTGGATTTTATTTTTTATTTTGATTCCACCAAACCTATAATAATAATAAATAATAATAAATTACTCCAGAATATGCAGCTAGCCAAGATACATCATACAATAATGTCAAAATAATGAGAATAGCAAATATATTCAAATGATTCTTCTCAAAATAATTAAGGCCTACAATTAAAGAAGTACACAAAGCAATAGTAATATTTACAAAATCAGTTTTAACCCAACATAAATAGATACTACTAAATAAATATAATAAAATAAAAATGGCTGTTATTTTCATATCTTTAGTGATATGATCATACCCATAGTTTGCTTTTTATTTAAGATCATGTCTTGCTGGATAATCAATATCTGGATGTACTGTAGTAACACTTTCAGGAGGTTGGTTCAATATTTATAAGACTCTACTATCACTCAATTAAGGAGTCTTATAAATTGTCAAATCAATCTTTTTATCACCTTAATAAACAATAGGTTTTGAGAATTCATGAACAAACATTAATTAAGGAGCATCTGGAACTATTAGTCTTTTTGGTTGCAATACTCCATTCTAAAAAGGTGCATAAAGATTCTTTAAATCACTCTCATATTAATTCTTCTCATCTTATTAATTCAATATTTGTTATTTCATTACTTCTTAAGCTTATTCATATAACATTTACTATATTATATTCCTTAATATAATACTTCATCAAGTAATAATTACAATTCTAATTATAAACTACCACTACTCAGTTAACCATGACGATCATAAATGTTGAACCATTAATTATGTTTCATTTAATCTTCTAATTCTCTTAAACCAAAATGAACTTCCCCTATTAAACTGCTTTTATTGTTTACACTATTCAAAGTCAATATTGATATATAACTTTATTCATTTCCAGTCTTTATTGGACTAATAATTTATTAAACATTTCTTACAATACAAATGTTTCATCCCAAATTGGATTAAGAATATCATTATGTGCTAAACAAGAACTCTTTTTCTCTTAATTGAAATGAACAACTACATAAGGTTTATTTGTTGCATTTATCAATCCTTAATGTAAATTCTTAGCTCCTATCACTCTTATCTATAAAATTTAAGATCGATTCTTATTTGTTAATTTTGCCAACTCTTCCGTTTGATTCACTATAAATTCATTTGCTTTATTGATTTTTTCATTCAATACAATGTCTGCCTTTATTATTATTTCAATAAAATCTTCAATCTTAACCAGCCCTTTGTAATTTTTTGGACAACGTTCAAGTAACTCATCTGCCAATTCTCTATCAAATTATGTTTAAGCCATATTGTCTAAAATACGTAAAAGAGATGTTTTAGTAACAATAAAAAAAGGTTCAAATCCTTTACATTAAAAACATGCAGTCAGGTAATCTTTTGCTTATTAATATTTGTTGCTCATTAACTGATATTTAATAATAATTATTCTCTTGATTTTAAAATACAATTAATTAGTTCAAACTAATTCAATCTGTAATCCAAAAGTCATAAAACTTTATCAGAATTTTATGATATACAATTATAAGATGTGCTCTATATTAATATAATAATAAATATATGAACAATAATTTACAGAAAGATAGAATTAATTATCTTCTTAATTCATATCTATTCTTATATATTATAAATTTTTGAATCATTAAACATTCTTAAAAATTCAAATGGAATTTTAAGATTTAAGATTCTAATCAGAATGTAAAATTCGTTGATAAGTCATTTCATCTTTATATTCACCAATCTAAATTAGCTACTGAATGACTCCCATCACAATTTGGATTTTTTGGATCATATTATCTCTTACAACCACAAAGTAAAGCACTTAATTAATTTAGTGATATAAGCTTACTTCCCACTTCTTTTAGGTATTATTTTAACTGGTTCAAATCCTGTTCCTTCGCACTATCCATCACAGAATGGTTAACTAGATCCTAGTCCACATGTGCAATAGTAGTATTCAATTCCTTATTCTAAAAATACTCTTTTTTTGAATAGAACTTCATTACGTAAATGGAAATCTTGCTGCTACTTTGCTTTTACCAGTTTCTATAACTTTTTATTTATCCTAATTCTACATATAAATATAGATATAAATATTAATTAAATTTCATTTAGGTTCTTCTATATTTGTTTTATTAAATTATTAATCCTGTGCTTTCATGTAATACTAAGGTTGATAATAAGACTATTGCAACCAGTAATTCTACTAAAGACCTTGGGATAAATTAATAGATTAGCCTATAGGTTAATAAATAATTTATGGATAGAGAATTTATACAGGAATTTGTTATTAGTATTATTATTGATTTTCAAAATCATATTAACTATTGACAAGATTGAATTAATCTCCTAAAAATAGTTAAGATGTTTAAAGAGGTTGAGCTTATTAGGATTAAGGTATAGATTATCTAAGTGATGATGAAATTGTTAACCTTTACTATTATTATTATTATTATTAGATTTAAGATTATTATAATTATTATTATTATTATTATTATTATTATAATTATTATTATTATTATTATTATTGTTATTATGATTATTATAACAATTATTACTATTATTATTATTAATGTTAAAATTATTATTATTAAACTTAAGCCTAGGTTGAAGAACCATGAACTTTATTTATAACTTCTTACAAATACTATTGAGGTATCATAAAAATGTTTGATTATTCAAAATCTACAATCCCAAATTAACAATCTTCAACATCTTAAGCTGTTAAATTTGTAATAGCTTCAACCTCAAATTCTACTTAATTTGCTTAGAAATTGAGAATCATCTAGTCATAATATTGATCAAATTGTAACTAGCTGGTTTCATTTTCTAAGGAATAAATTAGGATTATATACCTTAGGGCTTTAAAATTTGTTTAAGAAGATTTATAGTACAATTTTAATCTAATTCCTATTTATTTACAAGTTTCTTAATTTATTAATCCAAATCAATTTTAATCTTTTCCATGGTGTCAAGAAATCGTTATTTATTATTTGCCTCTTCATTTTTTTGTTAAATTTAATCAATTTAACTTTCTTACTTAACTTTTTATTATTTTTCATATAATTGCTCTTATTGCATTTATTGATCAGTAATTAAAGTACTTACTCTAATTTATTTACCAGTACTCTCACTCAATCTATCAATAACTTAAAGAATGATTTTTAATTCTTTTGGATCAATATCTTCATATAAATGAACCAAATTATCAGCTTAATAGTTATGATTATGTTATTATAATAAGTCTACAATTTCTTATTAAATTTCTTCTTTAACTTCAGGTTATTTATTTCTTTCTTTTTTCATAATGGTATGATATCTGTTTTTTAAGGAATTTTCAGTACGTGTGTTTTTCATAATTTTAGAAATTTCAGACCATTTTTTTCCTTTTTTAAGAATTAGTTATAATAGAGTTAATTCTTCTTCTTTAGTCCATGGTCCTCTATAAGATATAAGATAAAAAAAAAATACTTAGAAATTTATGGATCTAATTTATTAATCCATCTTTCTCTGCATTATTTACCTTATCTAACAATTTATGTTTTGCATCTAAGTGCAATTTCTTTAGCAATTTCACTCCATTTACTATGTTTACCTTATTTTTGATATTCCATATAAATTGAAGCTAAAGCCTCATCTTCTTCTTTACTCCAAGGTACTTATACCAATTTAAATTTCGATCGTGCTAACCATTTATATTTACATTATGTTGCATTTCTTCCTACTATCAATTAAGCAATATATCTCCAATCTAAGTCATTCTAAATAAAAATAATATATTACTAGTTCTTTACAAAATTTATTTTTCCATAGACAGTATTTAATAATAATCCAAGTTAAAAATTATTTTTCATTATCTTTCCATTTTTTTTTATTTTGACGACCTTAGATCCTGCATAAATATAACAATGAAGATTACTTGCTCATAGATTTTTGAAACATTTATTCCAAATCATCTTCAGTTGGCCATTCCATATCAGCTGGAAATTCTATTCTTTCTTTTGCATTGTCTTATTCAATTTCTATTGAAGAGGTTGCTCTCATAAATTCTTTAAAGTTTCTTTAAACTTACTCTAAAGGCCAAACTAAAATATATAATCAACATTTTTACTAATAAGATCTTCTTGATCTAAATTTAGACTTGCTGCTAGTGATTCACCTACACCATCTTCAGCCATACTTCTAAGTTCTGTTTTTAGTATAATTAATACATTATAGAGTTATATCATCTATTTTCTTCTCTTATTTCTAATTCATTTTAATAATTATATATAGATAAATAAATCAGTTTTTGTTACCTTTAACATGTTTCTTCTCCAATTGTATATAGTCAATCAAAATCATTGATTATTCATTATTTGATATTTTTGGAATATCATCTGGACAACCCATATCTCTAATTGGAGATATTGATTAATAACCTATATCTATATGAGTAATCGTTTCTTCATCCATCTAAAATTTTTCATATTAAGATGGTATAATTAAAAGAGGATATGGAGTTGTAAATCCTTCCTTCTCAAAATGAAGCCATACAAAAATATTGTTTTTCACTTACCTATTAAATAATTAGATTAATTTTATTACGATTTAGATAAAAAGAAATACAATTAGAATTTTCCATCTTTCCTTGTATGAGTTGCAGCTTTCACTTTATCACCAGATTCTTATTTTTTTACAATCTTTACTGATGCATGATCAACTGCTCTAAATAATCTGTCTTTACAATTATATTCTGATTCTAAATAACCACTTATCAAAAATTTTGAAAAGAAATTCTTTATTTCACTCACATAAGCTGAACTTTCTTCAACTATAATATCTATTGTATAATTATATGTCGGTGGTTTTATAATCAAAGGAACCATCTTTCTTTCAAAATGTTGAGTTTCTTTTATCAAAATTTAATAGTCATAACTTATATTACATTAAGCTTCAAACTTAAAATTCATTTCATATTCACTAAATTGATCTATCTCACTCTCCTTCACTTCCTTATTCTCATATATGACTGCTATTTTATGAAATTTTAAAGAAACATGATATTTACTTGATGTAACTTCACCTTTCACTAAACTCTCTACTTCATCAGAATAATAAATCTTTTGATATTTTAAACTTAAATCATCACTTTTTATTTTTTGTTTTTAATTCAAAATTTATTATTTACCATTCCAACTATTGTAATTAACATTTAAACTATATTCTTAATCTAATTTAACAAGTAATTCACCTTCCCAATAACCTTCTTTATCTGTTATTAATTTAAGTTTCTATGTTTCAGGAATTGTATCAAGATTTAATTTAAGTTTTCCCTTTCCTTCACAATATGGATCAATGACTTAACCTTATATATTAATATATTGTAAATTAGTCTTTATTGAATGATCTTAACTTATTCCATCACATTTTATTGTTTATTCAATTGTTTCTTTCAAACCTTAAACTTTTATTTCTAATTTAAAACTTTCTTCTACATCTTTAAAACAACTCACTTCCAAAGTTGCTTTACCTTTTTCATCATCCACTTTCACTACTATTCTACCATTACCATTCTATTTTGGTTTAAATTCTGAAGCTTCTACTTAAGAATTCTTAATTGGCTTCTTTTTAGAATCTTATAAATTAAACTCAATTTTTTATTTATTTACTTTTCTTTCTAAAGTTATATCTCTATCCTTCAAATCTTCATTCTTTGAAAAAATTACTTTTTCTTAAATGTTTCCTTCTTCAAATTAAGGATGTGAGGCTTCTATCTCAAGTTCATATGTGTCAGTAAATATTTCAAACTAACCCTAATATTAACCTTTCTCATTTGAAGTTGTTTATATTGACTTAACTAACTTATCATTTTTATTTAAATTTATTATCACAACCGCTCCTTCAACATAATCAATCTAATTTAAATTTTCTTTATCCTTTATTATTCCACTTATCTAAATTTATTATTATTATTTTTTACTTTCAATATTGATTTATCATATACAGATTTTATTTTTATAACAGTCAATTCAGGTGCTTTCTTGCATTTAAATGGTTCTGAAAAGTACTCAGTCTATTATTTATGTTCATTAATATATATAAAATATGATATGTACTCAATATTTTAATAACATTAAAAATTAAATTAGAATGGTCTAAAATAAAAATAAAATAGATACTTTCCCTATTAAAGTGTAACACTAGTGCCATAGAATTTCTTATCATCTTCTTCCTTCATTAATGGTTGAGTTGTTTTAAATTAAATACTTCCTGTTTAATCTAAACTGGATTACAAAATAGCAGGAATCACTAATCTTTATAAATTAATATTATAGTTTAAATTTTCATTTTTAGTTCCAGGTATTGATAAAACATTTAATTATTTAAAATCATTAAAATCGGTTAGTTTAGCAGTAATATCAATACTTAAAGCTTCTTCATTTAAAATAGAAAATTCAATTTAATAAATGCCCTAATCTTTAGAATTTACATCATCTAATTATGTTTGTTAAACATCTAAATGAAATCTTCCCCTTAATTTTTATTAAATTTTATTAGTTACTAATTAATGTACAGTAAAGGTAATAATAGCCCCATTCATATTTGTATTAATATTAGTTGAATCTAAAACTTAGCCTTTCAAAGATATTAACCAAGTAATATATTAAACTGTTAGATCTTGCTTAATTTCCCATTTTGGTCCTTATAATTTTATATCCTAATTAAATTTAACTTTGGCTTCATTTTCAGATTTCAAATGACATTGTAAAGGTTAATCAAATCCTACTAATCCATCAACTTTTAAATCATATTATAAATCATATCCAATCTTACCTATTTATTTTATAGGCTTATTATCTTTTGAAAGAGCTTAATCACATGTTAATACAACTGGAAAGGTTGCAGGTATAATATTTTTAGCCTTACAATCACTTGCCTTACCATAAATATGACATTATTCAAAATCTTCATAGTAAATATTTGAAAATTCAATATTATCTTGGGGTTTAAGAGTAAAGACAGATGACTGATATTATTATTTTAAAGATTTTTCATCTCCAATTCCATTTTTATATTTGATAATAAATTCATATTTTGCATTAGCCTTAATAATTGTATCTTTTATTTCCCATAGACCTTTTTCATTAGTTTTAAGTTAAGTGACTTTGATATCTTTTGGATCTTCTTAAAATATTATACTGAAATCAAATTATTAATTAGATTTAGGTTAATTTTTAGGATCAATAAATTTACCTAAAATATTTAACTTCACATCTTTTAAACAAGCTGATATCTCTTTAAAAGTTGAGTATATGCCTTTAGTGAATGTGGTATCAAATGATTAATCTTAAATATCACCTGAAATTGTAGTAGTACATTACACAATATCATTAAAATTACTAACTGCTTATATGTTTACAATAAATTCACCATCAAGTTTTGTTTACTCATTTTTTTCAGATTTATTTGAACATTTTACTTTTATCTAAAGAGGATTAATTAATTATCCTCTACATAATTTAACTTTTCCACTTATTTTATATTGTATTTGTCCTCCAATATATTAATCTTTAAAATGCTGTTCCTCTAAATTATCTATTTTTGTTTAAAAATTTATCTATGTACTAAATGACTCATATTCAAGAAACCCTATATACTGTTAATTTTTAAATAGTTTTTTATCTACAAATTAAATGATTCCTTGGGCATCGGAAGTTAAGATTATAACTTCTGATAGAGGATTAGTATGAAAATTGGCTTAATATCCACTTAAAGGTTTATTATTAACATCGAAGAATTTAACAGTAAAAATTCCTTAAATGAAAAGAGAGTCAGAAATAATTTCAATTTCTGGTTTCTCTTTTGATGGTGGTATGCACTTAAATTAATGTGATTAGAATTTTTATGTAGCGAAGTTCTTTATGTTTAATTCTAATGTTGCCTTATAATTCACATTTTAATAACATTTAAAATGAAGTTTAAAGGATCCACTAAAACATTAGAACAATATATTTACTCATTTGATTAATATATTGGATTATACAATTTATCATCTTCCATAAATGGAGTACATGAATTTAATTTTATTGTAGCTTGTTATTTTAATGTATCAACCTTATAATTTAGAATAATATTATTATACTCAACACGCTCTAAAGTTATAGGATTTTTATTATTTGGATTTTAATCTGATTATACATTAAAATTAAAACTTTAAGAGCCATTACCTTCTAAATTTAAAAATTCATCTTTCTAATAATCTATAAAATCAGGATGAGATATTTATAATTTTACAATCATTTATTCACCTTTTCCAATTTTAAATTTTAGAGAAAACTAACCTTTCTCATCAGATTTTATATTAAATTCTCTCGAAAGTTTATGTTAAGTATCATCTTTTTAAAAAATAATAAATTTCATATTAGATTCACTAATAAATGGAACTATTTGGGTTTTATCTACTACAATACCAGTAATTATTATATCAAAAAGATTGTACTTAATTTCAATTTATTTTAGATCAACTTTCCAAATTCCTTTTTATAATGTAAATTATTTTGAGAATGGTTGAATGAATTGAACAATATCCTATTATTAAATAGTACAAGCAATGTCTTTATCTCCTCTAGCTTCTACTTTCCAATTTTAATCGATAATTTCATTTTCATCAGTTTATCCAAGTATTTATTTTGGTAAATTTAATTTAGATTAAATAGTATCACAATTAATTTAATAAGGAATATTAAATTTAATATTTTCAGGAGCTTGTAAAAATGTACCAGTCAATTGAGCATTTACTATGTCTTAATAGTATAGATTTTCAATTAATATATTTTAAACTGGTTCAAGGGTTGTTGAAAATATAAATTTATTAATTAGTATTTCTTTTTACATATTTGTATAAGTAATTTGTAAATCATATTAAGCAGAAGGTTATAATAGCATTTTTTATTTGATCCACTATCCATTAGAGTCTGTTTGAGCATCAAATTTTTCAATTAAATTCTCAAATTTAGCTATAAATTATAATGGTAGATCTTTTATTGTTTTTAAATTAGGATCTAAAACAATACCATGTAATGTAACTGAAGGTTGAACTGGTATTTCAATAATACCTAATTAGTAAAGATCAGAATTTTTAGTTCTATCATCATGATCCATAGAAATAGTTTTTGATTATTCATATAAAGCATAATACTATTTAGTAATAGATATTTGAATTATAAATTTATACCAAAGTTTAGTAATGTATGATATATCGATTTTACCATCTTCTTTTGTTTAGAAGGTTTAAGTATTTAGAATTCTAAGTATATAAAAATAGTAAGATACCCTTTAGATTCAGAACTAAAAATAATTTCAACAATGGCATCTTTTAAAGGTTTTTTAGAATTTTTATCAACCACAATTCCTTAGACCTTTTAAGTAAAGACTCCTTCTTCCATAATGACTTAATAATTGACTTTATATTAATTAGTTCTATTGGTAGATAAAAATATATTTTTACACAATCAAGACATAAGTCTCATCATTATCTTTAGTTTATCTATAATTCCAAAAGTTTTCGCTTTATGCTAAGAATTTCAAAACAGCAGCAGATTTTGGATAAATTGTAAATAATTTAGATAAACCTTAATCATTAGATTCACTTTGAAATGCATAAGATTTTTAACCATTCAGTATATATTCAATAGTATAATCAATTTTAACACCCACTAAAGGAGTATAAGATTATCCTCCATTTAGTGGAGCATTTTTATTAAAGTATTATCCATTAATTTTAGCTAAAACGGCAAGTCCATTTACTGTCACATCATCTACTGTAAGAATGAAGTCCTAAATTATATTACCATTTTTATCTGGATTTGCAGCATAACGTTAAGGAATTTATAAATCTCCATTTAAGGATGCTTCAACAAATAGATTACCCATTTAGTTTATTTGTGCTATAAGCTCATACTTTCCATCATCTTTTGTTTAACCACTTATGATATTTTATTATTGCTGGCTATTGATAAAATTAGAATTAGTACAATAATTTAATGTAAACTCCTGCAATATTGATACCCTAGGAATCCATGACGGTTCCTGTTACTTTAAGCTTAGTTTAAGCTGAAACTATGCATATTAATAAAAAGAATATTAGCATCTTGAATTTTAATATAATTTTATTGTTGTTTATTTCAAATAACACAATCAAAATCATTTAACCATTTGATAAGTTGATAAACAATTAAATAATTCATACTAAACCAATCTTAATCCCTAAACAAACTAAATTCAAATATTATTTTATTAATAACAGATTACTAATAATTGAAATGAAACAAATTTTATCAAATTTACCTGATAATTTCTTAACAGAACCTCGATCTTCATAACAATCATGTCATATTATTAAATCAAAACCTTTAATTACTTATACACCTTTACAAGTTAATAAACCTTAAAATTTGATTCAATCATTAAATGGGTTATGCAAGTACTTTAATAAAAAGGATGAAATGAAATAGATTACTTATTTTGCTCCTAAAAGTGTCTAGAGATCTTCAGCATCATTATCTCCTAGATAAATCATAACAAGTAGCATCTCAGATAATAGTCCTGTATTAGTTAAACAGCTTCTTTGTAGTTAAAAATATCTAAAAGAAAATCTCAAACCTAAAGATGAGAATACCATCACAGAATTCAAATCTGTAACTAAATTATTATTATCTTTCTTAGGATTAAAAATTAATCAAAGTTAATGATAGTAGTCATAAAAGAAGTATGGGAAGATTTGCAAAAAATTAGAAATCCAGAAATACTTCTGTTTAATATCATGAAGATTGGAAATTAAAATATGAAGATCTATAAGAAAGCTTATGCTAACGTATTTAATAATTAGAAAATGAACTTGAAGAAATGGAAAAGAATAGAAAAATTGATAGAATGCATTCTGATGAATAAACAAATCAATACATTGAATAATTACAATCTATTATAGCTGATAAAGATCAAGTTATTTATCAAATGGAATAAAAAAATTAGGAATTACAAACTATCATTCAAAAATAATAAGAAGAATTTTCAAGATGTCGTTTAGATAAACCTCACTTTTTTGATAATCTCGAAATCAAACGATTATAATTAGTAGATTAACAATTTCAAAAATTAAAAGGATAATTACCTGTTTTAGCTTGTACAATTCGAAATATAGAATAAATATTAGATACATCACAAGCATAATAATAATTAAATAATTTATCTTTATCTTCAGTTTCTGTAGTTGAAATGATAAATGAAATGAATCAAGGAATAGGACTTAATATTGTTTAAAGCTCAAATCGGAATAATGAGTAATTGATTCACAATATTTCTGACAATAAATCAGTTAATTTAAATGATATATTATCCAGAAAAAAACTCTGATGATTTCAATTTATTTATAATATTTAATATATAACTAAATATATGGATTAATCACCAACTCAAAAAATTTAATTACCAAAATCTAATTGTTACAAACGTCAATCTACAATTGAATATCCTATTGTATATCATCTATTAAGCACTTATATGTTTACTGTATAATAGAATACAAAACTTAGTATTATCAATTATTGATATAGACAAAAATGAAAAATAAATTAGATTGGTTGAAATGGGCAAAAAATTAGGAGAAAATGTAATGGAATCATTAGCATCAACATAATTTGAAAAGATTCGTTTAAATCCAGATCAAGGAAAATATACAGAATATGTAAAATTCTTCGGTAAAGACTTTTGGTCATATATGTTTGGATAACCAGTATCTAAAGTTTAAATAAACAAATCTGGCTCTCATTATGATATTGAAGATAAATATGAAGAATAAAAAAAAGGAAATAATACAATTACTAAACTTGGTTTTCAAATGACTAGGAGAATCAGATTAAATGATAAAATGTAAAATATTATTCAACTTAGTTAACAAGATGAATATTTATCACTTTGGGCAAGTTTCTTATAAGGTTTAGTAATAGGAGGAATGAAAGCACTTACAATTGATTGTGATTCTGAGGTTGAGTTTATCAATAATGAAGTAATTCAAATATATTATTATGTTTAGCCAAGTGATTTAAGATTTACAATACAAATTCGAGATTTTTTGAGTAGTAAGAGTAATTTCTTAATATGATTATTTTTAAAATAATAATATTTTGGAATCCATTTTATTAAACATATATAATATATGTTTAAAATTCACAATCACATTCAAGTAAACATGAATTCTCTATTTTCCAAAATCACTCGAACTTCTAAATTCATGAGTAATTTGTTCTCACACTCTATTAATAAAATTGTTTAACCTAAAAGTTATTGAAATTTATTTATAAATGTTTATATTAAAAATTTAACTTTATTTTTGCTTTACAAATTCTATCTTTATATTTGCAAAGTTTAAGAATTTAAGATTATTTATATAATGTCTTCACATTTTATAAATGCTCTAAAATTTGAACAGTTTATTTTTTTTAAATATTCTTTATAAGAATCTATTTCTGGAATTTATTAAAACTTTCTTTACAAAATGATAATTCTTGACAAACTCTCATAATATATATCTCAATAAAATTCTTGATAAGTCTTTCAATAAACCCAATTTCCTTAAGAGATTTTTCATTCAAAATCTTCTTCGCATTAATTTTCAAAGAAAGTTATTATATAAACAATTTTTTGGAATTTGATATTCTTATAAAATAAGAAAATCATAATCATTTTATTTTGATTATAATTTCTGTTCTAATCATGAAGAGCTCAAAGTTTCTTTATATTAATTTATTTAAACATAGATGACAATTGTATTTAAAAAGAATATACATTCTCAAAATCAACCGTTAAAGATGTAGAATAGTGTTAGATATATCAATCTAGTTTATCATTATTATAAAATCATTAATTTTCATTATAACTGTATAATTATTATTGATTATTAAATCTTATAAATCTTTAGTTTATTAATGGTTTTATATTGATATTTATATATATAATCATATGTGTTATCATAAAGTAAAATTTTTCTCCTCATAGTCTTCTAATGTTAGATGTCCCTTTCCTAAACAATCTAAACACTAATCCCTTTCTCTTTTTTGAGTTGGCGATAAATCTTGATCCAAATATTTTCTTGAAAATTTGGGTATGACATACCCAATCCCCTTACAATTATGACATTCTTGCTAAGTTATGATTGTCTCTTCTTTCATTTCAATATTTCCCATTTTTATTGTGAATTGTTCAATTATTTAATTACTCTCTTCTGAATTTGAGTTGTCAATTTATAATATTGAAAAAATACGTATTATTTAATAATATCAACTTTAATATTACTAATTATCTTAACTGAATAAAGAATCGCTTAAAACTAGAAAAGTGTACTTCATGTTTTAAAAATTTAAATTTCCAAATTCTGAAATACTCTAACTGATATAATAATCATAATACAATTTAGTTTGTTTAATTACTATTATTTGTATTCTTTGAGAAAGAAAAGTATATTTTTATTTTCATTGAATTTTTTTAAGAGTATTTTAAAAAATTAATGAAATAATCCTAAGTTAACAAATTTTTCACAAATTTAACAGGAAGACAATAAATTTCGAATGTGGCATCTCCTACTACAACTGCTCCTAGTAAACATAATAAAAATGCAAGCTCGACAATCTCAAATGGAAATAAATATTTATATTATTCGAAACGTACATCTCGTCTCCTTTTAGACTCTAGTAAAAAACTTCCACTTTTAACTACTGTTATGAAAACAGAAACTTAAGATACTCCAAAAACTGCAACAGTTAAAATGAGAAAAGCAAGTGGAAATTCAGGAGACTTTCGCATTATAAATTAACATTAAAGAAATAAAACTGAGACTCTTATTATAACTAATAATTTCAATACTAATAAAATGGACTCTCCTATAGATAACTTTGAAGATGTTCAATTAATAAATACATAATAGAATATATAACATACAGTCACTATTCCAACATCATTAGAACATTTTATTGAAATTCAGTAGATATCTTTAACTTCAAGTAGAAGTGAAAATTTTACTTCATAAATATAACCAAAACTTTATCCAATTTAAGTATTAGGAGAAACTTATGAATTCTAGAAAACTTAGAATTTATATCCTAAAATTAAAAAAAGAACCTAGATTAAATTACAAATTTCAGAAATAGAATCATTAAATGAAAAGAGTTGTCATTTAATGAGAAAATTAAGATAAATGCTTCATACTCATAGGGATAAAGAGAAATTATTAGAATTAGAAATTAAAAAGAAAAAGGAATCTTTAGTTGATAGATAATTTTCAAAAACTTTAAGTAATATGCCAGATGAAAAAACACCAAAAGCTTTAGAATCAAAATTTAATTTTAAATTAAGTACTATAAACAAAAAATAAACAAAAATTCATCCTAATTATAGTATTTAAGATACTGAATCCATTCTGCCCTTAAAAACTATTATTGATGCTCTTAAGGAAAAGAAAGACGATAAAAAAGATAAAACTAAAATTGAAAAATCTTAAATTATATAGTAAGTTTCTAAAAAAAATATCAAAGTAACTGTTGCTTTTGAAGAAGATGAAAAATAAATAGAATTTTAAATGCCAGAATATATAGATGAAGTTTAATAAATTGACAATTAATCGACAGAAATAAAGGAGAATAAATAATCAAATATTTATTCTTTGGTTAGTAAATCTATGTTGCAAAAGTATTATAAATATATATATATTATTAGTAAATTTGCTTTGAGATTAGTTAAAAAATTTGGAGATAAGGTGATTAAAACTTAAAAAGATAACGATGCAATTGAAAATTTTAACTCATTTAAAGCCTCTTAATTTACTAGATATTATCTATAGAATCATACATAAAAATGTTTTAAAATAAAATATGAACCTTAATCAGAAAAGGAAGAAATTTAATCTGCTTCAAAATTCAATTTTTTGAATAAAAATTTTTATTCTGAAACATTTCAAGAAATTCAAAGCAAAAGTACATAATAACTTGCATAATAAAATGTAATTATTTTTTGAATTTAAGAAAGATTAATATAAGAAATAATGTTAAGTAGAAACTTTATTTTATACTGTGGGATTAAATTATGAAAATCATCTAAGTGATAATAGTATTTTAAGTCCAAATGCTTCTTTATTAGATATAAGTGATATAGAAATGCAAACTTAATTTAAAATAAATTACATATACTATATGTTAAATTTAATATCTACAAATGATTTACAATAATAGAAATTAAGAGTAATTGTCAATACTGTGGATGATGAAACTAAAAATTAATTTTTACATGAAGAACTTTTGAGATTTCCAGAGATCATAAATTTAGTGATCAAAGTTGAGACTGACTCTTAAAACCATTGTATATTATTTATAATTAAATAGAGAATTATAGATTCTTAATAATTTCGAATAAGAATTATAAAAAGTTGATTTAACAAATGTGAAAATAAAATTATCAAATAAATACAATTAAATTTTAACAGGTTTATTTGAAGATTACCGAAATCATTAAGTTTCTTAAATGGAAAAGATATATGTTGAATATTGTAAAACATAAAATGATTTGGATTCAGTAAAAACTAATGATCGATAATTTACAAATTTAAATATTCCTTAACATTCAAGAAGTAGACTAGCTTCTCCAATAGGATCAGTATCATATATTTTATATATCAGAATGAATCAAAATTAACTGGAAAGGATATAAATCCATAATTTCCAAAAGGAATGTTATTAAAAAAGAATAAGAAAACAAAGAATTTACTAGCAACTTAAAAATTTGCTTCATCGTAAAACATAAAATGTAAGAGTAGTCGCAATTTGTAAACTTTGTTACATGCAAATACAAATTCTAATCACAATATTTAATAATTATTAAGCTCTTAAAGAATTGTCTAGAAAGATTAAGAATAATAAACAAAATCAAAAAGTTCTTAAAGACAAATATCTATAAAATCTAATTTGATTAGTTAATAATCAATGGATCCTTCCTCTCTATTATTCAGAAGTATGTTATTGCAAGAAAGCCAACAAAATGATAAATCAAATATTGAAAGAGCATTTTCCTTAATAGAAGATCATAGATTGTAAGATCTAAAAGACTTATTGAATCATGATTAGAATATAAATATAAACACATAAAATTAGAATGGAAATACATTTTTAATATAAGCAGCAAGAACAGGAGCATATGATATTATTTAGTTCCTACTTCGTTTAGGAGCAGAAATTTCAATTAAAAATGTATTAAATATATTTTAAATAGAATGATGGCTTTAATGCTATTTAGATAGCAATAACTCATTTACAATTTGAAGCAGCAGATGAACTTAATAGATTTAGTAAATCAAATTCTTTTATATCCCATTGATTATAACTTTGGATTTTCGATTAATTACTAATTAATGAATGATTTAAACTTAGACTCATACTCTTATTCCACCTTTATCTTTGAATGTTCTTAAACCATACAACAACCATTCTTCCTTCTCTTTATTATAAGGCAAATCTTCTAATCAATCATCAAACTATTTTACTCTATCAAAAATTACAAAATAGCTTAGCCTTCTAATTTTCATCTTTACATCCTTATATATTACTATTATAAATTTTTATCAATAATATAAAACTCTTTACATGATTACTTTAATGTTTGAATCTTTATTATTCATACCTTTTGAATACATATATTAAAAAATCCATAAGTTCTAGTATTCCTTATAAATTCCTTAAAACTTGATAATGTATAATATTCAATCGTTTTAAGGATACTATTAATTAAAATATCCATTAATTCCTAATCCATATCTAAAATATGGCTTTGATTAATTAAATTTAATAAAAATTAAACATATAAAAAAGTCAAAATTTGAGAGAATTAGAATAATTGAAAATTAATATTATCTATCTTTATAAGTCTGAGTACCTAATTATTCTCATGTTTTGCCAAGATTAGGAAGATTTGTCAATTTTAAAAAGCACACTTACTTCCATTTATAAAATTAATATTACCTTATGACCACTCTTTCCTGATTCATTATTGAAATTTAATTAGCAAATTGATAATTTATTATTTTGGTTGATTATTAATATAACCGTTTTACTTGTACTTCATATACCATATTTTTAGAATATTTGATATTGAAAACTAATTATTATTTAAGTAATAATTCAAAACAAACATATTATATTTTAATTAAGTTTATTTTTTTTTGATTTCTTGAACATTTATGTTTCAATTATTTAAAAATGAATTATATTGAATATAAATTATTTAATTTACTTATTAATATTATTAATGTTACCTATATTATAAAAGGAGAGATCTAAATCAATCAATGTAAAAAAGCAAACAGAAAAAAATTCAATTCATGCTGATGTATCTCCATTTGGTGAAGGAAGAGGTATATTAATCATATTGATTTTGAATAATGAAGAATTTGTTGCTGAGTTTATTCAAAATCCTCACTTTCTTCAATTTCTTAAATATAAAGAGTTTTTAAATGAAATGCAAATCAAATAATTTATTGTATATTTACAAGAATATTATATCTAATCAACATGTAAATCATATACTTATCATTACTGTACATTTTCATAATAATAAAAAAAAATCGATTTAATGAATACATCAAGCAGAGAAACTTATGAAGTACTATTTGAGTTTGCTGAAAGAATTAATAAAGATAAATAATTTAATTTTATTTTTGGGTTTGACTTTAAAATGATACATAAAAGCAAATTTAAAAATATATTATTTTTGAGTGACTCTAGAATAGATTAATAAATAGTGGAATTCATTTAACCATAAAAAATAAGTCGAGTTAGAGCATTCTCTAATCCAAGTGTCAATCAAACTACAAAAGAATAATCAGAAATATTCGATATAGATAATAAATATTAATAATTAGCATCAAATAAAAAGAATAAAGAAATTAAATAATGCTTAAAAGAATAAAATAAATAGAAATAAGGAATAAAAAATAAAGAACAATTAATCATTAAGAAGATTATGCAAACTGAAAAAATAAATGAACCTTAAAAATAATAAAATGAACTACCTTAAATATGTGAATAGGTATTTATAAGATTTTAGTTGATTTTTGCAATTAAGAATATTTCAGTAGATAAAGATTTGTTTTCTTAATTTCTTTTGTTATGCGAAATGACTATTTTATACACTAAAAATAAATTACTTTAAGTGTCAATTTAAAAAATTGAAGAAAGCAAAAGATTAGAAGTACTTTTAAAATAACTCTTTTTTGATTATAAAATTCTAAAATCTATGAATATAAAATTATAGTAATTGAATCCTGCATTAACTAGATGCTTATTAAGATTTTTAAAATAAGGATTAGAATATGATAGACAAAATAGATTATTTTGGAATGACTTTTTAAGATTTAAATAATATTACATAGATAAGATTTGGGAAGTATCTGATTTTAGATTATTTTTGATGCTTTTGAATGATGAAAATCAATCCCTTACTTCTAAAATTATGAAAGTTTAACCACTCAATATATAAAGAGCCATTTTAAATCTTGAACCAGAATCCTTATAGAACATTGTCTACTCCTTAATTTTTTGAATTAGTTTTATTAATTTATATAAATACTAAAATTCGATCTACTTACTAATTGTCAAAAATGCAACTTTTATATCTCTTAAATATTTTATTGAAAAACAAATATTCATATCAACTTTTTATTACATACATAATCAACGAAATCATCAAAGTCTGAAGGTTAAGCTAATTCTAATAAGATTTTTTTTTTCAAATCATTCTGCTTTTTATTACTTGGATTTGGAATTGTTTCTTTGAATCTAAATGATTCATTTCCTTTTTTATCCATTATTTATGTTTTTAATTACATCAGTACTGGTTTTGTTTGTTATCTTACTTATTTTATTCTGGGGGTTATGCTAACTTATTTTGAGACTAACAATTAAGTCTATTCAAAAAAAGATGGGCATTTGCTATTAGGTGTAACTGGTAAAGTCACCATTTATCGAGGAGTAAGATGTTCATATTTATGTTATTAACTTATGGAACTTGTTTTCTATTTCATTGAATTATTTGTTCCTACAGTGTTAAAATAATGATATCTGTCAGAAGGATCAACTAAATGCATTCCAATTATCATTTTTTTTCTTTTTTATAATTCGCTATAAGGTGTAAGTTTAAACATAAAATAATTACATTCTAAATTATTTTTAATGCTCTTTAATCTAAATATATAAGCTTTTACAAGAGACTTATTGTCTTATTCAAATATCTTCTTATCATAATAACATATTGATAAAATATATCGCTACTTTTTTATTAAAAATCTTGAATCTATGAGAAGATTTTTAATGCAATCAAATTATTACTCAAAAACAAAGATAAAAATGCATAAAATATAGTAACTAACTGTTGAATTATAAATTTACTATTAATTTATATTGCATATTAATTTTATTATATATAATGGCAGAGTTCTAAATGCCTCTTTCCTCCATACCTAATACAAAAATTTACATAAACGAAAATACTATGAGAAAGATTATTCTTTAAAATAAAGGAACAACAATGAACCAAACAAAAGGATTTAGTTCTATGTTTACAAATGTTGTTTGTGATCTATCTAATTTAGAAACGTCAACAGATTCATCAAGCTAGAAAAATCTGACAGGTCCAACATTTGCTCCTCATAAGAAAGATAAATTTAGATATCATGTTTAAAAACCTTAGGTTAATTTACAAACTACAAACATATATAGAGTTCATAGAATGCCAATAGATAAGAAAATTATTAGAACGACAGTAATGCCAAAAATAAAGCCTGAAGAAAAAGCACCAGAATCAGATTTATCTTTATTACCTCTTAATCCAAATAGAGAGCAAAGATCATATAGTTATAAAGAAAGACCATATTATTTAGAAATGCAGAATTAGAGAAAGAAAAGTCAAGTAAAACTTGATCCACCTTCAGAAATTATAGGAAAATCTTTTGACATTAAACCGCCAGTTACATATAAGGAAGAATGGACTGATACTTAACCATTTAATATATAAACAATAAGATAAGAAATTGAAAAAGCTCTTGAAAAATGTTCTCCAAAAAAATAAAATTAATAATTTTTAGAACCTGAAGTTATATAATAGAAACCAAATCCTAGTTATATGTTTATTGAAGATGATAGAGATCGATATGGAAAATAAATTTATCCTATTAGTATGCCTTAACCAAAGCCTGGTCCTGGTTAATATGAAACTGATAATACCTCATTAAATTATAAAGTCAATAAAATCCAAGAGAGAAACACTTAGAAAAGACTTGTATAACTATGGTAATAATAATTTTGAATTAATTATTACAATTTTATATATGAAATGATTAAAATCATCTGAATTAAATACTCTTTATCATTTACAAAAAAATGATTTCAGTTGTTTTCATTATTTCAATAATTTGATTATAAATTTTTATTAAAATTATATGAGTTTGAATGTTCAAGGTTAAAGAAAACCAAACTAAGTTAATAGTCCTAGTAATATTAAAAAGCCAATGATATCTTCATTGATTTTTAATTGTAGAGCTCCTATAAATATTCCAAACAGTTCATAAGTATCACCTTAAAATTCTGAACAAAATCTCTTAAAACCAATACATTCTCATAAAGGATCATAAGTAGATGTAACTAATTTAACAAAATTAATAAAATAAAATAAATCTCCTACTATTGAAGCATTTGATTCATAAAATACTTAATTTTCAAGTTCATAATAATTATAAGCATTATTTGCAAAAGCTAAAGAAATAACTTAGAATAAATAAAAACCATAAATTGTAAAATAATAGGTTCAATAAATTCAAACATAATCAATAAATTAATTGAAAGAACTATTTAATGATAATTTATATTGTAGAAACACTTTTCATTTTCATTTTGTAGTTGGAATAGGAGGATTTGGGAAAGTTTGGAAGGTAGAACATAAAAAAACAGCATAAATCTATGCTATGAAAGAAATGTCAAAGGCATTGTATATGTTGTTTCTTAATATAGAATTATCACAAAAAAAAGTGTAAATTCAGTTATGAATGAGAGAATCTTATTAAGTTAATTAAAGCATCCTTTTTTAGTTAATATGAATTATGCTTATTAAGATAGAGAAACTCTATACTTAATTATGGATTATATGTCAGGAGGAGATTTGAGATATCATATAGGAAGGATGAGAAAGTTTAATGAAGAATAAACCAGTATATAATATTAAATAGATTTTTTGAGGGTTCTTTGTAGCCTGTATCTTTTTAAGTTTAGAATATGTTCATGACAGTAAAATAATACATAGAGATATCAAACCTGAAAATTTAGTGTTGGATAACAAAGGATATGTTCATTTAACTGATTTTGGAATTGCTAGAATTATGAAGCTTGAAAACTCAAGTGATACTAGTGGTACTCCAGGATATATGGGTATATATATATATTTATGAATCATTCATTCAGCTCCGGAAGTAATGTATAGATAAAATCATACGTACGCTGCAGATTATTATGCTTTAGGAGTGATCGCTTATGAATTTATGTTAGGCAGAGTAATTATTAATTCGCTTTTAGAGACCTTATGTAGGAAGGTCAAGACAAGAAATTAGAGATTAAATCATGGCTAAATAAGTTTAAATTAAAAAATCTGAAATACCTGATAATTGGTCTCTGGAAGGAGCTGATTTTATCAATAGAGTATTATATTTATTAGAAACTTTTGTAGCTTTTATAAAGAAAACCTTAATAACGATTAGGTTTTAATGGAAGCCAAGAAATACGCTAACATCCTTGGTTTCTAAATTTTCCTTGGTAAAAACTATCAAACTTCGAACTTGTACCACCATTTTTACCAAATGTATGTTACTTTCATAAAATTAGAGGACTGAAGATAATTTTGACTAAAAGTAGATTCTCATTGAAGATGAAGAAAATAATGAACTTATATAATAAAATCTACTCGTTTTAAAAGATCCAACAACCCAAGGTATTATTATTAAAATCATCATAAAAGATCTATTTTAGGGATATGAATTTAATGTTAATCAAAACCAAAATAAGATTTCATCAACTACTGATTAATCATCAAGTTCATCATCTAAACATAGTAGAAATTTTAGCCAATAAATTGAAAAATAACAATATTTTGAGAATGGTAACAAGTGATTCTATTGATACCATTCATATAATAAAAATGCTGTTTTATTTTATTTTGAGATAACAGGTTATTTTTGGGGTTTATAAATATCTTGACAAATTATATCACTTTTTTTTATATATTGCTTTTTAGAATAATATTAATTTTTTCTATGTATTTTGCAATAAATCAAGAATTTTAATCTCAATTTTTTTTTGAAATTAGAGATTTTGATTTCCTAAAAATTAACTACTAATTATTTAAAATTATCATATTTTAACAGATTTGATAATCTCAATTCTAGATAAATGCAGATAGGCAAAACAATGAATTTTCTTAAAAAATTATAAAAAAATTTTATAAAATTGGAATTTTCTTGCTTGATTCAAATAGTATTCAGTACATTTTCTTAAATTTTGTGTGTATGGCTCGTTGATATCTAGAAATATATATTATTTATTTGAGGTTTCAAAGATACGGTGCTTGTTAATATGACTTTTTAGTTTTATAAATAATGTTATAAATATTTTAAATACCATTAAATTCATAAAATGATTAGAAATATATCATAAAAACAAGATGGAAAGAAGATAGTTAAAAAGAATACTTAAAAGGAGCTTGAGCAGATTTACAAATTAGTCTTGCTGTTACATCATTTGGAAGTTGATTTAAGTCTTTTGCAAGATGAAAAATTGATTTCTTTTAATGATGTGGCTTCTATTAATTATATAAATAAATCTACTGATCAATTAAATGGATAAAGAAAAGAAGAAAGTAATTTTTTATTTTATAAAAGAAAAAAAAACTTTGAAAACTTAAAAGCAACAATAAACTTAATAAGAAATTTAAACTTTAGAATAAGAAACACAATACTTATGTAAAGACTTTTTCGATTAGTGTTAAAGAAATAAGAAAAAGAGAAGATTATGAATTATTATTTGTTAATAAAAATTATTTTATTCCCTTTGCTGATTGTTCCTGAGGAACTCCATTATAAAAATAATTTATGATAGAAGTAAAATAATTTTTGAAAAAAAATTTTCAAAACAAACAAAAGCTGCTTTATTTAAAAATTTCATTTTTTAAAGCCTTCCTACTTAAATGTCTCACCCAAAATTAATTTGAAAGACAAGCGGATCCAACTATTTTATGTTTTAAATCAGCCTAAAATTAGTGAGAAAAAGTTTATAATTATTCAATAAATTATTGTATTAATTAAAAAAGATTGATTATTTTTAATAATCCCTTTTAATTACAAATATGAAAGAACTCTTAGAAGATGTCTTCTTAGATTGTAAAATGGAGTAAGTTACGATATAAGAAATTTATCTAAAAGCAATTAGGAGGCTTAAAAATATTTATAAGGAGGAATTAAAAAGAATAAAAAAAATTAAACACTTAAGACATCTATCTTTAGGTGAATTTCATGAATAAACTAAAAATACATATCATTATTAAGAATTATTATTAGAATAGTAAAAAAAATGTAAAAAAAGTGAACCCTAAGATTTTAATGATTAAGTAATCCTTTCTGTTACACTAACATAAAAAAAAAACTACCTGATTAAAACAGAAAAAGGAATACATTATTAATGTAAATGTCATCTAATGGCATTTCAAACAAATTAAGAATTAGGTGGTCATCAAAGAACACTTAAATGAATATTCATAAAAAATATCCTAATAATATTATAATATGATTAATAAAAAATTATGTAGTAGTTGATTTTTGTTTCTAGTAAGATTGATATATGTGCTTATCACTTTCAGTTTTTAAGGATTTAAGAAACTTAAGTTATAATATTATTCTACCATTTTCTTTTAATCATAAAAAATTTAAACTTAAACTTAATCGTAGATTTCTTACTATTATAAGCATGAAATTTAAATTATTCAAAATTTTCTACATCAGATTTATAATCATTTTAATTATTTCTGCTTTATAATCTTCTCTAATACATTCTTTGAAAATCTTAATAATTCTACTTAAAATATAATTAAAATTCATATAGTGAATATATGATGTTGTTATAGATATGAGAGTGATGTCAATAAAAAAAGAGAAAAGAAGAAATAAAAGATTACATGCGAAGGGGAGGAGAGAAGTTGTTAACGTGTTTGTCAAAATAAAAAGTATTTTAATTTAAAATTCATTTTCACTTGTTTTTTAAAACCTTTTATATTTATCAATTTATATATCAAAGTTATTATATAAATTAAGCTAAAATTTTAGTGTGATAATTCCATTTATTTGCTTTATTGAAATTATAAAGAAATAATCTAAAGAAACTACTTAAAAATGAAAGCATAAGGATTTAAAAATATTCAATAGAAATATTCTCAACTTGCATTTCATTAGAGATCTCTTAACAATTTATTGAATTTCTAATATCAATAAGAAAATAAATTATAAAAAAACAATGAACTTGACTAGTTATATAAGTTGAAGGAACTTAATGAAATTAATGAGAGAATCTCTAAATATTAATTGTAAAAATTATTTTAATTTAGACTTAAATACCATAAAAGGTCTCTAAGTTCATAAAATAACTTAGAAGGGTTCCTAAATCTCACAGATCAATAGATTTTTCTATATCTTCCTTATCACCATTGTAATTAGCATAGAAAAGTAGCTATTAAGAAATTATGGAAGAAATATATAAATGTCATTATCTCGTTATTTAGATATAAAAGAGCTAGAAATGAAATCTATAAATTTTATATTCCTAGAAAAAAACTCTATTCTTTACCTACTCCAGATACTTTACCAAGGAATCCAAGAAAAAGAAAAAAAGATTGCCTATCTAAATTAGGAACATTTGGAGAATATATTGAAGCATAGGATGAATTATAAGAAAAATAAAAAAAAAAAGAAATTCCTAATTTTAAGAAATCTCCTATCTATCTAAAATACTAATCTAATCAAATTAGGATCAATCGAATTTTAACTACAAGAAATAATAGTATTTCAGCAGATAATTTAAGAGTATCTCCAATAAAAGTAAAACCTAATTAAAAGTTTAATCTAACTCTCCCTCCTCTAATTAAATTAGATAAAAGATTATAAAGAGTATTTTCAAATCTAGGCAAATGATTACTTTATATTATAATATAATTATTTATGAATACTAAAAAATTGCAAAAAGTTTATAGAAATGACTTAGAAAGCAGTTTTATTCGAAAATTTGAAAGATCTTTTTTAAGTTAAAGCATGAAATCAAGTCAAACTACAAGAGTTCGATTATATTAATAAAAGTAACCAAGATATCAAATAAATGAGAATTTGAAACAATTAGCTGAGTGGAATGAATAAAAATAATATCATAAAAAGTAATTACTTTTATAATAATAAATAGGCTAAAATATTATCCTAGAGGTAAAAGTTCAGAAAGTTAAATAGAAGGATATAATGGCAAAAAAGTCTCTTAATTTTTATTATTACTGCCATATCATTTACCTGCTTAACATAGATTTAAGTAATGTAGAATGATGTGGAAACGATTGATTTTAGGGGTGGAGATTATACTATTTTATAGTAAACTTTATAAAGAATAATTAATATCTAAAACAGCATCATGTCCTCATATTCCTCATAGAAGAAGCAGTCTTAAAAGTCTTAACTATCCTACAAGTCCACCAAAAAGGAAATTTAGAAGTAGAACTTAAGGAGATGGAAAGAATTAACCAAATGGTTTTGGAGATTATGTTAAAGCTATATATGACAGTGAAAAATAAAAAAAAGAGTTATGTTCAAAATCAGTAATCACGAAAGAATTTCGTTTTAACGATTCTAGAATAAAGAGATTAGTAACATCGAAGATTTGTGATCAAACTCTTGATCTCTCTAGAAATAGATGTGGTAGCATTAAAGATCCTAATTAACTTCCTCCTCTGATTTCAATTGCTCCTTACAAAGATGAAAACATAAGAATAAAGAGGGTTTCTTCTACTATGATAAGAAGAATAAGAACCCTCAGATTATATTGAAAATAATGATTATATTACTCACAATTTTTCCTTAAAAAATTTTTTAATAAAAATAGCAAGCTCTGATTGAATGTCTTATTCTAATAATTTTTTTATATTTTTAGGTATGGTATATCATCAATATGTAATTGATAACATCTCCTTCTGCAAAATAACAAATTCATAAACCACATCTAAAATTACCAAAAAATTGAATGTGGATAATTAAAAAACTTCTTAAGTAGACAAAATAACACAAATAAAAGTATTTTATATTTATTAAGTTGTAAAAGATGTCCAATTTCAAAATTTTTTCTTAAAAAAACAGATTTTATTTATTTTTCAAACTATTCCTTATTATGACACATTATATCAAATAAATCTATTTTATGTAAAAAATGAAAAAAAAAAGCTGAATTAGAATTGGAGATTAGGCATTCATTATTTTACTCATTACGATTGTCATTGATAAAGTTCCTCAAATTAAAAGGAAAGGTTGAGCATTTAAAAATAGCAGCTATTTTTTATAAATAAAATAATAAAACAAAATTTAATTAGAAAGCAATAAGTTTATTATGTTAATATGAAACAAAAGAGTGTTTTAAATAATTGACTTTTTTTCATTTATATAATTGATATATATTAAAGATAAGCAAATAATTTATAAAAACAAGCCAAAAACAAAAAGATTATAATGAAAATAAGATAACTGAATTTTCTAATTGTACATTATTTTATTATATTTTTTCAATAACCCAATTTTTCTAATTCTGCATTGATGGCAGTGAGTTCTTTAGCTCCAATTGCCTTTCTTCTAAGATTTTCTCTAGCAATTTTTCTCTTATAATATGTTGTGCCTCTAAAAAAAAATTAATATTTTATACCTTTGCTTTCTTTTTTCTTCAAGTCTATTTACAATTGATTATTGATTCCATCCAACAGAAGCACATAAATCTCCTAAAGTGCAGAAAGGTCTATGATTCTTAAGTCTAATCAATTTAAGTGCATCTGAAACTACTTATCTCTTTCTTGTATCATAAGGAGGTGGAACTCCTTCAAAGACTTTTAATCTTTCTAAAGCTGCTGCTCCTCTTTTTGATTTATATTGAAGCATTCCTCTTACAACTTTCCAGAAACATCTAGATGGTGTTCTATAATGTTTATATCCTCTTCTTGGATTGAATGCCATTCTTTTATTCAAATATTCTTCGAAAATTACTCTATTTCTAAATAGAGAACCTATAATCATCAAATTATATTACCAGATTGTTAAATCAATTCTGTTCTTACTACAACTATTCTTTATCCTCTCTATAATTCTTTTGCAATGTAAGATGCTAATCTACCCAACAAATGGCCCTTTCCATCAATTACTATTTCCTTCTCAAACATTTAATTTAAATAAATTTTCAAAATGATATTCTCATCACAAAATACTTAGCAATAACAAAATAACTTTGAACACATATACTAAATTCTATTTCTTGTAATTTATTATATAATTATCATCAATATTTTATCATTTCTATTCATTCTTTATGTCTTTATAAAAAATACAATCTTCTATTTATAATCAGATTTAATTCTAAAAAGATAAAACAACTACTAAATCAATTTTCTTTATTAAGTTATTTTATCTATTTCTTTATATAGATTTATTTATATAATAAAATTATAAATGCGAGGTCCCAAATATGTCGAATAGGATATAATAAAAAAAGTATGTTATGCTGAATAATTCTAACAGCATAAATTCAAATTACTTAATACTAAATCTGATCCTCACCTTTAAAAAAAAGTATTAAATCAATTCATTTTAGCATATATTGTCAGATAATGATAAATATCAATAAATTAGAGCTAATAAATTTTATACAAAACTCTAAGTAGATTTATAGAAAGAATAACGTCTGTTTAAAGAGAATGCTAAGATCCTGAATCGTATTGTTGATATTGGAAATTAAAAAACATATTCTTCAATGCCAAAAAGATCTGTTACTCGTTAAAGTTCAGCCAATTCTATTAAATCTCTTAATTTATCGTATAGAAAACAAGAAGCTAAAAAAATTGTTGGAGAAAATGAAAAATTAATGTAGCGGTTATAAAGAACACCATCTTCTTTTAGAAATAAGGACACTTTACTAAAAGATTATAAGAAGTAATAATTTCAAAATATCTAAGAACTTTGGAATTAAAAAATAGAATTTCAAAATTTTCATAATAAAATTAGTAAAAGATGGGCAAAATCGTTGAGAGATTGACTAAAACAACTACTAATCCAAAATATTCAAAATTAAACTAAAGTAGAACTAGTGCTCCAACTTATAAGAATTCAGCTTTGTCAAAATTGAGAATTGAACCTGATACTTAATAATAAAAATTGCAATTTCCAAGATTAAAATGAATTATGCAATATTAATTAAATTTTTTATTCTATAAATAAAATAGCTAAGAGGAAATTTGATAAAAAGTTGTAATTTATATAAAAAATATATTTATTTAATTAAAGGACAGGTATGTTTTGGTAATAATGCTTGTGACTTAATATAAAAATAACTAAAATTATTGATTTTAATAAAATTTAGTATAGTTTTAAATTGCATATATCTATAAGAAAGATTTCATTTCAATTTTACATATAAAGATCTATTTGTATTTTAAGTTTTAGAAATGAATAATCTCTGCATAATATTTCTAAACATTTATAATATATATATCACTCTTATTTAAGTTTTTATTTGTTCTTTTATATCTAATTATACAATTCTGTAAATTTGGAAATATATGATTTAAAATTATAAATCAAAAATATGATTAAAAACAATGCTACTAATAGTAAACCAGTCACTATTAAAATGTTTTCATTAATTCTCAATAAATAATTTTACCATTATCTCTCTTAAATAGAGACATCCAATATACAAGTTTAAGATTCATCAAAATTTTATTTTTGAAGTTCTTCAATATTTATGATTTTTTATAAGACAATACTTGAATCTTGACTAGAATGTGTTTCAAATTCAATTCTTATAGGTGAATGTTGATCATTAGTAATTATTTTTAAGATACCAAAATTGGATTTGTAATAATGATCTTAATAGCTACTAAAAGTGGTTGGAAATAAGAATTAGAAGATAATGTCAACAAAGGGAATATGATCATAATTGGCAAATGTCATTCCACTTGAAGTGAATTCATAAAGATTTTAACCTAATCTATGAGGACAGGGATATTTCATGATTTCAGAATAATGAACATCTCCAGATAAGAAAATGATAGGTTTATTGTATTTTTTGATTAAAGCATATAATTTTTGTTTAGACCATCCAAACCATGTTTCAGGGCCATTTCTATCATCATGCATAACTTAAACTCCAGATGTCATAATAATCAATTAACTTTCAGTCTAAAATTATTATTCTAACCATTTCCATTAATTATCTCCTAAGGAATCTCCTGTAAATTTATCTGAATTATATCTTGTATCAGTCATAACAACAAGAATTTTATTATATTGATCAACATAAAATGATTAGTAAATACCATCTTATTTTCTTAGTGGTGAATCTTTGGATTCTCCGATAAAATCAAGATATAATTGTTTAGCACTTTCTTTTAATGGATTGAATTTGCCTCCATTATTTTCATTGCTATCATGATCATCATAAACTCCTTTAATAATAACATTCTTTTTGAATTGAGCATAATATTTATCATCATTGGTTATATCAAATTTTTCTTTAACTCTAGTTTCATTAGCTTCTGCTCTCCAAATACCAATAATAGGCATATAATCAATATAAGCAGCATCTCCTAACCAAAAAAAATATTTAGGATTAAATGACTAAATTCTTTAAAAAACATCTGTATCATGGGTTCTGTAAAATTTAAAGCATGATCCAAAAGCAATAGTCAATTAATTTTCAGCTGCTTAAGTAAGGAATAAGGATGCCAAGACAAGAATTAATAATAATTTGAGCATGTATTTAATATTTTTATTATACTAATGATAAATTGATCTCATTTTAAGGCAGCCAAATATTCGCTGTGTTCTTAGAATGGTGTTGATTCTAATTTAGTATGTCCCCAAAGATCTGGTGTAAGGAAATTGTATGTTTCTTTAAGAGCATGGAATGTAGCCTTTAAGAAATTAGATCTAGTTCTTGTACTTCCCTTTGATTAAGTATAACAATCTTAAATTCCTGCCATTTATAAGACTTTCTTTGATGTAATGGCAGCAACAATACCAGTACCTCTAGGTGCTGGTACTAATCTAACTCTGACTGATCCTTCTTTTCCTGTTACTTTACATGGAACTGTATGTGGTTAAGCAATCTTATTTCCCCAATATCCTTTTCTTACTGGAATCAAATTTAATTTAGCGTTAATGACTGCTCCTTTAATTGCTCCTTAAACTTCTTTGGCTGATTTCCATCCCAATCCAATATGTTAATGACCATCTCCTACTACAACATATGCCTTAAATCTTGTTCTTTAACCTGCACAAGTTTGTTTTTAAACTGGACCAAGTGCAAGTGGTTCTTCTTTCAAATTCTTAAGGAAATGATCAACTATTTAATATTCTAAAATATATAAATTATTCAAATTTACCTTTAATAGGAATTGAAAATTAGAAGATTGTTTCGAGACTCTTAATTTTACCTGCCTTTACTAATCTACCTAATTTAGTTAATGGAGTCCATTCTTATTCTCCTCCAAATCTTCTTGGACCTCTATTTTATCTTGGAGCTCCTCCTTCTCTTCTTTCTCTTTATCCTCTTCCTCCTCTTCCAAAACCTCTCTTTTCAACTGGNAAATGATTAGTAAATACCATCTTATTTTCTTAGTGGTGAATCTTTGGATTCTCCGATAAAATCAAGATATAATTGTTTAGCACTTTCTTTTAATGGATTGAATTTGCCTCCATTATTTTCATTGCTATCATGATCATCATAAACTCCTTTAATAATAACATTCTTTTTGAATTGAGCATAATATTTATCATCATTGGTTATATCAAATTTTTCTTTAACTCTAGTTTCATTAGCTTCTGCTCTCCAAATACCAATAATAGGCATATAATCAATATAAGCAGCATCTCCTAACCAAAAAAAATATTTAGGATTAAATGACTAAATTCTTTAAAAAACATCTGTATCATGGGTTCTGTAAAATTTAAAGCATGATCCAAAAGCAATAGTCAATTAATTTTCAGCTGCTTAAGTAAGGAATAAGGATGCCAAGACAAGAATTAATAATAATTTGAGCATGTATTTAATATTTTTATTATACTAATGATAAATTGATCTCATTTTAAGGCAGCCAAATATTCGCTGTGTTCTTAGAATGGTGTTGATTCTAATTTAGTATGTCCCCAAAGATCTGGTGTAAGGAAATTGTATGTTTCTTTAAGAGCATGGAATGTAGCCTTTAAGAAATTAGATCTAGTTCTTGTACTTCCCTTTGATTAAGTATAACAATCTTAAATTCCTGCCATTTATAAGACTTTCTTTGATGTAATGGCAGCAACGATACCAGTACCTCTAGGTGCTGGTACTAATCTAACTCTGACTGATCCTTCTTTTCCTGTTACTTTACATGGAACTGTATGTGGTTAAGCAATCTTATTTCCCCAATATCCTTTTCTTACTGGAATCAAATTTAATTTAGCGTTAATGACTGCTCCTTTAATTGCTCCTTAAACTTCTTTGGCTGATTTCCATCCCAATCCAATATGTTAATGACCATCTCCTACTACAACATATGCCTTAAATCTTGTTCTTTAACCTGCACAAGTTTGTTTTTAAACTGGACCAAGTGCAAGTGGTTCTTCTTTCAAATTCTTAAGGAAATGATCAACTATTTAATATTCTAAAATATATAAATTATTCAAATTTACCTTTAATAGGAATTGAAAATTAGAAGATTGTTTCGAGACTCTTAATTTTACCTGCCTTTACTAATCTACCTAATTTAGTTAATGGAGTCCATTCTTATTCTCCTCCAAATCTTCTTGGACCTCTATTTTATCTTGGAGCTCCTCCTTCTCTTCTTTCTCTTTATCCTCTTCCTCCTCTTCCAAAACCTCTCTTTTCAACTGGTGCTGCTTATTATTATTCTGCTGGAGCTGGTGCTTATTATTACTCTTATTCAGCCATTAAAATAAAAATCTTAATTTAAAAATTTGTTTTCAAAGTCTTATATATACATAAACTCATTATAAAATATTAAATTTATCATTATTCCTATTCCTTCTATTTCCTCTTTTCTATACTACTTTATACATAAACTAACTAGAAATATATATTTGTATAAATTATTCAAAATCAATGAAAAATAACTACCATTAATTAATAAGAATGTTCATTAGATCTCCTAAGATTTATTTCACGAAAATTTGTTTTAACAAAATTCTTATTAAATTTTTGAGATAGTCTTTGGTGATAATATTACTATGAACAATGTATATTAATGAGCAATATTCTAATGAAAATAATATTAGCTTCCATAATGTAGGAATCTACTTAAATCAGTTTAAATACATTAATTTCTAAAACAACCTCTCGATTCTAAATCAATTCAAATTTGAATTCTCATCTCATATATAGAGTATATAATTCTTCTAGTTAGATAATATAAATTTTTATTATTTCCAATATTTAATCTTAAGAGAACCTTTCATTGTATTTGAAAATGCTCCTAGCTATAAATAAGAAGTATCCGAAGTATTCAGAAATCCATGTTAATATGAATGTCTATTATTTCATGCATTACTATTCTTATTCATATTCATACTTATTATGATATATATTGAATCACATTCTTAAAAGGTTTATCTAAATATCCTTATAGATTTTAATTAACATTTGATATATATATTAAATTTTATAAAATATTTTGATTATATAAAAAAGATCTAAAGGTAGTTTTAAATTAAATTGTGATATTAGAAGGTAAGAATTAATTAAATATTTATTTTTGTAATAATCAATCAATAATTCTTGACTGAACTGCCTCTATCCATCTCATTTCCAGAAAAGCTTATACCAATAATCTAAGGCATAGGATTATTATTAGGAGTCTCTTTAAGTTAATTTAACATGGGTTATAGATTTTATAATCTGTTTGAATTATCTTCAGCAAAAGTTTTAAGTGGAGATTTAACTTTTTATTCATAAAGATCTTGCCAATTGATTTTACTAAAATATGAATGATTTTTGATATAATCGTATCCCTATTTGAATATTAATAAGAAATACATTTGCTCCTAATCTTAATGAGGGATTGGTTTATAAAAGGCTATTGATTAAATCCCTAGCATCACGAGACATGGTTGGTGGATAAGTAGGATTATTTTTTAATATGAGATACTATATTTTCATCTGATTTCTTTCAGGATGTGCAAAAGGAGTTTTACCAGTTATCATCTCATAAATTAAAATGCCTAAAGTCCATAAATCTACTTCAAAAGAATGTCCTTCCTTTCTTATGATTTCAGGAGCTAAATACTCAGTTGTACCAACTAATGTATAGGACTTTTAGTTATTATCTTTGATTTTTGTGGCTAGACCAAAATCAGTTAATTTCACATGTCCTGATTTAGTCAGTAATAGATTTTCTGGTTTTAAATCTCTATAAATTATGTTTAATTTCGTATTAAGATATTCTAAAGCTAAAATGACTTCAGCTGCAACAAATTATACAACAGGTTCAGGAAGGCCTTATGTTCTTTAAAGAATTTAGTAAAATTCACCACCATCAATATATTCCAGTACAAAATAAAGCTTAGTTTAACTTTAAAATGAATATTTAAGATTGACAATAAATGGATGTTTGCTATTGTTCAATACTTCTTTTTCAATTACAGCATTTTATTCTAAATTACTATCAAATATTTATTTCTTGTTCATAGCCTTGAGTGCATAGATTTTACCATTGTCTTTCTTCTTTACCTTAAAAACTTTGCCAAATGCACCCTAAAAATCTATCGTATTCTATAATCCCTTACTTTTCCTAATTGATTTAACATTAAAAAATCATCAATACTCAATTTCTTCTATGTTGCCTCCAATAGATTTTATGAATTTTAATTCTTTTCTGAAATATATCCAATTGTCTCCTCTTGTTATTTTGAAGGCATCTGAACAGAAGTAAATTTTTTTGTTTCATTTGTTTCACAAAGATTTCCCATAACTTTTAATTAATAATATAATTAACAATATTGAATATAATAATCTAATAATATAATTAAATTGAATTCTAGGTGTCTTAAAATATATACAATAGTAGAAAATAGACAGAAGAATTTTAAATATTTTATTCATGAAATTATTATCATATAATTCTTGGTTGTAATCTTAATCATAAAAAGATGGAATTCAAATAGAAAATTAAGTGAAATTGTACAAAGAAGTGTATGACTTCTCTTAGAAATTAGAAGCATTATTGTAAAATGGAAATCATCCTACTTTTAATCATTACTTTTAAAAAGCTTTATCAATTTTTCATAGATTTGCTCATTAAGTTTCTCTAAGAAAGTTTAATAGACACATTTATACATTAGCATCACTTTATCTGTCAGCAAAAGATAATGATATGTTTGATCATACAATTGAAATAGATAAATATGTTAAATGCTTTATTGAATATAGTAAAGGAAAAGAAGGCTATGATTTATAGTCTGTGTTAATAGAAAAAATTGTTGATGCTGAATCGCATATTTTACAAATGATAGGATATGATCTAAATATTGTAGTACCATAAGTTTATTTTATTGAAGCAAAGTTTAAAATTACAGTATAACATGGAGAACTATCTAAATTACATGAGACTGCATAAAACTGTTTAAATAATCTATTCTTTACGAATGCTTGTCTATACTATGAACCAAAAATAATGGTTCTTTGTGCATTTTAATTAGCTTCAGATAATTTAAAGATGACTTTATCTGATCTTGATTCAGGAGAACCTTGGTATACTATTTTTAGTGTAAACGAAGATCAATATTAATAAGACTACGAGGATATGTAGGAGTTGCTAAAATATTATTAAAAATGTTTATAACTCCTATAAATGTGATTTATTTTAAAATTTAGAATAATAATAATTTATTCCTTAATGATTAAATATAATTCATTGTTTAGCTCCTTTTTGTTATCCCTATAATCGTAATAATTTAAAGAATACTTTAGTGCATATATAGATATAATGAACATTCGGTGCATCCTTATCTTCATTAGTAATTGCGATAGAGGTAGAAATAGTTGGTTTATGAACCTATTTAACTATTACATTCCTATTTAATCAATATAGTAATTTATATATTACCAATCATATTCTGGTTTCTCAAAATATTAAAGTCTATGTTCAGGTAAACCATNTTAACAATATTGAATATAATAATCTAATAATATAATTAAATTGAATTCTAGGTGTCTTAAAATATATACAATAGTAGAAAATAGACAGAAGAATTTTAAATATTTTATTCATGAAATTATTATCATATAATTCTTGGTTGTAATCTTAATCATAAAAAGATGGAATTCAAATAGAAAATTAAGTGAAATTGTACAAAGAAGTGTATGACTTCTCTTAGAAATTAGAAGCATTATTGTAAAATGGAAATCATCCTACTTTTAATCATTACTTTTAAAAAGCTTTATCAATTTTTCATAGATTTGCTCATTAAGTTTCTCTAAGAAAGTTTAATAGACACATTTATACATTAGCATCACTTTATCTGTCAGCAAAAGATAATGATATGTTTGATCATACAATTGAAATAGATAAATATGTTAAATGCTTTATTGAATATAGTAAAGGAAAAGAAGGCTATGATTTATAGTCTGTGTTAATAGAAAAAATTGTTGATGCTGAATCGCATATTTTACAAATGATAGGATATGATCTAAATATTGTAGTACCATAAGTTTATTTTATTGAAGCAAAGTTTAAAATTACAGTATAACATGGAGAACTATCTAAATTACATGAGACTGCATAAAACTGTTTAAATAATCTATTCTTTACGAATGCTTGTCTATACTATGAACCAAAAATAATGGTTCTTTGTGCATTTTAATTAGCTTCAGATAATTTAAAGATGACTTTATCTGATCTTGATTCAGGAGAACCTTGGTATACTATTTTTAGTGTAAACGAAGATCAATATTAATAAGACTACGAGGATATGTAGGAGTTGCTAAAATATTATTAAAAATGTTTATAACTCCTATAAATGTGATTTATTTTAAAATTTAGAATAATAATAATTTATTCCTTAATGATTAAATATAATTCATTGTTTAGCTCCTTTTTGTTATCCCTATAATCGTAATAATTTAAAGAATACTTTAGTGCATATATAGATATAATGAACATTCGGTGCATCCTTATCTTCATTAGTAATTGCGATAGAGGTAGAAATAGTTGGTTTATGAACCTATTTAACTATTACATTCCTATTTAATCAATATAGTAATTTATATATTACCAATCATATTCTGGTTTCTCAAAATATTAAAGTCTATGTTCAGGTAAACCATAAGAAATAGCAAAATATACTCCTTTTGGTCCTAACACTCTATGAACTTCTTAAATCACTTTTTAAGCATTAGATGATGATGATTCACCACACTTAGATAGATTATAATGCTTACTAATATGGCATCAAGAGTTCCTTTATCAATTGCTCCATCGAATGATCCATCTTCAAATTCCATAGCTCTGGCATCCATATGAAGATCTTGATTTAAAACTATTTATACATTTAAAATTTGGTCCTTTATCTTTGTACTTCTCTTACATTGCCTTTGTAACAACATGAGATATATCAATATTTGTAATGTTCTAATATCCTTCATCAAACATTTCCTCACTCAACCCTAACATTTTTCTTATAACTAAATATTTACTTGAATTTCCTGCACCTACATTTAGAAGTTTACTTTCAGGAGTAAAACAACCTTAAACAAGATCCTTTATTCCTGTAAATCTTTAATACCAATCAAAAGGTTCAGGATCTCTAAATTATTATTAATTTTTATTATACCTAGTGTATCTCTCTTCCCAATATTCTGCTTTACCATATTGTGACATTTTAATATGATTAAATAAATTATGTTTAATATGTTTTAAAATTTTATATATAAATTAAAATGCAAGTCAAACACTACAGGTTAATATCAGAACTTTACACGCCTCAAAATAAGTCTTCATCTTCTGAAAACATTTTTAGAGTCAATAAAACTAATACTTCATAACCAAAATTATCAACTTTAATTCCTTCTAGAGCAACACTCACTACAGGTTAATCATTCACTACAAATGAATCAGCCATTAAAATTTCAGCTATCATACCAAGAAATAATGATGAAAGACCTTATAGCAGACTTACTACTGGATTTCAAAAGTATAGATCTTACTTAGATTGCAAAAGATTAACATCATAAACCAAATATATGTAAACTCTTGATGATTGGGAAATGAACACCATCGAAGAAATATAAATGAGAAGAACTTCCAATAAATAAACTATTAATTGCAAATAATTATGTAATAACAACATTGAAAATAAAATGCATTTTACATCATAAAAAAAACTCAAAAAAAATACTATGTAAAAAGTGATTATTATCAATCATTAAGGAAAACCTAAAATCTATTATTATATGGAATGATTTATATTAGATAATATGCTTTATAATTCCCTTATACTTATAAATATATAATAATTTAACTCATGATATAATTTTCTAAATATTTTATCTCATTCTCATTTAGATTTAAAGGGATCCCTTAAATTACAATTATTCATTGATATAAATTGTTTTATATTGGTATTTATAAAATTGAGATATTTTTTTAAAATCCAATATTAATATTATTAATAAAAAAATAATATTTTAAGTTATCCTAATAATATATTCTATAATGCATGAATATGAGTAAAATAACTCTAAATCTATATTTATTGATCTATTGTTAAGAAATTTAAGAGATAATATAGATAGAGTTTTAATAATTTACAATTATTATATGCTATTGCAATATATTTACTTATATCCTTTTATTATCTGATTAAATCTATATATATATAAAATGAGATGATTTGTTAGTAATAAGAAGGAACAATCAAGAATTAAGATTGAAAAAAGTTTTAATATGAGTAAAAAATAGTAGAAATATGTTTCTAACCTAGAATTGATACAAAAAAATATAAATGAATATAAGGTTTTAATAGTGATTTTTTCTTCTGTAGAACAATTAATACATGAAAAGAAAATATCTTATAATTTTATAATATATCTAATTAAAATGTGATTGATAATATGACATATTAATGAATATTATTTATTTTAATGAAATAAGGGGATCATTTAAGTTCAACTACAATTATTTTTTCATCAGGATTGGCTAGTGTGATAAGCACAATAATTAGTAATCCATTTGAAGTTTTGAAAATAAGATTGTAAGTAGATAAGATGCATTGTCATGAACATTAACATCATCGTAATTCTCATCGAAGTAAACCAAAATTTAAATACATTCACGAAATAGCCTTAACAGGACAATCAACAAGACATTAATTAAATCATTATGGTATGTTATCAAAATCGTTGAAATAATGGAAACCACATAGAATGATTAATATGATTGGAAAATCTTAGACCACAAACCCCTTAATTAAAATTTATTAGAATTGTACTTGTATTACTACAAATTCTCTTGTATAAGCATTTTAACATATATATACACATGAAGGAGCTTCAACTTTCTTTAATGGATGGAGATATGCTGTTTTATAAGCTGGAGCATCAAATATATGCTACTTTATGTTTTATGAAAGAACAAGGAAATTCTTGTAATAAATGGAATTACCATCAAGTCGATTGGTTGTTCCTTTATTAGCTAGTTCATTTAGTAGAGCATTGACAACAACAAGTAAGATATTAGTAGTATTTTATTTAGTAACATTTCCATTAGAATATTGGAAGGTATTATAGTCATCGACTGTAGGATATTCGAGATTGAAAAATGTTTAATTAGGGACTCAGCTTCATTCAGCTTATTTGATAACAATTTAAAGAGATATTTTATTTTCATGCATTTATTGGAGTCTTCTAGAAAATTTGAAAATAGAAATAGGAAAGATATTAATAGATTTGCCTAACGCTGTGAATCTATTATCAGCAATGTTAGCAAGTAGTGTTACAGCTACAATGACACTTCCTTTGGATGTAGTAAAGACAAGGAAATAAGTGAGTACTAGAAGTGATTTAGTATTAAATGGATAGATGGCTACAATGGAGATTTTGTAGAACATTTACAGTGAAGAAGGGTTGAAAGGATTATTTAAGGGATATTAACCCAGAATTGCTAAGGTTACTATGCATTCTGGTTTAGTATACATGATGTATGAGTACCTAAAATAATTGTTTTGATTTTTAATTACTATTTATACGTTGAGATTTTATATGTGTGTTATATATTATAAATAAATACATGAACAAAGAATTATAAAAGATGAATCTCTTACTTTCTGATATTGAGAAGATAAGCACTTTTCAAACCCTTTCATAATATGATTTAATGCTTAAAGCTTTTTAAACCTTAGAGATATTTATGAAAGAGACTTAAACAACAGAGGGTTCTTAATTTCTACCAGATTTAATCATTAAAAGTCTTTATCATATCATGAATCATAAGTAATATCCAGATTATATTCTAATTCATATTGAAAACTTAATCAAATCTATGCTTTCTTACATCTCTAAGAACATTTTTGATGATAAAATGAGCTATTTGTTTTATAAAATTATGGATCCATCTTCTATTATATATTAATATAATGCTTTATCAAATAATTGGCACGATGATGTAATTATCTATACTTTTATTATAGTTTATGGCTTATTCCTATAACAAAAATCCTGAATATAAATAATTCATTGATGATCTAAATGTTGGTTCTTATTTAGATTTTATACGTATATGTTAAACTACAAATAGAATGAATTGGAATAGAGGTATGATCGAAGAAAAAAATGAAGAATTTGTTAAAGTAAGAAATTTAAACGAGCTTTAAAATTCCTAAATCTATAACATTAAAAGTGGTCATTTGATGCCTATTTTATCTCGTTCAGAGAATTTGAATTCAATGTTCACTTTATAGAATTAATAAGTTCTTTTAACAACTCTAAATGATAAATGGATTTTTAGTACTATTCTAGATAGAAATGTAATTTCAGATGTTGAAAATATTATTACCTATACTATTAAATTTAATATATAATTAGAAAATGAAACTAAAAATTTTGATGAATAAATAAGTGCTTGTAGTCCTAGATTATCTCTATGTGGTAATCAAATCCCAAGAAAATTTAATTCAAATGAATAATTTGTTGATGATTCATATGATACACTTTATGAATGTGATTATTAAAATAATAAGTTTTATGCTATTTTAAGACCTAGATATTCATAGAGCATGCTTTTAATTAAATTTATAAATTATTTTGGATCTATAGGAGGTTTCGAATAAATTCTAAAATTATAATCAGTTGATATTTTGGGAAATTATATACATGCAATAGGAAACATTCATGCCTAACTTTATAGATCATTTTGCCAAGAATATATTCCTAAATTATAAGGATTAAGATAAACTCTTCTTTAATCTGATGATTCAACATTACGTAGTATGGGTCAAGGTAAAATTAATATTATTTTATATGCATTTAAATTATTATTGGATAGAATAATGAGTGAAGACTAAAGAAAAGAATGGATACAAAATCTTGGCTTAGAATTTGTAATAATATGTTTTAATTGTAAATTCTTAGATAAAAAAATTATTGGATTAAAACTTTTAACAGATATATTAAAATAGGCTTATTATGATTAATCTCATGGTTAAATTATATAATGGATAGAGAAATAATAAATTTTGGAAAATCTATTTCATCATAATACTCACTTACAATTATTGGAAAGGACTAAAGATTTGATCAAAATCTATTTATCAATTGATGGTGCTTTTAATTTTAATTATTTATCTATCGTTTGGAATCTCATGTAATCTAATGATAATGAATTAAGATCTATAATATTTAAATTATTTAATGATCTTGCTACAGTAATGTCAGATCAATAGGTTTATTATTTCCTTGAATAAATTCAAAAATTAGAATTAGATATAATTCTAATTGAACATGTTCAATTACTTTTTGAAATGCAGAAATAACGATTCAATTAAAAACTATTGAATAATTAAACTATGGAGATTTTATGGAATATTATTGAACATGCTGGATTACAATAAAAAACAAAATTAGAAGATTAATCTAGAACTTATTTAATAGAATTAATAAAACTCCTTAATGTTAAAGATATTAAATTATAGATGATTTCGAAATTGATTGCAAATATAAAATAGTAGTTAGTTGAAAGTTCATCTTTAAAAATTCTTTAATAAATTATTTACAAATTCTTACCTTAAAAAATATTACAATCTAATAAGGATGTAAATTAACGTTCTGAGGAAGACAATAAAAATGAATTTATAACAATATTTATTAAATAGGAAAAGATTCATAATACTTTAAGAGATAGTATTGAGAATTTATACATATAGAATTAAGGTATTAATGTGAATGATGTTAATGAAAAAAATCTATATATAAATAAGTTATAAGAAAGACTTCTTGTAATTAACACTTTAATTAAAATTAACGGAAGTGCTGCTGATATGATCGATTAATAATTTTTAGATTTAATTTGGAATAAACATATTTTAAAACCAAACTTAAATTAAGAAAGTGAGATGGTTAGTTAATGGTTTAGAAATTTGATAGAAAAGGATGAGAGTTTTAGTTCTGTTCAATTATATGAATTCTTTTAGAGACTACTTAAATAAGATTGTAAATTGAATGAAAATGCATTTAAATGCTTTAAATCTATATTATATTATGTAAATTAGAAAGATTATAGAATTCAGAGATAATCCTTAATATTCAGATAATTATGTGATTAATATGGAAATTTGTTAAGTACAGAGAATGCAAATGATTAAGAGAAAGAAGAGTTGATGGATTATAAAATAATGGTAGATGTGAATGAAATAATAGGTATAGAATATTTATGGTATATTGTTTTTAATTAAAAATTAGATTAAGCTGTTTAATTATTAGTGAAATTAAATTTATCATAATAAGAATAATTTATAGGATAAGTGATTTCTAAATTAAAAACAGATGATGAGCAAATTATTTTGAGATGTTTTGATATTTTAAGAGAATTGTTAAAAGAGACAGAGAGATTTGGAATAGGTTAATAATTAGCTTTAGATGGTTTGATTTAGGGAAATTAATTTATTATCAATTTAATAAAGGATGAAGATTTAGGTTTAAAAATAACAATATAGGTATATTAAAATTTGACAATATTTGAATTACGTAAATAAATTGCTAAAGAAATATAAATAAGTTGGTAATAAGTAAAATTGATAAGAAATGGAATCGTAATATTGGATACTGATAATGGAAAAACACTTAGATAATTGAATATAAAGAAGATGGATGTAATACATGTTCGCAAAAGAAATACTAAACCTATTCCAAAAGTGTCTTTAGTGGAAAATAATAAATTGTCACAAATATTTTTGAAAGTTTTAAATGATCTATTCAATTAATATTCAACAAATGGAATGATGAACTTTGTATAACATCGTTAATTTTTAATTAAAGCTTCCAACAGTTAGAATATTTAATTAGAATAAAGATTTAAAAAATTGTTTAGTTAATAAAATATAGAAGAGTCATCTATAACATTAAATAATTTTATTTCATTTTTTGAGGATTGTTGTTTATAACATTAGATTGTTGAAGATATTTGGTGGAATTTATATGCTTTAGGATATAAGAATGATCTCTCTTTAATAAATGATGATAATTTCAAAATAGATGAATATAAATTACCTCGTTTTTAATTGGTTTAAAATTAAGAATTTTATTAGATAATGTTTGAACATCTTAGTAAAACTAATCAAATTGCTTAAGAATGTTGGAAATTATTGTGTTAATTACCAGTATTTGAATAAGCAAGATAAAGAGTTAATAATTTTGAAAATATTATTAAGGATGAATCTTATTAATTATTATATTCATTAAAGATTATTGAATATCTTCTTTATAATAAAGATTATTGCCGATTTTTTATAATTAGATTAGGATTTAAGTCATTATAGAATATATTGAATAATTTAGAAAAATAAAGTTGTAAAATAAGAAGACAAGTTTAGAGAATTATTTTAAAAATCTTTATTAAACACATAGCAGCTTAATATCAATTTTAATATAATACAATATTTTAGATTTAATAAAGTGTTAAATTTCCAAAAGAAGTGACTTTAAATCTAATAGGTTAATTTAATGATGGTAATATTTAAAAATAGGATCATAAATTTATATAAAAATTATAGGAAAGAGAGTCATTTTAGGAATTAATAAAATTCACATCAGATTTAGATATTTAATTAGATTATAAGGATTTATTAAATTATTTAATTAAAACGCCTGTAGATTTATAAGAAGATCAAAAAGTGATAGAATATGTTTTAATACTATTGACTACAATGGTTGGTTTTAATTTAGGTAATTGTAGAAATTTCTTTATTGAAGAGATCAATGAAATCAAAGAAAGGTATAAACAATTTTTATTTGCACCTGAATAATAAAAAATATAAAAATTCACAATAAATTCTTTGTATTTGATATATAGGAATTAAAAGGATAGAATAAGTAAACTTCTAATTGAGATTTTGAAAGAATTATTTCCATCTAATGATGATAAAGATTCTTAATTTTATTTTGATTTATTGGCTATATTAATAGAAGAAGATAAATACAGTGATTAAGGATTAGCTAATAAAATAATATAATAATTAAAGAATTATGAACCAAATGAATCTAGATAAAATTTATCATCTGATAAAACTCTTATAGGATTATTATCAATTTTAGAGAGTCTATGTAAGATAGATTCAAGAATCTTATCAATTTAATTAATATAGTATTTATATAAAGTACATTTATTCTGTTTTGATATGAGTTAGTTTAGTTTGAATCCTTAAAAATTAATAACTCCTAATTATGTAAAAAGTAAATCTCCAGAGAGTAGAAAAATAGTTTATCGTATAATAATACTTTATTTAAGAAAGAATTTTAACTTGTAAGAGATTGATTTATAGTCAGTGATTTATCAAGTTTCATTATATGATGGTTTTGATATTAAAATGTAAGCAAAGAGTCATCATGGATATGTTGGTATTAGAAATTTGGGATGTATTTGCTATATGAATGCAATGATACAATAATTCTTTATGACTCCAGAATTTAGATATTGTATGATGAGAGCAGATGATGAAATAGAGTAAAAAGCTATTAAATTTAAAGATGCTAATGGTTTTGAATAATATATAGATGATAATCATTTTCATCAATTTTAAAGAATGTTAGCTTATTTAGATTTAAGTGATAGATAAGATTATAATCCACTTTTATTTTGTATTACTTATAAAGATATAAACAATTAACCAGTCAATTTTTAGTTATAATAAGATACATAAGAATTTCTAAATCACTTTTTTGATAGTTTAGATAATGAATTAAAGATTTAAGGTTGGTAATAATTTATTGAAGCTATATATGGTGGGTAAATTTGTAGTCAAATGATATGTAATGTATGTTAACGTAAAAGAGAAAAATTTGATTTATTTTATACTCTTTCTTTAAAAGTAAAAGATATTAAATCTATCCAAGAATCATTTGAAAGTATGATTAATGGAGAAGTTATTAAAGAATATTATTGTGAAGAATGTCAAAAAAAAAATGATTTTATTAAAAGATAGTGTTTATCAAATTTACCAAATGTTTTGATTATTCATTTATAAAGAATAGTTTACAATTTAGATTTATAAATGAATGAAAAATTAAGTTCATATTTAGAATTTCCTAATCTTTTAAATCTATTATAATACACTAGAGAAGGTTTGTCTAATCAGGAATTCAAACATGATTCTTATTATTAATATAAATTAAAAGGAGTTGTTGTTCATCAAGGTACAGCATTATAAGGTCATTATTATAGTCTAATTAATATTTAAGGTGAAAAATGGTTAAAATTTAATGATTCTTTCATTGAAGAATTTGATATCAAATAATTACCAAATGAATGTTTTGGAGGAAAATAGAATTATGATCCTTCAGAATTCTAAGGTATTGGTAGTAGCATTAATGCCTACATTTTAATTTATGAAAGAATTCAAAAAGAAAATGTTTAACTCAAATTCTCTAATTAAAAATAAATATAAAAAATTATGTCAAAATTTTAAAATACATTTTAATAATAATAAGATTCCAATTTAATTATTAATATGGACTATCAAACTATGTCTTAATAATTTATATCAGATGCATTGTATGCTGAAATTTGGTTTGATAATCATAAATTCATGATTGAAAGACATATATATTCTGAAGAATTTTTTAGATTTGTTAAAGAGATTACAAATGTCTTTCCATATCCTTCTGATTATTAATTAATTAAAAATCTTGATCATATACCTTAATTTTTTGGCATCTACAATTAATATCAATAAGTTTAAAATGCTGAACAAATTACTAACTTCTTATATAATTTAACTTATATTGCAATAGAATTATTATCTCGATCATCTAATCATGTTTACATTAAGGATTATGCTTTAGCCATAATTAATCTAATTAATATCGTTCCAAATAATATAAGTACTATTCTTTAACAATTATTTATTCAAAGATAACAAAGAGTTTTTAATATTTTATTATGTTCTCCCGATTCTTAAGTTAGGGAGGCCATTTAGTCAATAATGCTTCATTATTTAAATGTAATTATTTATATCTATAATCTAATGCTAAATACTTTACATCATAATCTACAGGATTTAGATAATTATGAAGATAAATATGATTAAATGATAGTCTGTTACCTTATTAATATTTTATAACTTCTATAAAATGATGCTGCTAAAGATTCTACAAAATTAAATCAATATTTTAATTTTTGGAAATTATTTGTTTAATCATCTTAAATTAATTTATTCTTTGCCAATTAAATAGAATTAATTTCAATATTAGCTGATTTTTATATGGGAAATTTATCTCCTACAAACTTAGAAAATACTTAATTTTATTCATTTCAAAACAAAGAAAAAACTATAGTTCATAATTAAAACATTATTGTTTCTTAATAAAATTCATTATTATAATGTTTGGATTATCTTCTATAGAATGAGTATTATCAATTAAGCAATAATGATAAAATATGTTTAAATTCCATTATTTTTTATAAAAAAGCACTAACAGAATCTGAAGAATTAGATGCCATAATATCAATCATTTCGAAAATGGTTTTTAATAATTCTGGATTATCAAGGTGTATCATTGATATAATTTTAGAAGAAATTAATAACTCTAATTATTAGATTGTTGGAAAATATTTAAAATTCGCCTAAATATTATTAAATATTTAAGATAATAATGTACAAGAACGTATTTAAATGTTATTGGGATATCCCTAACCTAATTATTAAGAGAGTTATATCATTGGATGTTCAACAAATTTATCTTAATAATGTATAATTTATGTATCCAATACAGGATCTCTAAATGAAAATATTTCTATATTAAATTAATTATTTTTTAATCAAAAAGCTGATTAAAATTCAGCAATTTAGATGATGAAGATGCTTTTAGAAGTAATGAATTAAAATAAAGAAGTTTTCTTTTACATTATAAATTTACCACCTCCAAGCTATATCTATTCTAAATATACTGATTGGTTTGAAGCATTTCTAAATGAATTCTAAGTAGATTGTATCACTTAAATGGTAATAAAAGATTCAATTTTCTTCAACAAGAAATTAGAGCTTGAATAAACTATCAAGTTATGGGAATAATTCAGGATAAATTATTAAAAAATGACTTAAATTCCATTTTATCATCCTCTTTAACCAATCTATATTTTAGGAAATACAATTGAAACAGAATTAGTCTCAAGAGAAGCCTATATGGATAATATATTTTTAGAGACCTATGAATCACTTGTTTATTATTTAGAATCTACTCCTACTTTAATAAGTAACTTAGCATTCCCATCTTCAATACTTACAAATAATATTCATATTCAATCTTCTAAAATCGAACCTACTTCCAATATTTTTAATATTCTGTAGAATAATTAAACAATCTAATAGAATTTTTCAAGGCCTACGCAATTTCATGAATTTGAACAAAACATAAGTTCTAATGAGATTGGTTATAATGAATAATAGTAAGTTAACAATGATTTCATTAATGAATTATAAAATAATCCGCTTCATAATTAAAAAGCTTAAAGATAAAGAGAAATGAATAAAGAAAATTAAGATTATAATAATTTGCAATAATTTTAAAAATAATAATTAATTAAATGTAATTTACCAATTTAAGTTGCCCCCTTAATGAAAAGATTTATGATCAACAATTAAACTGATTAAATTATCTATGTAATTTGCTCAATTAATAAATATCCTGATATGATGATTAATTTCATGTAAGAATATATTTGTTTATATCTTTAGATTGCCAAAAATAATATACAAAATGATTCCTCCATTTACTGTTATGCATTTGACTACTATCATGAAAATTATTCCTTAAAATGAATGGGGAATCTATGATATCGCTTTAGACATAAATTCTAACAATTTACAAAAAAAGAACTAAGGAAAAAATCAATAATAATAGTATTTTAATCACTTATTTTAGAGTTAAAGGTAAGGTTGAAGTACCTTAAAAACCAATTGAAAAATCAAACTTAACCAATGAAATTTAATGTCCTTAATGTACATTGTTGTAGTCTTCTTCTAATTCTTTATGTGAACTTTGTGGTTTTAGCTTTTAGTGAATATTGTAGTTTTTTTATTATTAATAATAATAAATATTATTCTTTAACCATGTATCTAGATTTAAAATAATTGATCTTTTAATATTTTACATTTGATGTTATATGTATTTAGATATTTTTAAAGTTGATATTGAATATTTATAAGTAATGAAAAACCTATTATAAAAATAGGTATTTTTGTTAAACTTTTAAGTTTATAGTTTATAAAATTAACCAAAAAACTTAAGATGTCTTGGTAAATTACTTCATCTCTATAGTAAGCTTTTGAAAATCTAATTGTTTTTTTTAAATAAACTGATAAATTCTATGAATAATTTTATTTTTTAAATTGAAATAAGTACATCAATTATCTAATAAACATATTATTTCTTTCAATTAATCTTTACTTTTTTATGGAATTTTTTAAATAGTAGAGAACTTGATGAGTTTATTATGTTTAATATTAATTATCACATAAATAATTTTTTGATATTTTAAAAAATTAATTAATTAGAAGAATTGGAGAAAAACAAAAATTTTTAACTGTTTTTCAATTCAAAAAGACTTTAAAAGTTAAGAAGTAGGTGATTCTGAGATTAAACAGTTTCAAAATTACAACAATCCTTACTAATATATTGGACTTCTTTTATAATATAAATATAAGCATATAAATGAATTAATTCACTACCTAATTTCTTATGATTATTAATTCTTAATATATATTGTATAGTTATGTTCTATTTAAAAAATAAAGAATCAATTAATAGTCAAATTATGATATTCAATTAATATAATCTATTTTGTTTATAAGTTGTTCCTTAAGCAATATCAAATTCTATTTTTTTCCTAAGTTTATCTATTATTTTATTATAATTTTCTAAAAATTTTACAAATATAATTTTATAATTAAAAAATTGTGCTTACTTCTTAAAAATTAGAGACTGTTTTTTGATAAGAATTAAAAAGGCTTCCATCTGGGCTTTAAATAGTAATATAATAGTAACAAATAATATTTTGAAAATTTAAATTGATTCATGAAATTGTCACCTATCTAAAATATTTATTTAATTTTCAAATTTTAAGAAGTTGAAGAATTATAAAATTAAAAGTAAATAATCTAAAAAGCTTTGGATAAGGTAAAATAATGTTTATTATAATTGCCTATTATATAAATGATATTTTAACATGTTTTTTTATATTAATTATTTTTCAAATTTCAAAATTTAATGAGTAAAAAACAATAAGCCCCAGTAGCATAAAAACCAGTTGGGAAATAATAATAAGTGAATAGAAAGCCATAAGATAGGTAAAAATGAAAAAATAATTGATAGACCAGGATTGACAGAAGATGAAATAGAAGAAATAAAAGAAGCCTTCAATTTATTTGATACAGAAGGGACAGGTAGAGTAGATCCAAGAGAGTTAAAAGCTGCTATGTAGAGTTTAGGATTTGATCAAAAGAATCCAACAATTTTCAATATGATTGCTGAATTAGAAAATGAAGGAACTGATATTGATTTTGATTAATTTTTGGATGCTATAACTTCAAAATTAGGAAATAGAGAATCTAGAGATGGTATCAATAAAATATTTGATTTATTTGATGATGATGGTAGTAATGCAATTAATTTGAATAACTTGAAAAGAGTATCATATTTAAATTAAATAAAATTAGGTAGCTAGAGAGTTGGGAGAAACAATGACAGCTGAAGAATTAGCAGAAATGTTAGAAAGAGCAGCTTCAAATGGAAGAGAAATCTCAAGAGAAGACTTTTATAATATTATGGTGAAAAGAACATTCTGATAAATATAATTCATTTTAACAGTTAATTATTTTATTAAATTATGTAATTCCTTGCAAAATACAACTCTCTTTTATAACAATATCCTTTACTAACAAAATCAGTGACTGGAGGTATCAAACAATATTTAAATATATAGGATTTATGTTCTTTGCTGGAGATGCTGTAGTATAAATAATGGAATAATAAATTGCTAAAAAGAATTAATAACCACATTAATATAATTTTAGAAGATTAGGAATAGCATGGCTTATGGGTAATGTATTTATGATGCCTTTGTTTCACTATAATTTCACATATGCTTTACCCTGGTTAGTGAAAAGGTACCATATCTTAATCTAATATATTTTAGATTACCTTTTGATACTTCAACTCCTTTTAGAGCTGCTTTAGGATCTGTTCTGATTGATCAATCTGTTTGGGCTTGTTATATATTGTGCCATTATCTGATGATTATTAATATATTAGAAAGTGGTTCCGTGTAGAAAGGACTTGATGCTATCAACAATAATTTTGTCAAAGCCATGATAACTAATTGGTAAATATGGCCAGCTGCTTAGATTATTAATTTTTGGTTAATTCCAAGACCTTATCAAGTTTTATGGGTTAACTTTATTGGATTTTTTTGGAATATTTATTTAAGTTACATATCACATAATTGATTATACAATATAAATGTTCATAGATTAATCATTATAAGTTTTCATTATTAAAGTTTTATTACTATTTTTTTTTCTTTTTTTTTTGTTAATCATCCACTGTTTTTTATTCACATTTCTCATTCTCATCAATTTCTTGATGTATCTTATCTTAATCAACTTTAATTTAATTCTATTATTATTATTATTATTTTTTTTGAGACTATTCTCCTTAAATTTTGTTATTTTATTAGGATATAAAAGGTAAGATAGTTAAATTTTAATTATTCTAATTTATTGTTTCTCCTGTAGGATTCACTTTTGGTTTTTTTATTTTATTCTATTTTTTTTAATTGTTATTACTAAAATTCATTTTAGCTTTTGGAATTTATATTTATTTAGTGTTATTTTATTATTATTTTGTAATTACCTATAATATAGTTCCAGGATTCTATTCTTTATTTTCTAAGTTATTAAAAAATTATGAGATATAGAAAGCTTTGTAATTTTCAAAAAAGGTAGGTTCATTTGAAGAATATTTGATATAAACAATTCCATTTTGAACTTAAGTATTATTTGCAATGCATTTATTATTTAATATTTCTTCAGGATCTTCTACTTCATCTTATGATAAATGATTATCATCTACCAAAAAACTATCCCTTTGTTCACTTTCCTCACTTAAAACATTATCAGAATCATTAATATCTGATAGATTCTCTGCTAATATTTCTTCAACTTCATCCAACGAATCCTTATCATAATCAATTTAATCATCTAAAATATATTAATTTTATATTTACCTTATTAGAATGGAGCTCTAGGTCTAATTACTTAACTTAATTATACAAATTAATGTCCATTAAATTCTTTCTCAGAATCAGCAATATATATATGTATTTTTCTTATTCTAACCTATTGTTATGGATTTATTTCTTATATTTCAATCTCATCATTATTTTCATCATTTAATGAAACTTCTATTTTTTATTCTTGCAATTACATATTAGACATTTTTTCAATCAAAGCTTCAAATTATTCCATTTTCTAAGGGGTTAATTACTTTGGCTTATATTCTTACTATTTTGATACTAATTATTGTTTCTTTTCAAAAAAGAAATGCTTGAGATTTCTACCTGTAATTTAAGGTTATTATTATTATTATTATTATTATTATTATTGAGAATTTTAATGAGTTTATTAAGGTTCATTTGTTTCTTAAACTTGTGTATCTCTTTCTAAAACTTATAAATTATTATCTTTTGGAGTAGTAATCATTTCAAATTAAGTTTACTGTTCAATTTTAGATTATTAATTTGGTATTTCTGGCATTTCTAATTTCTTAAATTTATAATTATCCAATGCTCCTTTAATAACTTTCTCTTATTTTTATTGTTCTTTCTCTTTCTTTTTATTTGATTTTTGATCTTTGACTTTTTTTTCAGTTGCTTCATTAGTTTCTGTTTAAACATTTATTTCAGAATTAATTTATTCATTTTCATTATTTTAAGTATTTTCTATTTTTTCCAAATTTTATGATTTTTATTTTTATTTAATTTAACTTGTAGATGGTTTTGTTTTAATTTCAGTCTTTTATAAAAATTTAATAGGTGTATTCTTAAATTCTAGAAGCTTTGAATCTTATTAATTATATTATTCAACAATTTCATCTTCTTCTTCTTTTTTTTTGATCATGTTAATTTTTTCTTTTAGTTTCTTAATTTAATCTATTTTATTATTTAATATAACCAAATATTCTCTTATTAAACGGATATTTTTCAACTCATTCAAATCACATACTTTTTTTAGATCATCAATCTGCCTACTTTTTAATATAACTAATGTAATATTTATTTTAGATTCTTCTATGTAATTTGGTAGATTATTACCAATTAGAGTTTGAAAAGCCTTAAAATCAAAGAATTATGCAGGTTAAATATTTTCACTTAATTCTGCCTTAAATTCTAAGAATGACTTAATCTATTCATCCCATTTTTCTAACGTCCAATTTATTATAATGTTCTTTTATTAAATTAATTATTCAATCGTATTTTTTATTTATAGATTTATCTCAATTCTATTCTTACAACATAATCCTTCTCCAACTACTCTTAATAACATTTTTAAATAGTATTCCTTACCAGCATCATCTTTTTAATCATAATCTTTTAATAAATCATTAATCTTTTCTTCATCTAAAACTATACTAGGAAATCCTAATTGATTTAAACCAATCTAAAATTATTCCCATTTAGCTATATTTGTACAAATTTATTCCATTTATGAACTTATTTTGTATTTTTGTTATTTTTTTTTTTCCACAATTTTTTAAGGAGATGGATCACGATAAATTTAAGCAGTTTAAGGTTGTTTTCTTTGTCTCTTTTCATTAAGAATTAGATCCGGTTAGATTTAAATGTTCTTTTGTTTTCTTTTTTCTAAGAAATGATATTTGCATATTCATACTTGAATTTTATTTATTAGAATGATTATCCTCAATATCCATTGCTTCATTTTGATTCTAATTGTCATCTTTATTGACTTATTAATCAATCTTAATTAGATCCTCCTTTTAATTTTGATCTACATTCAATTTAAATTTTACCTTGTGAACAGGGAGCAACTTCTGTTTGCATTTTTTTAATTTTATTTCTGAAATTAGCGGGAAAATAATTGTAGTATAACATTGTAGTTATATAGCAATCTTGTATTTTTATAACTCAAATTCAATTTTTAAAAAATTATTTTAGAGTCTTACATGATTGAATTCAACAGTCACATCTCTAAAATTCTCTTTAAAAGCTTTAGCCTATTAATCAAATACTATTAAAATCTTGTAGATATGTAGAATTTTTGAGATGATTTTTGAGATTCAGATAAAAATTATAAAATCCTTTAATCATTTTGACAATTAAATTCTATTCATACAAATTCTTCTATTCTATCTAATAGTTGTAAATATCAATCCATTGGTTTATTTCTAAATTGAATTCTATTATTTCTAAATTATTATTTAATGAAAAATTAGATCCTAAAGATTTAACTTAGGATAAAGATTTTTTTTAAATAATAACTATTATACTTCAAGATAGTTAATTCTAATAAAGATATCTCAAGTTTAAATTTAATATTTGAAATTTTTTTATTCATGAAATATTAATCCTTAGTTTCTATTTAATTCATTTTTTATTTAACTAATCAAAAATCTTCAAACATATGCTATTTTTCATCATCTATAGGTGGAATATCCTCTCTTTCTTCTGGATATTTATCAAACCATTGAGAATCTGTTTCATTTCTCAAATATGGAACCCATGGTGGTTGAATTTTTTTATCATAAACCTTTTACCAAGGAACTCCTCTGAAGAATTTATGATTCATTAATGCTGCCCCTTCCTAATTTAAATAGTGACATTACATCTTCTACTCCTAATCTTTTATTAACATCAGAATTTAACAATTTTCTAATTACATCCTTTGCTCTTACATGTAAAAATTTAGGAAACTCAATTATTCCATTTAATATTTTCTTGTAAATGTTTGTAGGTTCAATATCATAAAATGGAGGATGTCTTAAATATTTAATATTATTAATAAATACCCTGCTAACATTTCAAATATTAAAACTCCTAAAGCCCACCAATCAATAGATTTTCCATATCCAGTTTTAGCTCCTTAAATTAATTCAGGTGCCAAATATTCTGGTGTACCACATAAAGTCTAAGTGTTATTATTTTTAATTTTTTTTGCAAATCCAAAATCAGCAATTTTAATATGTCCATCCCTTCCTATTAATAAATTTTCTGGTTTTAAATCTCTGTAAACAATATCTTTTTTATGTAGATGTTGAATTGCCAATAAAATTTCAGACACATAAAACAATGTAATATCTTAACTAAATCTACCATCCTTTCTTAATCGAGAAAATAATTCACCTCCAGAAACAAATTCAAATAACATATAAATGCATTTTAAATCTTAAAATGAACCCTTCAATTACACTAAAAAAGGATGTTAAATTTCATTTAAAATGTCTTTCTCTGATTTTATGTGATCAACTTATTTTAATTTTATGATATCATGTTTCTTCATAATCTTAAGAGCATAAACTTAACGACTTGCATCTCGTTTTATTCTAACTTATTTTACACGTCCAAAAGTGCCAGTACCTAATGTTGTGTAAACTTCGAAACTATCAATTGAGAGATTTTAGAATAACTATTTATCATTAGGTTTTCCAGAAACAGATTAAAATGTTGGCTCTTCATCTGATGAATCCTCATTCATTCTTTCAAGCTATAATTACTATAACTTTCTTTAAAGTTCTTCAATTTGAAGTTGATTCATGACAGTTAATAATATTAATATATATTATACAAAATATGTATATATTCCTACTCAATAGTTATATTTCAATAACAATTATTCATATGTTAACAAAATAATTTCTAAATGATCTCTATTTATCTTTATTATTAATTTCAATATCAAAATTAATCATATCAAAAATGGATGTAAAACAAACATATAAATTAAATATATCATTCTTTTTAAGCTTATCTAAATTATCTTTTTAAATTGATAAACAATAATTTAACATGAATTGAATTAATATCATCAAATAAAAGAATCCAATAAAAGCTCTTCTATGCATTATTCAAAGATCAAATCTCCTATTTCCATTAATAGTTCAGCTTTGTCATCCTAATCTTAGCTCCATCTACATTCTAAATCTTTCAACTTAAACCCTTATATTATATATATACATCTTGTGTAAGAGTTTTATAAAGTCTTTATTCTCTGATCTATTAAATAGGATCCTAGCTATTTAAATATTCTAGATCAAATAATTCTGGATTATCTTGATATTACATCTATTAAAGCATAATTTATTAATTTTTTTCATCTAAGATGACTTATTTTTCTTTAGATATAGATATTTCTTCTTCAATAGGTAAAAATCCACAAAGAGAATTAGCCCATTAAATAACCTTTAATTCCATATTTTTCAAAATCTCACTTAAATCATTATCACTTATAAATCTTTATCCAATTCTACCTTCCCATGGATAAGGAAATCCACTATCTAAAATTGAAATATTAATATACTGAAATAATATGGTCTTGAATAATTTAAAGCTTCATTACAGGCATCGAAAATAACTCTATTGTGAATATGTTCTAATTCTTTTAAAATTTATGTCACACTATCTTCATTTTCAGAATCATTTTATTACAATCTATACTATTCATATTCTAAAAAATATTCTTCATTTAAAACATATCTTAAAAATTAATTATATTAAGATTCATCTGATTCCATATATCCATGTATAAATTATAATCGTTTTTATGGTTAAAATCCATAAGGTGAATTTATATTTCGACTAATCTCATTATAATGTTATGGCATAATAAAATCAAAAAAGTTATGTATATAATAACGAATTTCTGAAATAGAAGTTGGAATTTAAGGAATTGTTTATTATCTAATTATTGTCTATAATAATATCTCAAATTATTTTTCTTTCCTCATTAACTCTATTTTAAATTACAATAATTACCTTCGCTCATATCTTGAATTAAATCTACTAATAGATCACTAACAATTAAATTTAATTTAGCTTATTTCTCAATAGTTTCATATTATTCAACCAAAGTATCTTTCAATATTTATTTTTATTGAAATTAATCATCACAATTAAAATCTTCTGATTAAGTTTCTGCTAATTTCTCAAGTTCATTATCATTCTATAAACAAAAATTATTTATTAACTTGATATCAGACATGCTTTATTTAGATTATTTTAGATTACTTAATTGTTCATCCACTCTTTTTTTTAAACTCTAAAGTTTTGCATTATTCTCATCAAAAGATTAAGCAATTATCAAATCTCTTTATATTTTTTTCATCACAATTGCTTCTTTTTTTGAACTCATCTCTATTGCCCATCTTGTTTATTATAAATCATCCAATTCTTTTTTTAACCATAAATTTAACTCTTCTTATTTATTTTCATCATTCTAATTTTTCTTTATCTCTGCTTAAAATCTTAATTATATTGCTTCTTCTCTCATACTTAATAATTCAATCTCTCTTCTCATTAATTAAGATTATAATGCTAAAACTGATGATCTATTAATATCTGTAGATTAATCTTTAGATGATTAAAACAATCTTTCTTCTATCTATTCTTAAACAGTTTTAAATTTTTTTCTAACAACATTAAAATTCTTTTCACCATTCATTTCTTATGATAATCTCATTTTAAATTCTATTGACTATTCAGTATCACTTTTATTTTAGTTTTATTATTCTTTAAATTTTTAAATTTGAAATTATACTATTTTAATTATTGCTTATTTCATTTATTCTTTTAATGTCTTTATTGCATATGATTTTCTACCTTCATTTATTAAGTTTTCTAAATTAAAATTCCAATCATTTAATTGATGTTAAATTTCTTAAATAATAGATTCTTACTTTTAATCATTGTTATTTTGAGTATTTTTTGAACTTTCAAAACTTTGATTAATCTAATAATCTTAATCCTCCTAATTTCCAGATCTTTAAGACACTTAATCAATAACAACTAGATCATTACTTTATTATTGACATTCTTCTTCTTCTAAAGATTCATTTAATGGAAAATTGTCTTTTTTTTCTAATATTTTTATTAGAGCTTATTAAACATTCAGTTATTTTTATTCTTAATCATCATCTCCATCATCAAAAAACTCTGAATTATTTTAACTTTATGGAGGATTAGGTACTTTTTGAGAACTAGATTATTCTGATTCATTTAAAAATGATAAATTTTAATATTATTCTTTTTCTTATTATAATTAATTTTCTTATTCGAGATACTTAAGATAACTTTCAAGGATCAATTATCTTTAATAATATCCTCTCCATATACTTTATATTTTTGTAGCAGCGGCTTACATATAATAAAATTCTAATAATTAAAAATCTTGTTAAATTAAATTAGAAGTAGCTAAAACTTCATTATTTTTTATCAGACTCTTTACTAACTCTTTTAAATATTTTGACGGAGGAAATATATTCAAAATTTCTTCAATTTCATTAGGTAATACTTGATCAGAATTTTAAATATATGAATCAGAGTTTTCTTCATCATATTATGGAATACCTACTTATTTCTATTTTTTAAAAAATTTATTTTATTCTTATTATTATTATTATTCTTATTTTATTTATTATTAATTTTATCCCAAATTAGAAAGTTATTCTTAACTTTTTATTATTTTATCTATTGATTTTAAAGGCTTTTCTTATCCTTTTTATTTTACAAGTTATTCTTTTTACTTATTTTTTTTTTATTTCTTTTTGCCCTTTTTTGGTGATTTAATTTTTCCATCAATCATTTTTTGATTTGTAAAAATCTTCTTTCTTAATTAATCCAATTTAAATAAATTCTCAATTCTAATTAATTAAGACTTAATACTTTTTCTTTTATTCTAGGAGCATCGTTATTTATTAATTTTTCAAATTAATTGAATCTTATGCTCTTTTGCAATTGATATAATTTTAAATATCCTCTTTCTATCGATTTTATCTTTTTTCAACTATATCCTATTTTTTTTTATCTGGATGCTATTTAAGTTCTTTTTATAAATTTTATTTATTTATTTGTTAGTTAATTAACATCTCTCCAATTTTCTTAAATTAAGGAAGCTTTTTATTATTGATTTACTTTTATGGGCTAGTAGAGTTACTAATCAATTAAGCATTTATTTTCTTTTTTGTTTAAGATTAGATTGATTTTTTCTATTTTTTTTCTTATGAAGGGAAAAACCCTTTTTTTGCAGTGTTCATTTAAGATTTTGATTTTCCTTATTATCCTTATACTACTTTATTCTTTTTCAGAGTTGATGATATTTTTTAAGTCTTGAGACCAATAAATTAATCAAGAGTTTATTCAGGTGAAAACAATCTTGGGCTTTTTTTAGCTCTATTACTAGTAATAGCGACGTTTGGTTCTTAGATTTTTCTTCCTTAAATTTAAGAATCATATGATCTCCTATAAAAATAATTGATATTACTTTAATGAGTTATAAGTATTCATTCTTGAAAATAATTTAAATAAAATGCTACTTTTAATTATAAAATTTTTATAAATTTAATATAGAAATACAATTATTTTTGTGATTTCCTCATAGAAATTAATTTTTAATATTCCAATCATATGCATAAATATCAGTCTATTTATATAATTAATTTTGATAATATAATTCATCACATAGAATTAAATCATTAAAAATTTTGATAATTTTAAGAAATATTAATTTCTAAGAATAAAGCTTCTATGTTTATTGATTACAATAACTAATATAAAATAACTTAATAAAATTAGTTTAAAATAGGGATTATATAAAATATATATATTTCAAATTTTGAATAAATTTTGAAGTCTATCAAACAAATCAATTTCACTCAAATAATTTTTATAAGGGAAATAAATAAGGGTTTTAAAATATTTGTAAAATGATAATAGAAAATTTTCATTATAAAACTCCTATATTTTTAATACTTTTGAATTTGATTTCTGTATTGGTCAAAATTTGAAAAAAATAATTAAGTGATTCATTGATTTAATTATAAGAAGTTTGATGGTTGAAAAATCAATTGAAGGTTAATTGATAAATATTGTATATAAGTGTTTGATGAATTCTAATTTTTAGAAATATAATTAAAAATGAGTAATATTAATCGTGAGCAGTGTTTATCTAAACTTTAAGGACATTTAAAAGGGGCCACAGCCACAGTTCAAGGTAATAAAGTATAAGAAATAAATTAGAGATTGAAGAACTTTTGATGAATTAAGAACATATTATTTGGTAATAAGCTAAGGAAATAGAAGAACTTCGTAAAAGATTAAAGTAATTGGAAAGTTTAGACTTTCAAAATGAATAAGTGATTCATATATAGAATATAAATGTTTAACTAAAAACATAAATTGAATTTTTGAGGAGTTAAATTCAAGAGAAAGATGCTATGATTGCTTAATTTACATCTAAGCCAGTATAGTCAGCATCACCAGAAATACTTGCTGCATAACAACAACTTATTCAATAAAACTTATAGCTACAAAATATCATAGGAGATCTTCAAAATTAAATTTTGAATAAAGATGCCGTAATCGGTTAACTAAAAACTTAAGAAAGCACTTTAGATTAATTGATAGGATAACTTTAAACCAATATATAATCTAAAAGAAATAAAGTAGGAGTAACTCAACAAGGAAATGAAACATTAAGTGTACTGAATGAATTATAATAATATCCAGATGCCTTACAAGATGTTATCGAAAGAATTATATAAGAGTATAAAAGAATGCAATTTCTAATTGAGGAGAAAGATATCGAAATTTAAAATTTAAAATCTCGACTTTAACTCTAACAGCAAAAGGCAAATGATTCAATTTCAGAAATTAAAAAAAGAGATATTTCTCCTATGGGCTCAGATTAAGCATTAGATTTAGCTAAATAAACAGCTACCATGGATGATTTAATAAATGATTTGGAAAGAAAGTTAATTTCATAAGATAATAGGAAAAAAGAATTATAAACAAAATTATTAGATGTGGGAACATAAAATGTCGAATTGGAAAAATAATTATTATAATCCAAAGATCAACTTCCAAAAAATATAGATGAATTAATTAAAGCTAATTTAGATGTCAACGATAAAATTAATCAACTTTAAAAAACGTTGCTTTAAAAACAAAATGAGTAAATTTAACTTCAAAAATAAATTGATACAACTAATGATAGTTAATAATAATAATAATAATAATAATAATAATAATAATAATAATAATAATAATAATAATAATAATAATAATAATAATAATAATAATAATAATAATAATAATAATAATAATAATAATAATATATTAAATTCTAACAATAAGATGCTTAAGTTGAACATATTGTCTCAAATGCAAATTAAACTAAAAATGCTGATGATTTAGTCATAGAGAATTAATAATTAGAAGATCTGATTGTTGAATTATAGTAGAAATTGGTTGATAAACAAGCATAAAGAGATGAAATAGAGAATGAAATAAAGAAGTTGAATATTCCTGCATTATCAAAAGAATTAAAGGATCTTTAAAAATAGCATGAATTATTAAAAATAGACAATCAAAACTAAATAAATGAAATTTAATTGCTTTAAGAAGAAAATAATAAAAATAAAAATATTTAATAAAAGCTTATTTAGGAGAATAAGGATATATAATAATAAAATAATGAAACTTAATTATAAATTAAACAGTAATAAGATAAATTAGCTTAGTTATAGGAACAAAAAAATAAAACAGCATCAAAATTAGGTAATGAAGATTTCTAAAAACTCTAAGATAAATTTAATTAGACTGAGTAGAATAATAAAATATTAGAATAATTGGTTCAGTAACTTAATGATCAAATAAGATAGTAATAATAAGATTAGCAACCTTTATAAGAAGAAATTATGAATTTGAAAAATAAATTATAAGAAAATTAATCAACAAATTCAGAATTAGAAAAGTAAGTTTAATAACTTGAAGAAGAATTAAATAATATAAAAAGAGAATAATAATAGACCAAGCCAAGTTATATTAAATCAGTAGATTAATAGAGGACAACACCTATAGAGAAATTTAGAGAACCTTTCTAAAGTATGGTGGAGAAAGATGAATTCTCATTTGATTTAGGTAGTTTAAATTAATAAGAAGTTTCTTCTTATGAAGTAACAAGTTCACCAGAAAATCCTAAATAATCATAATTTACTAAGAATAAAACTCAAGAAGGTAAATTTATAACTATTCCTTTGGATATTATTAAAAATTATGAATATTTAATTCGAGAAAAAGAAAATGAAATTGATGAACTAAAGAATGAGCTTGCCAATTAAGGTATGCAGAGTATACCTATTAATTTCTAAACAGGAAATATTGAATATGGTTAATAAGAATAAATAAACTTTAAATTAGAAGCCTCAGCTCAAAATTAAAATAATGCATAAGACCAAGAAAATTAAGGAGTCACAATAGAATAGTTATAGAAGACAATAAAGTATAAAGAGGATTATATAGAGATGCTTTTATAGTAGATTGAAGATATGAAACAATTTGATACAATGCCGGAGGATAAACAAAAGGAAAAATTGGAAAATAATTTAAGAAAATCAGATGATCTTGTGAGGGAAAATATGAAAATTGCAGATGTTATAACAGATTTAGAAGTTAAATTAGCAAATAAAAGGATTGAGAATGAATAATTGAAGTAATAATTGTAAGAAGTTAATCAAGAATACAATGATTAATAAAAGAGAGCAAAAATGTATGAATTATATATGTTGAATAAAGAATTAGATGAAGAGTCTTCATTATCTCCTAAATTATTGAAAGAAGAATCTTTGTATGATAATTTGATTGAAAACTAATAAGCTCCAGTATAAGAGTAATCAGAAGAAAGATAAGAGTAATAGAAGAAAATTACTATAAAAGATAAATATGAATAAAAAATAAAGGATCTTAAGAAAGAAAATGAAAAATTGATGGCTAATATAAAATAGTTAAAGGAAGCATAATAAAATTAATAAAGTAATATTCCTTAATAAGATGACGAATTTAAATAATAATAATTAAGTCCCGCAGAAATATTAGTTTAAAATAAAAATTCATAATTAAAGCAATAATCATAAAACTAAGAATAGTCTTAATTTATAGACTAAAAAAGTAGTCCATAAGAGCTTTAGTCATAATATGAGAAAGGTTTAGAAAAATAAGTAAACTTAATATAAGAAATGCAAGCACTTCAAGATATAATTGAGACTTTGGAACATAAAGTTTAAGCTAAAAAAGAAGAAAAGGATAAATTGGAAGCTTAATTATATTCTTTAGATAAGAAGACAGAATATCCATAATAAGATGCTTAATTATAGGAATCTGCAACGATGGCAAGTACAACAAAATTGGATTAGGAAGCTTTATAAAGATTGTATGATTAAGAAGTATAAATTTCAAGATTGAAAGATTAATTAGTAGAAAAAGAAAACTAACTTTAAGAGATGGGAAAATTAAAATAAGTATTGATAGAAAAAGATAATGAACTTAAATCTTATAAGGATTTAATACCATCATTGGAAGAATATTAGAATCAATAATTCTTACACTAATAAGAGGAATTGGTAAATACTGAATTACGTAAGGATTTATAGAAATTAGAGGATCAGTTAGAAATTCAAATAAAATTAAATAGAGAGCTATAATAAAAAATGGATAATAAATATGAATAGACTTCTTAATTGTCTTAATAATTAAGAGAGTCTATCCATGACTCTAATTCTTCTAATTCTTAAATTAAGGATAATAGATAAAGAATAGCAGAAAAATATTAAAAGATTGATGAATTAGTAAGTAAAAATTTAAGTTTAGATGACTTAATTGTAGAATTAGAATTGAAATTAGCAGAGAAAAATGATAATAAAAACTAATTGTTGAGTTAATTACAAGATGGAAGTAAAGTTGCTGAAAAAGATAAGGAATAATAAGTTTAAACAAATTAACCATTTTTTAAATAATCGAATCAATAATAGATGATAGAATAAATTTAAGAAATAAGTAATATTTAATAAGTAGTAAGTAATATTGATGATTAAATTTCAATTCCATTATAAACAGGATAGATCTTATAAGAATTAGATGGATAAAGTTAAGATGAGGAATTAAAAGATCCACATCCTTCAGAGTAATAATCTAATACACTTCATCCAGCAAAATCATAACCAGTGTTTGCAAGAACAACTGAGGAAGTTGAACCAAAACTTTAATAAGTGAAATCTACTCAAGGATTTATTTCATCATAGGATTTACTTAAAGAAGAAATTGATGGTAAAAAGTTATAGGAAGTTTGGGATTTATTAAAGAATAATAGTAATGCAGATAGAAGAATATAAGAATTGAGAGATGCATTAGCAAGAAAAAATAAAAGAAAAGAATAATTGGAGGGTATTTATAATAAAGATTAAGACTTACAGAATCAAAGAGTCTCAGTATGTGTTAATGATAAAAAAGAATTATAAGACTAATTACATTAAAAAAATTTATAAATTGCTGCTTTGAATGAAGAATTATCTAAATTATAATAAAAAGTATTTGAAAAAGAGAAAGTAATTGATGAAAAAGATAAGGAATTTAGAAATAGTTAATTAATTAAAATATATTAAGATAATTGTGATAAAGCAGATGAATTAGTTAGAAAGAATATTTAAATAGAAGAAACTTTGAATAATTTAGAAGTTAAATTAATAGAGAAATAATAAAGACATAAAGAACTTAAAGAGCTTGAATTATAATTGGGAGCAGATTCTAGTATATCAAATATTCAAGAGCCTAGAGAAAGTGGAATAATGGTTAAGTCATATGATTAAGAGCAAGATATATAATTTTAATAATAGGAATAAATTTTATAAGGTTATACAATGAATATTGATTAATTGAAAAATAAAATTGAATAATTAAATAGTGAATTATCTGATAGAGATAAAATTAATTAGGAACTTCGAAATTAAGTATCTGATTTAAAAAAATAGATTCATGGTTATTAATTGGCTTAATAAGATGTTAAAGCGATAAAAAAGTAAAATAAATAATTATAAGATGAAATTCAAGCATTAGTTTAAGAAAATTTAAATTATGAAGACTTGATTCGTGATTAAGAGTTTAAGTTACAGAATAAAAAATCCAAATCTAAAGAATTAGATATGGAAATTAAGAATGCAGAGATCTAGATCTAAGTTGAAAAATAGATTAAATAAAATTAATTACTATAATAAAAAATATAATAGACAGATGAACTAATTAAGAAGAATTTAGAATTAGATGAAGTTTTAACAAATTTGGAACTAAGAATATTAGATAAATAATAATAAGTATCATAAAAAGAGGCTAGACTCTCTAATTAGAGTTCTAGAATTTTATAATAGCCGATATATATTTATTAAGAAGATTCAGATGAGAAAGCAAGTAATATGAAGACAGAAACATCACCAAAAGCTTAACATTAACATCCTTTAATATAAGAACATAATGAAAATTTGAGTGGACTAACTAGTTCTATTAATTAAATGTAAGAATAAGTTAGATAATTGAGTTTAGATGATAGTGAGGTTGATTTTTTTATTTAATAAAAAAAAGAAAGGTAATTGGAAATAGATTAATTAAAATAATAAATATATTAATAGGATGAACTTATGTAAGATTTAAAATAAGAACAAATAGAAAAATAATAATAAATTGAGTAACTTAGAAAAGAAAATTCTAATTTTGATGGATTAGTAGAAGAATTATAAGAAAATTAGAAGCAAATGATTTATTAAGAAATTGAGAAGAATTAAAATAATAATTAAATTTAAGAAATGGGAGGTTCTGAATAAAATGAGATTATAAAAATTTAATCAGAGACATTAGAATAAAGTAAGAAACTTCATGATTTAAAATTGGCTTAGAAATAATTAAAGAATCAAATTGCTAATTATAATTCTTTAATTATTGATCTTGAAGCAGTTGTAGCGGATAAAAAAAATGAAATTTAAAAGTTGAATAAAGATAATTAATCATTCCAATAATAAAATAGAAAGTAAAAAGGGAAAAGAGATTTATTGCATAAAGAACAAAATAATTTATAGTACTAATTAAAACTTCTAGAGCCTTAATTATAAGAACTTTAATAAACTGAGAAATAAGTTCAACAATAAGTTGCTTAGCTTGAACAAAACTTAATAGATTTGAATGAAAAATAAAAATAATTAGAAGAATAAATAAATTAAAAGTAGGATATAAATTCTGTTTTAGATTTACAATTATCAAAATTAAATCAAGAAATAAAAGAATAAAAAGAGAAAAAATAATAATTGGAATTAGATTTGAATTAGTTAAGAGATGAGAATTAAGGTATTGAATAAGAAGTCAAGATTTATAGAAATTTAAGTTTGGAAGATATTACATTGAATGAATAAATAGATGCCTTAACATAATAAATAAATGATGATAAATAAATTTATTAAACATTATAAGATGAATAAAAAGCTACTCAAGAATAAATTAATTTATTGTTACCTCAAAACAATGAAATTGATTAACTAAAAGAAACTGCTAAATTATAATATGCAAAAAATGTAGAAGCCTTAAATAATTTATAATAAGATTTACAATAAAAAATAGAATAAAAGAATAAAGTTTTCTAAGAGGTAACTGAAACTGAAAAATATATCGAAGATAATAATCATGCACTAAAAGGTTTGAATGAGAAGAAATCTAATCTTGAAGATTAAATTAAAAAAGAAGAAGCATTATTAAATGCAGTTGTTGCAAAATCGTAACGTTTAGCAGAGAATCTTGATTATGAAAAATAAAATTATAATGTTATTAATGCTGAATTAGAAGATATTTTGAAGAAAAAATAAATTTAAGAATAAGAATTACAAAATGTTTAAAATGAGGTTAAAAAAATGTAAGCAGAATAATAATAATTATCATAATTTTAACAATAATATCAAGACTTAAAATAATAAATTGATTAATATGAAAAAGATATATAAATAAATCTTTAAATAATTCCAGAAAGGGAATAGTAAATATAACAATTATAGTAAATGATTTAAAAGAAAAATGAAATTTAAAGTGTTTAATAAGAAGAAGTTGATAATGTTTAGAAAAGACTTGATTAATTAGAGGAAGAAAAAGCGTAAAAAGAAGAAGAACTTGAGAACTAAAGTAATATTATTAAGAATATTGAAGAATAAATAATAGAAAAGTATTAAAGAGAAAAGGATTTAAAGGATTAATTAGATTCAATACAATTAAGAGATCTTGAAGCTGAATTAAATGAGAAGATGGAATAATCAATTGCATAATAAGAAATGTTAGATTCGATAGAATAATTGAAAATTTAAGTGTAAAAATTAAGAGATGAAGAAGAATAACTTAAATAATAGATTTAATAATAAGAAAATTTAAATAATGATTAGAAATAGGAATTAGAATTTAAAATATTGGAAAAGAATGATTTAGAATAAGATCTTCATTCAGCATCAGCATAATTAGATGAGATGAAATTTTAATTAGAAGAGAGAAATGCTTAATTAGAAAAATTAAATGATTAATTTAAGAAAGTAGATGAAGATTCAAAGATAATGGAGGCTGTATTATAGTTGAAAGAGAAGGAATTAAAGTAATTATAAAAAAAGAAAGAAAATTTGATAGATGAATTAGAGAAAACAAATAATGATGTAGTTGAAACATAGAAATAGTTAGCAACTAAAAGAAAATATTAAAGATCTTTAGATGCAGAACCTTAATAATAAGATGAAGATATGGAAGAAGATATATAAGGTAAGATTACATCATTAAATTCCCGTAATAATAATTTGAAAGATGATTTATAAAAATTAGTAGAATAGAGTCCAGATACAACAGATTAATAGGCTCTAGTATAATCGGAAGTAGATAAAATTTAATAAACATTGTACGAAAAAGATAAAAAAATAGAAATGTTATAAGGAGAAATTTAAACATTATTATAATAATAATAATCACATGAAAGGAATAGTATTATTCCATCAATGTTTTAATCTAAATTGTCAGTTCAACCAAGTTTCTTTATAGATGATGATCCTTTACTTTTAGATTTACAAGAGAAATTCACTAAAGAAAGTGAATTGCTAAAGGATTTATAAAATAAAATTAAATAGACTGCTGAAAATCATTATGCATTATCATTATAATTAAAGGATTGGGCTGAAAAGGAAAATAGATTAGCTAAAGAATTAGACTTAAGAAGGTAAAATGTAGAATAAATTGAATCTGAACTTTAAGGAATATATGAAAAATATACAGATTTAGAATCTGTAAAGAATAATTATTTAGTTAAATCTTATTAATTAAATAATGAAATACAAGAAGCTGAGGAATAAGAAATTAATGTCAGAAATAGATTAAAAGAAAAGAAGGATTACTTATAAATACTTTATAAAAATTTGATAGATAGTGATCAAAAATTATTGCAATTAAGAAATAGAATGGCCCTTTATTCTTAAGAAGGAAGACAATTAGCTGAATAAGTTGAAAGCTTAGAAAACGATAAAGAAAATAAATTATAATATTTATAAGACATTTAAGCTGATTTAGAACATGCAGAAATGGAAAAACAAGAAAAACAAGCTTTAGTATAATCTATAGCTAAAGAAATTAGTGAAACTCAATAAGAAAAAGATAAATTAGAAATTTAGTTTGCTACTGTTCATAGCAAAAATCAATAGTTAAAAAGTTAAATTGGTATAGAAGAAGCTCTTTATCAAAAATTACTTTAAGAATTAGAAATTGCTAAAAAGAGAGACTAAACTAAATTCTAAAACTTATTTTCAGATGGATCTACTTAAACAGAATATGATTTAGAATAATTTGAAAGTCTAACTAATAATACTTAGATGTTTAAAAATACAAAAGAAGACATTTTCTAATTAAAAGAAAGTTGTAAATAAAGATTGATCTAAATTTATATCAATGAAAAAACAAATATAGAATAAACAATTAGTTAAAATAAGAATTTAAAAAAGATGATTCATTTATAATAAATGCTTATATAGATTTAAGAAAATGAAAATCACAATTTAATAGAATATTCATCTAGAAGATCTTCAAAATTAGGATTTAAAGTATTAGATGAATCTATTTATAATATGACATTAGAATTAGAATAAGTATGATATATTCATATATTTTAGATTGATTTTATAATGAATAAAACTAAATTAGTTGAAGTTTAAGTAAGTGATCATCAAATTGTTGTTGGAGATATCAAAATAGCACGGCAATGGATCATAGAAAGATAGTTTGATAACTATAATGAACTTTATCCAATGGGTGTGTTAAATATCATTTATAAAGTATAATACTTTAATTACTTAGGTATCCCTTTATTAAGTAATTAATATTTCATTAACTGGAACAAAAGTATTAAACTTATATCAATCTATATTGTGAGATATAAATTAAAGTAATTATATTTTATATTTTCTTTGAATAATATTTTTATTATGAGTGGTCATAGTAAGAATTCATAAAAACCAGATGATGATTATGATGATAGAGGATGTTTTTGTGGTTTCTTTAAAAAAAAGAGTAATATGGAATAGAATAGTACTAAGTTAACTTCTAAAGTCCGGCATTCAATGAATAAATCTGATTTACATTCAAGCTAACATTATGCTTCTTCTTAACTAAACTAATTAAATTCATCAAACTTAGAATATTAAAGAAAAGTAAGTGTACCATCTCCAATAGTTAGTAGTTTTGCAATCACAGAATTTGAAAACAATTATATACAAAATTAATTATTTTTACTAAAAAATAATTAAAGTGGAGAATCTATTTTTGCTAAAATAACAGAATTTCATTTAAAAACAAACAAAATATCTAATATAGATTTGAAAAAATCACGACTTTTTGAAAAGAGATATGATAATAAATTTGTTTTAAATAATAAATATCCAGACATAACTGCAAGATATATTGCTTCTAGAATAAAAGATTAAATTAGAACATTAGCAGTATATGGATGTCGAAATGAAGGAATTACAGTTCAAGTATAATATAATTAATAAATAAAAGTTTACAAAATACTTAGACTTTGTAATAGCAATAGATAATAATCCTGAAGCATGTTCATAGACCAAATAAAATTGTGATTAAAATGAGTCTAATTTAGATTAGCCAAATCCAAAAGTAGAAATAATTAATGCTGATATTTTTTAATTAAAAAAAAATCTACCTTTTGATAGCATATTTATTAATCCATCTATAAAAAATGATTAATAAATTTGTAAAGATATCTTAAAAGATTGCAATCCAAATCTTAAAGAACTATTTAATCATATATCTGATTAAATGGAAAATTTAATTATTTAATTTCCAGCTTAAATGGATTATTCTTAATTACCTTTACTATTAAATATCAACTAATAATATCGAAATAACAATAAATAATAATCATTTATATCATTAGAGATTGAAAAAATATACATTTAAGGCTCTCATGTTTATAATATTGTATATTATGGAAAAGTAGCAAATGTTTCGACAGAAGAATTGAAATAATAATTGACATTATCACTATCAAATTAAGAAATAGGTAAAGAAAGTTTCAATAATGTTATAGCTAAATTAAATGAAAAGATAGGTAATACAATCAATAATTCTAATTTAGGAAATTTAGAACTTATTTATGAGTTATTGTAAGTACAAAGTTACAAATATAGCTTCGACCAATTTTTGATAACTATTTGTGAAAAGTATAAATTAGATTATAATGATTATGCTTTTATTTTATACTAGAAATTATCAAAGTAGATTTTAACTTAAAATTAGAGATTATTCTTAGAATTCATTTAATTATAAATTTAGAGATTCAATCAATGTTATTTAGGAATAAGAAGAATTTGGTTTTAGTCCAAAATTTTCATATAATTTGAATGGATTGTCAAAAAAGGATGAGGATTGTATAACAGAAAGTTAAGAAAATATCGATGTATTCGAAATTAATAATTAAATAGCAAATTGATGTAAATTAAAATAATATTCATTTTAAATATTTAAAAATAAGTTATCTTAATTATTCTAATCTTACAGGTTTTATTAAGATTTCTTTCATTCCACTTTCTAATGCACAAAGTAAATTATTTTCAGAATCATAAGCAGAACACATAACTATATTTAATTTTTTATCAATTTCTATTAATTAAATAGAGGTTTAATATCCATTTAAGCCAGGCATTTCAATGTCCATAAAAATTAATTTATATTATACTTATTTCATTTTCTATCTAGTTTTAACTTTACTAATTGCTTCTAATCCATCATAAACCATATCACTCTCAAATCCCATATTTTTAATTAATAAATTTAACGACAATAAATTAAATGGTACATCATCACAAATAAGAATTTAAGGATATGCATCACTTTAAATTTATTTTTAAGTAAAAAATGTTTAATTACAAAGAGGCATTTAATGATCTTCTAAAGTAATTATTTCTCCATTAGAACTAACTGAATCTACTATTTCATTTAATCTTATTGAAGATTCTTTAAGTGATCTAACAATAGAGTGAATTTAATTATTAACTCTAAAACTTATTTTTGTATATTCTCCTTCTTTGCTTCTTATTTTAAAATATGACTTTTTTGAATAAGATAACTCATGACACATTCTCATTCCTATTGAAAAACCAAGTCCTACATATTTTGTTGTAAAGTTTTTCAATTAATAAAATATACTATCATCTATTGTTGTATTAACAATATTATTAATTGCATCCAAATCTACTTTTGATATTCCTCTGCCAGTATCATGAACAATAAACTTAATAAAACTTATTAATCCAGATGATTTCTCCTTTTTTTTAGTAATAATAGATATTGTATCATCTTATTCTGTAAATTTTATTGAATTGTTAAGTAAATTTACAAGTAATTATAGTATTCTTTCAGGATCACTATTGATTTTTAAATTTTCTAGTCCATCTGCTATTTAAAAGTTTAACATAATCCCTTTACTTTTACAAATATCTAAGTAGTATTCTTCAAGTTATTTATAAATGTCTTTTATTAAAAAGTCTTGTACATTTAAATGAAATGTTCCTAAGCCAAAAGAGGCATAATCTAAAATATCATTAATTTAATGCATAAGTAATTTATTTGAAACGATTGAAGGGTTAATGTATTATTATATAAGATTTTCTTAAATATTTTAATTCTTAAAAGCTTATAATAAATTTAATGAACAATTTAAAGGAGTGCGCAATTCATGAGAAAATGAATTAAAATGTAAGGTTTAAAATTTGTATTTCTAAACAAACTATTATTGCTTTTCAACTTCAGTTATATCTGAAAATAATACTAAATAGCAATTTTAATTGAGTAAATTGATCATTTTACAAAAAGTTATTTCTATAGTTTTTTCATTGTTATTCGTGGCAAAATGTACTGTTAATTTGTTTGCTTTAACAAAACTCCTGTGTTCTAAACTAAAGTAACAGATATTATTACAGAGAAGAAATCTAGGATTCGCTAAAAAGGGATTAAAGCAACTATTTAAAATCATTTTTTGATAATAGATTTTGTTTTGTTTTCTTATATGAGAATTGCTACTCTAAGAGTTTCTCGCTTAGGGATTAATATCTTTTCATGCGTTATTCGGCTGAAGCAATCAAAGATTCTATCATTTTATTATCCGCTTTCTATAATAACTGTTTTTATGATGTCCGAAATTTAATTTCTTTGTGTTATTTTGTTATTGATTCATCTTGCTCTAAGCCTCTAAGAATTTCATAAAAATTTACTGTAATATCATTTTCTACAATTACAACATAGCCTAATCATCTGTCTAAGCCATTAAGATTTTTGAAGCCTTATCATTTATATATAATATATCAAATGTTGCTGAAAAATATATTATTCCTTATTTTATATGATTTGCTATGTAAAGTAATTCATCTTTTTATATGAGATCAATTTTTCTATTTGACATTATCTATTCTGCTGGTACTGTAGAATAAGAATACAGAATTTCATGAGAGGTTGTGTGTTTATGTCTTAATTATTGTAAATTTAACAGTTTTATCAAGACAATTAAAATCAAAGTTATGGATGTCATAATATACTGATAAATTTGAGTATTATACATTTAAATTTCTATCATACAATAAAATATTGACACATATTGTAAATATTTATGTTATTGAATTGATTGTTCTTAATAAAACAGAAGCAAAAATAAATAAAAGTGATAAGAACTAAAATTTGAAAAAGCCTACCTAATTTCTGAAGCCAATTATATTTAATTTAATAGTTACAAGCATAGGGTTAATAATGAAAGCTTAAACTATTTCCAAATTGCTATATGACAAATTAGATTTATTAAAGCTATCGAGAATCTAATTGCTGCTAAAATATACAATGGCTTTTAATCTTCTAATAAAAAAATGATTATAGCATCCGATCCTATCAACAAATTAATGGAAATGCTCAAATAAATATTCATGATTATTTTATACCTAAATTATATCCTTTTAATTAATTAGAATGGATCTAAAAACTGATATTTTTGCAAATTTTGGAATAGAAATTTTATGTTGAAATTCATGCTATTACTAAATTTAAGTTTTAAGGATTTTCTTTCATTAAAGAAACAAGAACTAATTTAGGAGAATAATGATTAATATCATTTGATCAAAAAGAGTTTTATATTTTTTAGTTTTGAAAATATTAACTTGAGCAGAGCATAACCTTTTTAGTCTAATTTAAGATGCTTTTTCTAAGTTATTTCCTTCAGAAAACTATTATAATAATTTAACTTTAATTAAATGCTTTTATAAGAATATTAATTAATACTGATTATAACAGTGCAAAGGCAGAAAACGTCAATTACTATCACAGCATATTGTTTCAAATTCTACATCAAAAGCTAAAACGAATATATGTTTTCATGATTTAATTGGCAATATTTAAGCTTCGGGTATAATGATTAGATAAAATTAAGCAAAGAATAATTTAAAATATCATATATATCATCTTATTTGTTTTTGATAATATATTAAATTTTTTGTAATAAACAGAAAATTTTTTAAAGAAAAGTTATAGTGTTCTAATATTTTATTAATTCAATATTATAATTTTTAATATTTAATGAATTCTTGAAAAATGGAAATTTTAAAAGTAAAAAATTACATTTTTTGTGTAAATATAATTTAACTTTGTATTATTAATGTAGAAGTTTAATTTATTTAGTTTTATTTATATTAAGACGTATAGGAATATAAAATTAATAGAAACAATTACGTTAAAGTTATAAACATAAATGATGAAATATGAAAACTCTGTTTAAAATATAAAAAATAAAATTATATATGGAATTTATATTAGATAGGATTTAAAAATTATAATATAAAAATCAATAATGAGAGTGATTTATTTAGTTTTAGGCGCATGTTTAGTTTTTGTTTCAATTCCAATGTTTTATGATAATACTGATAGTGCTTTATGGTTGGAAAAGACAGAAGCTCACACATTTTTTATAAGTTCATCAAATAGACGATCACTATTATAAGAAAAGTATTAATAATAGACCATATTAGTCATGAGATGATAAGATAATAAGTAGAAGCAGAAGAAATAGAGAGAGTGCTAAAATTATAATAATTATTTGAAGAATCAAAAAATATATGTTTAAATGGTAAGGATCCTAAAAAGTGGAGTTATGAATAGATAGTAAATGAATTTATAAAAGGTCCTTGTGCTCCAGTAATTTTAGTTCCAGGATTGGCAGGGACATCTTTGGAAGTATTAATAAAATAGAATTATAGATTGAAGTAGATTGTGAAAAACTATAGAAGGAAAGTCCAGAAGTATTTGATAGTTGTGGTTGGTAGACATGTAATTCATGGTATTTTTGGTATTCAAAACCAGATACAGAGTATAGACTTTGGATTTCAACAACTACAAGCACAGTAGGTGTAATATAGACAAGTTCTAAAGATCACTGTTTTGGTAATTTAATGGAATTGAAATATGATTCTATTACATAAAAACATTTAGAAACACCTGGAATTAGAGTATTATATATAATTTAATGAATATAGGTAACTTATTATGGAAATACACCCAGTACATAGAAATATAATGAATGTGGTTTAGGAGGTATAAAAGAAATGACTGATGATTATCTAATCAAATATATGATGTGTGATTATAAAGGATTTTTAAATATTGGAGATTTATTGAAAAATATGGGATTTGTAAGTGGACTTTTATTTTAAGCTATACCTTATGATTATAGAAAAGGTATTCAATAATCTGAAGCAAAATAATTAATTAAATAAAGCATATCAAATTTAAATAAAATCACTGGAAAGAAAGTAATTATATTAACTCATTCTTTGGGTTCTTTACATACTCTGAATGTGCTTGGAGAAATGACTAAATAAGATAAATAGAACTCAATAGCAACAATTATGACTATGGGTGCACCTTATTTAGGTTCATCTAAAGCTGTTAGAGCACATTTAGGAGGTGATCCATCATTCTTAGATACATTTTTAGGTCTGACTGTAGGAATTAATTATTTTAATTAAAATAAAGCTATCAATTCAGCTTCAAGTTAAGTTGATATATATCCTAAGACTACATTCTTTTAATATTTAAATGAAACATGGATGCAAGATATCTTATTAAGAATTTAATAAGAAAAAGATTTTATTGATAATAAAACCAATCATGTAAATGCTATCTCATGGTTTCCAAATCCTACAGAAATATGTACTAATCTAACAGACTTTAAATCATAATGTTTGATTCATTTATAAGATTTAAAAGATTATTTCATTGAAATTGGAAATTAAAAGTTTACTGCTTAAGATATTAATCAATTATTAGAAAATTATACTATTAATGGTACAATTATCTAATAATATTATTAAAATCATTAATCTAATACATTAAATTCTTTGTAAAATCCTGAAGTTCCATTCATTGTTTTGTATGGAGGATTTGCTTAAACTGAATATTAATTCAAATATTTAAAGAACCCTTAGCATGAAGTCTTAGAGAAATAAGATTTTTATTTCCCAAACTCTACTACCTATGCCATTGGTGATTAAACTGTTTTAACTTCCTCTGCTCTTACTCCTGCAATTAAATGGATTTATGAACATTAAAATGGTAATACAAACAATCCAGTTAAAGTTATATAATATTGCTCTAATTATAAAGGTCCATTATAATTGAATCTTTATGATTCCACTATTGATGGAGAAAAATTAATGACTCAAAGTGGATATATCGGTTTAGAATGTGAATGTTTAAAAAAAGGATCAGTATTTAATTTCATTTAATTTATAGGCTATAACTGATTGCAAACATTCTTGTTTAATCAATGACAAATTTGTTGTTGACCTTGTTTCATAACTTGTACGTAACAATTAAAAAGCAATTATTGATAAAACTCCATTTGATAAAAATTAATTAGAAGAAATAGTGAAACTATGTTCAAATCTTTAGGTTAGATGAAGATTGATACTTATTATTTTTATCAAATTTAAAACAAAATTTGCACCATTTTTTTAAGTCAATATCATTTTATTGAATTCTATAAATTTTATCTTTATTATTATTCATAATATTAAACAAAATAATTAAATAAAAGATATGATGGATACATTTTTGTAATGCTTTTTTTCTACTCTTCAATGATGCCTCCAGCAATTTCAATTTATTTCTTTCGATACATTTTTAGCTTAATTTTTTTATTTATATTATTCTCCAAATGGTATAGTACTATGATTTCTATTATTTTATTTGAAGGATTTTTTAATAATTTTTCTTTACAAAAATACAGGTAAAAACTAATAATCTAATATATATTATTGATAGTGTATTAATCTCAATATTTTTGGTCATATGGATATTGCGGTAATGAACAATTTAATTATTATAAATTAATATGATTTAAAGAGTGATTGTAATAAAAAATTTAAGGAAATAAATAATTTTATGAATATTTTATTTCAAGCATATTTGACTTAAATCATAAGGTGAAAAACAACGCGATAATAGTGGTTGTAAATATTAATGAATATGTTGGTAATGGTTCACAGAATCCTGCATTTAATAGAAATGTATCTTCACATTCTGTGCATACATCTTTAGCAGAACAAGTAGCACAATTTGCAGGACAACCAATACAATACATAGTAAATTAATCAGGAAAAGTATTAGTTGGACAAGAATTAACACATTCAACACCATTTCTATATGTAGTACAAGATTTTTCACATGCTCTTCCTGCATAACCTGCAATACAAGTACACTAATAAAATAGATATAATATAATATACTGATCCTCCTAAACAATATCCTTTTTTATTACATTAGTTGGGACATTCACTTGCTGATTCACAAAGTTCTTCTGGATTTTCTGGACAAATAAATCCACCTTAATATTGTTAAGTGTTAAAACTTGGAGATGATCCTCCATCACTGCAATCATACTAAACTCCATCAATAATTATTTTTAAATTTTAATCTTCATCACAAGCATATTTGAAACAACTGTAACCCAATCTATTAGCTATTCCTTTTTTTGTTAAACTTCCTTCAATACACATACTATCATATCCAAAGTAGAAATTTGTTCCTGAAAATAAAGTTGTATTATAATTATTTGCATCTCTACAATCGAAATCAGCCATTACATAATTATAAGGACATTCTACAAGACCATCATTTAAGCAAATTCCTATTCCTGTATTTTAAAATGAACAAGATAAATGATCTAAGGGATCATCATTAGGATCATCATCATCATAAGGATTCCTACAAAATTCTTTATATTCTGTTTCAGAATAACATTACAATTTATAAAAATCACATCCTTTATCCTTTCCCCATAATTAAATATCTGCAGTATGTTTTGTTACTCTATAAAATCTATACTCTTATTTTTTATAATATACCCTGTATCTTCTAAAATTGCAAATGTAAATTCTGTAAATAATGAATTACCAGTCATTATTGCACCTGTCATTATATCATTATAAAATATTGATCTCTCAAAATGTGATCCAGCTGTACCACCTCCATTTTAATCTTCCATCTAAAATTTATACTCAATTTTCTTACTGTTCCTCCCAATATATTAGAACAACAAAAATGATTCTCTACTAATTAAGTTAATCTTGGTGTTGGCAAATCTATTTGCTAATTCACTCTTTAATAAACTGTAAAATTGTATTTCTCATTAGATGTACTATTATAATAGTTTCCATATAAATTATCTGTGAATCCAAGACCATGAATTGATTCATGTAAAACTATTTAGACAGCTGCTTCAAATTTAGCATCTGTACCCTTATTATATTTTATTCTATTCATACCTAATACTCTTTCATATGATAATTATTAAGTTGCATCAATCCAAATATTGGTCTTCCTGTATTTTCATCAAAAATCATAGGTGCTGCTCTTGCTATATAGTCTACATCTTTATTAATCTCTTATCCTATGAAAAATACCAAATCAGCATCATAACTCTTTTATAATGAAACTGGCACTTCAAATAGTGACCAATCTGTTTCATAACTAGATTTCCATTACAAATTTCCTTTCTATCGTTTTACTAATAAATGTCTTCCAAAAAATGTTTTCGCTATATTTAATACTGTATTAATTTAATCTAAGACATCTTAAGGTGGAGATTCCAAGAATTCAAAGTGTAATCTTAAAGGTTCCCATGAACTTTAAACATCCTCAAGTTTGCGATCACTGTGTTTCTCTCTTAATCTTTCTAATAACTTCCTTTAAGATGGTAATATTATATCCAACACATTTGGATAAGCAAAACAAATAGTTAAATAGAATAGGATTAAATATTTCATATAAAAATAATATTCCTATATATTTGGAATAATATTACTTATATATTTATATTTTAGATGTCAAATTATATTATATATTAAATTATTACAATATAACACAATTCACTTACTAATAATTTATTTTCTTTCCATTCTACTTTTAAATTCAAAAAATTACCTAAATTACAACCTTTAATTAATAAATTAATCTAGTTGTTCCTCTAAATACTCAAACAGGTAGAAGCTTTAAATCCTATTTATTTAATCCAATTGCAGGATATTGCAAATTTAGAAGACAAACTGTAAATGTTTAGAAAGTGGAGGAATAAATGCATTCATATAAAAACAGAATGCTTTGTAACCCATTACATATATTAGAGCTCATCAAATTAAAAAAGAAAAGAAAGATGTAACAAAATAAAGGAAGAGGTAGATATCTATGATTGTAAGAGTTCCTTCTAAAATTCAAGATATTACTAGTCTTATTCCATAACGTAAAGAAAGAAAAACAAAAACATTACTTTAAAATTAATTTATTGAATAAACACAATTAAAATGTAAAATATTACTCACAAAATTGACTCTACNTAAACTGTAAAATTGTATTTCTCATTAGATGTACTATTATAATAGTTTCCATATAAATTATCTGTGAATCCAAGACCATGAATTGATTCATGTAAAACTATTTAGACAGCTGCTTCAAATTTAGCATCTGTACCCTTATTATATTTTATTCTATTCATACCTAATACTCTTTCATATGATAATTATTAAGTTGCATCAATCCAAATATTGGTCTTCCTGTATTTTCATCAAAAATCATAGGTGCTGCTCTTGCTATATAGTCTACATCTTTATTAATCTCTTATCCTATGAAAAATACCAAATCAGCATCATAACTCTTTTATAATGAAACTGGCACTTCAAATAGTGACCAATCTGTTTCATAACTAGATTTCCATTACAAATTTCCTTTCTATCGTTTTACTAATAAATGTCTTCCAAAAAATGTTTTCGCTATATTTAATACTGTATTAATTTAATCTAAGACATCTTAAGGTGGAGATTCCAAGAATTCAAAGTGTAATCTTAAAGGTTCCCATGAACTTTAAACATCCTCAAGTTTGCGATCACTGTGTTTCTCTCTTAATCTTTCTAATAACTTCCTTTAAGATGGTAATATTATATCCAACACATTTGGATAAGCAAAACAAATAGTTAAATAGAATAGGATTAAATATTTCATATAAAAATAATATTCCTATATATTTGGAATAATATTACTTATATATTTATATTTTAGATGTCAAATTATATTATATATTAAATTATTACAATATAACACAATTCACTTACTAATAATTTATTTTCTTTCCATTCTACTTTTAAATTCAAAAAATTACCTAAATTACAACCTTTAATTAATAAATTAATCTAGTTGTTCCTCTAAATACTCAAACAGGTAGAAGCTTTAAATCCTATTTATTTAATCCAATTGCAGGATATTGCAAATTTAGAAGACAAACTGTAAATGTTTAGAAAGTGGAGGAATAAATGCATTCATATAAAAACAGAATGCTTTGTAACCCATTACATATATTAGAGCTCATCAAATTAAAAAAGAAAAGAAAGATGTAACAAAATAAAGGAAGAGGTAGATATCTATGATTGTAAGAGTTCCTTCTAAAATTCAAGATATTACTAGTCTTATTCCATAACGTAAAGAAAGAAAAACAAAAACATTACTTTAAAATTAATTTATTGAATAAACACAATTAAAATGTAAAATATTACTCACAAAATTGACTCTACATTTGAAAAAACTCCTACTTAAAATAAACAATAAAGCGTTTCCTTAACGGGAAGTTAAAGAACAATTGAGGATTCTCAAATTTCTATTGTGTAGAATTTAAATGTCAATCAAACCTAAGTTTAAAATACTCAACTTCTTAGAATTAACTATAAAATTAAATAAAAGCCTTCACTAAAACATAAAGAAAGAAATCAAAACATATTTATTTAAAAGGTTTTCCTTTAAAATTATTGCTTGAAGTAATTTATTTAAAAGGTTTTCCTTTAAAATTATTGCTTGAAGTAAAATCTTACATTTTATTATAAAAAAAAAATGAACAAATAATGAATTTTGTATTAATATATAATGAATGCTAACTTTTCTATTTATTTACCTTTAAAAGATGTTTAAATACTCACAAAAATGTCTTCCTAATGTTTCCATTACTTGAAAAATCCCTTTAATAAAAAAAAAAGTATCTATAACATAAGTTCAACAAGTATTCTTATCATTTAAATTTATTAATTATAGAAATAAAGATATTTGACATTTATAAACTAAAAAAATATATTCATCTCAAGGAAATCGGACAAGTTTACCCTTTATTACAATAAAAATGGTAAAAAAACATTTTAACATTGACTATCTTAGAAATTAGGTAAAATTTAATTTCTATCATTTAACTTGAGTATCAAAAAATCAAATAGATATAATGAGAATTATATATTGAAAATTAAGATTTAACAAATAATCTAAACTATTTTTTTGCATAAGATAACATTGTTTGTTCAGGAAGAAAGCTACTTCTGAAACCCTGCATGAGAAACATAGATAGTTATGAGAATTGATATAATGAAGATAGTGATTCGTACATCAATAAATATCTGGGATCTAAATTGATAAATAAATAATAGTTAATATTTCTTTATTTTATTATAAATTGTCCTAAAATTATGCAATAACTTCACCCTAAACTAAGAGCATTATCAGTTTAAGAATAAGGGGAACAAAGAGCCAAATTACCTAATATTCTTGCACCCACATTTGCAGATTGGAAAATTATTAGTGATTCTAGGGCTCATCCTAAGATTAGCAGGAGGAATCCTCTATTTAAATTTGGCTTGATTCCACTTAAAAAGGCTGTGACCCCTTAATCGTGTATTAATTAAGATTCTAAAAATTTTCGGGAACTTAAATCAGAGGAACAAAGCCAAAGAACATAAGAAATAATTGTTGAAGGCAGAGTAAACAAAAGATAAATAAATAATCTTTAATAATTTGAATCAGAAAAAAAATGTTTTACATTGCGAAATAGATTTGTGAGTGGGCCTAAACATGCAAATCAATTAGTATACCTTTCGATAATATTTTAAGTTGATCGAATGCAAATAGTTGTTTGAAAATTAAAAAAAAGCATTTGAAGAAATATTAAAATAAAACGATTTATTTAATAAATATGCTAGAGTAATAGATAAGGAATAATCCATGACAAATTAGAAAATAATCTAAATTTTTAACCTATATAAATGACACATATATGTATATCTTTATAATCAATTCTCTAATAATAGTTTTTAAGAAATATTAAAATAATTTAGCATATAGGTTTTTTTATAAGATTCACAGTTATTTTATTTTAATTTATAATTCATCTAAAATTTTGTTATTGCTTGATAGAAATGATATATCTTTTAAAATTCAATCCAATATAAAAACAATCTCTAATGATGATGTATTATAAATAAAATATCAATTTTTTTTATTTTTACAAAAATTTAAAAGTATTATGATATTTATTTCTAATTAATCGCTTGAAATTGTTTTCTTATATTGAACTTCGATAAATTCTTCCATTCTTAGGAGGGAAATGTTCTTACTGCTTGAATCTTTTTAAATGAAACTGCAATTTTATACATAAAAATACATTATATTTATTAGATGCAACTATTTTTTATCTCAAATATTCAGTATATTATTGAATATAAGATTAATGATGCTAATTGAATTTAAAATACTCAATAATTAGTATTAGGGGATTTATTTAGTGTGATTAAAATAAAATCTCACTAAATATACTTGTAGTTAAGATAATAAAGGATTGCTGTTAAATTCACGTAAAATGTTTTATAATTAATTTTTATTATTGATTAGAACTACTTTAAAAAATGAACTTAACATGATATATTCTAAGTTATAATTTGTATATATAAATCAGTATACTGTTTGGAAGAATGGATGTGGCTTTTAATATTCCAAATCAATGGCTTTTCTTGATTTGTTATATTTACCATAATATTCCATGCATGTAAAAGTAAATCTTATATTTGAGATAAAAAGAGTACCTGATATAATTTCCGAATTTAGCTGTTCTTAAATACTCTCTTGAGATACCTGTTTTTGTGAGATCATCAGCATAAACGAATATATCTGACCCATCCTAATCCATAACAATAAAACCATAGTTTTTGTTCTCATCAAAGAACTTAAGATAACCAGTACTTCTATTCTTTTTTGGTTATTCAAGTGCAAGTTCTTAAAGTAATTGAGTGACTGAAACTTAAGAGTCCTAAACAAAGCGATTGCATTCCTAAATGATTTGATCACCTTCAATGTTGCTTTCTTCAATGAGTTATTACTTATACTAAATAAATAGTGTTTATTATATTACATAATTTCTTGGGTATGAGGAACTTTTCTTTATTTATGGAGGCTTATGGATTTGCTCAAATTTGAATGTATCATAGTCTAAATCATTTTCACTCATCTTGGTTGAGAAATCTTAGAATTCTGATCTAGAGGGAGACAACTACAAATCGATCAATTTCACAGGAAACATTTATAGACAGATAATTAAAATATTTATGAATAATTTTATTTATTTTCCTTATATACACTCTCAACTAAGGAAAGAAATATTCATTGTAATTAAATCAAAAGTGTTTATATATCTTGCCTCATTAAAGAAAGGACATTCAAATAAATATTACATCATAAATCAATCTTTTTATAAATTTAAAAATTATTACTACAATATTATTAGTTAAAATATTTTGTCATAATGTTTTAAATTATATATTACTAAATAAAAGCTATATGTTGAGCTTAGTTGACTGTGCTTTTTAATTAATAATAAATTTTATAAAATGAAAAACGAGTTGTAACACTTTAAATTTAAATTATTATTTATATGAATTTTTTTAAAGAAGCATCATACTCTTTCAAATAAAAATTTGGATATTCTTAATAAGAAAAAGCCCTAAAATTGTTTGATTAAGCATATCATTATCAAAGCACTATACTTCCAATAAATATTCTTGATTAATTAGCAGAACTCAGTTTTCAAATGTATGATAATATTCTAAAATAAGTGAACATTATCCAAAAATAATCGATGAAATAATTAAGTAATTAAATACAATGAATAACACATCCAATTAGATTTTAAAGGTATATTTATTTTAAATTAAAAGTCACTTATTATAATAGATTATTTATTGAAATATGGATGTTCAGGGATTATTGATGATTTGAAAGAGAGAATAGGTTTAATAAGAAAGTATTCAGAATATAAAATTGAAATTTAAGAACCACTAATCTAATCAAGTAGATAAATATCTAATAATTAAAGTTAGACAGAAAGCTTAAAATATAACAATATAATTAACAAATAGAAATTTATTGTATAAAGAGAAAGAAATTGCAAAATAGATGAAATTAAAAATTTAGATGAATAAACTAAAGTTGTAAACCTAAAGTAGTAACTCTAATGATGAGACATAATCTAGTTTAGATGATATGTTAGAGAATTATATTTATAAATATATGGATAAATTTCATGATAAATTAGAAAGTTGGGGAGATTAAGTGAATGAAAAACTTGATAGTCTAATTAATAATGTGACTACAAATTCAGCTTATAAGAAAGATGAGAATGGATATTATTATCCTGAGTCTTGTATGGATGAGGATATGTTTGTATAAAGAGATAAATCAAGAGGTTTAGATTTAAAAGAAAATAATTAAACCTTAGGAATTGGAAATTAAAGTATTAGATTTAGTAATTTAGATTTTAAAAACTAAGAAAATGTTTAACCTAATTAATAAATAATGAAATAAAGGATAAATTTATTAGATTGAATATAACCTAAATACTAAAATATAAAATTAATCAAAATAATTTTTTTTTTTTTCTTGTTTAAATTTCTCTTATTTAGACAGATGCTTGCTATTGAAGATATTCTCCATTTACTATAGAATGTAAAATGTTAGCTAATTTATCAGCTAATTCACAAACATCTGATTTTGGAGGATTAAATATATAAGCATTATTTCTAATTCTTTCAACATCATTAAGTATTTAATCCTTACTCCTATAAAAATCATTTTCTAATCTTAAAGATAGATAGATATATAATACCTTCTTTAGATAAGTGTAATATAGCTCATTAATGGAACAAAATCTAAATATTTAGGATACTATTAGACATCAACTTCATTAGAAAAGAAAAAGGCAATTTTAGTTTATTTTTTAATCATGGAATTGATATCTCTATTAATTTATTGAGCTTCATTAGTAGTTAATGCAGATTATAAAGAAGCCCCTTAGATTTCGATTGGTTTATTAGATTTATTAATCATGGATGCAATTTCCCAGAAATTTAAATGACAATAAGCAATCATACTTTTTTGATTTCTTAATTAATATGTTTCATCATTGATTCTCTTACATTTCAATACTTGCCAATCACTAGCATTTAAATAATTATCAGGAGTTTCTTAAGCAATAAATTGATATTGATGACCGAATCCATTATCTTTATCTGCATCAGTTTAAAAGGTAATTTAGGATTGATTTAAAAAAGGGCGAATTTATTTAACACTTGAAGTATATGATTACTCAAGAATGAGATAGGGATCACAATCATAAGAGTAAAAACATTTAAAAATTAAATCTTTAGTTTGAAGTTCAAAGACTTAGATAATGTATGAATTTTAATTAATTTATCTTTTAAAAGCAGTATTGATGACAGGAAAGATATAATTAATATTGAGAACTTTACAATATACAAAATTAGCTGATTCTTAATCTATAAGTATATCTCCAGGAAATACAATAGTTTTTTTAGATAGTGAATCGATAGATAATTCTGATAAATCTAGATTGTGTAAACATTTCTATAGATATTGTTCATATCCTTTTGTAAAGAATATTACATCATCTCCGATTTAAGGTGAATTAGTATCATCAGTTAAATACTTATCTCTTAAGATGTCTCCTTATCTAATTTATGGTTATTTCTTTTTTTAAAATTAAGCCATACAATTAATACAAATTCTTTTTTAAGTTCCAAAGTCTAATTCACTTAAAAATAGTCTAACTTCACTGCATTCTTAATGATAGGCAGATTTACATTCAGGACAACGAACAACAGTATCCATTAAGATTCTACATCTAGTACATTATTCTGTAACTTAAGATCTATTACGTCTTAATTCATTTTATTATCTATGATTATTAAGAATCTATAATCTTATTTATAAAGGTCTTTGATTTCGTCTAGATCTTGTTTACAATGGTGATTATTCTGCTTAAACTTCATCTTTTATAATACTCTACTTACTATTTTCTTCTTCACTTTCACTTTCAATAACTTTCTTTCTTCTTTGACTTTATTTTTTAGATTCATTAATATTAATATTTATTTATTATGGTAATTATTATGAAATTTATGGACTACTATCTTCATCATCTTTGATTAAAGCTCTTTTAATTAATTCTACTGATTTTTGTTCAGTCTTTTTAATTAATTTTGCATTATGACTAGATGGTGATCTTTCTTGAATAGGTTAATTTGCTACTTCAACAATTTCACATTCTAATTTTTATATTCTTACTTAATCTTAAATTCTCATTTATTCTTTAATATCGTTTATAATTTTAATTTCCATTTACTTCATTTCTGCAAAATAACCTTAAAACATTTCTTCATTTTTCATATTATCAATAGCAACTCCTTTTGACATTTATTAATAAGTAAACAATTTAGCTTTTTAAAGATTGACACTCTTTTTTCCTTGATAATCTTGATTGGATATCAAATAAGGAAAGAGAGCTTTAAAATTATTTTAGAAATTATAATGATATGGCATTCTATAGAAATTACATATACTTCCTCTATCAACATAACAAAATTCCATATCAGAATCTAAAGCCATTACTCTAAATCCATCTGATTCATCAATAATTGGATGTTCAGAATCTGAAACATAAAACTATTCAATAGGTGTTTAATCAAATATTTCCTATATACCGAAACCATAAATAGAAAATGATCCATAATCTGTAGATACAACAAATGTCATTCCATTAGGACTGAAACATCCATCTTTTAAAGGAACCTCTAAGTTTGGTAATTTTAAATGATATCCTCTTTCATGAAATACTTTTAATGGTACACCCTTTTAGACATTCCATAAAATTATTAATCCATTTTCATCTGCTGATAATGCTACTTCTTCATAAATTGGATGTGCTTCTAAAAATACTACATGAGAATCTAATTTTAATTATGGTAAACTCTCTTAATCCATACAATGAATAACTTAATTTTCATGTGTTGAATAAACCTATATTTAAGTCTTAGATTTTTCTTCATCTCCCTTTTTCTTCAATTTTTTACTAAATGAAGCTAAAGCATATGTACTTTTTGCAGACCAAGCTATTGCAAAACATTAAATTTCACCAACTCTTCTACCTTCTGTAGATTTGTATTTTAATACTACTTATGATCTATTATGTTAATTAGCTGTGATCCCTCCTTCTTACCATTTCCATAATCTAGCACTCCCATCAAAAGAAGCTGTTAATAGTTAATCTCCATCTTTTGACCAACGTGCTAAATGAACAGTCGCTGAATGTTCACGCCATTCTACTTTATTTATTGTCTTAAACAAATTCTCTGGCTTATCAAATATTATTATTTCACCTTAATCTGTTCCCATTGCCAAATAACCCTGTTTATTGAACTCCATACATAATATTCCATTCACTTTACCTTTATTTACTTTATTATAATTCACATTCAATCTTATTATTTCTGTATGATGTTTTATTGCACTCTACTTTATTTTAGTATTGAACTAAGTTCCCAAAATACTTCCATTACACTTTATTAAATCCTATACATCGTATATATAAACATATCCTTTTTCACTTGCCACTGCCAAATAATTAACATTTTAAGTATTACCTTGATAAAATACTAATACTAAGATTGGATCATCTTGAGCTTCCTAGATATATTTATTATTATGATACTTTTAATGCTGCAACTGGTTTTCCTATCTATATATCCCAAACTATCACTAAACCATCATTACTACAAGATGCCAAATATTTATTGCAATAACTAATATCCATTGAATTTATTGCCATAGTATGTCCTTTTAATGATTACAATAATAATCCATTAGATGCTGACCATATCTTAATCAATCCTAAATCATCTCCTGTTAACAACAACTAACCAGTTCTAATTACTCTACATTTTATTTATTACCTATCATATATTACGTTATAGACTGGTATGTACGGATCTTCTTGATCTTAATTGTCTGGATGAAGAGCATGTCCGAAACAAGTCTTTAATTTTCGCATGAAATCAACTGACGATAATAAATCTTGGCGCACAACTCGACCACCATTTAATTATTAAAGTAATTGTGATTTGTTCCTTATACTCTCAAATCTTTATTGTCGTTTGGGTTCAGGTATCTCTCTAGCTATATATTATTGAAGCATCTTTTGGATAACACTTTCATGAGAAGGACTTAATTTTGTAGAGATTAAATTTTTTAGATTCAGATCTAGAGAGATGCAATCATTAATAAAAGTACCATTAGCCTGTAAAATGTGCCCACGCTTATGACCATTTTTTTGATTGAAGAAATTCTCCAATCCCTCTAGAAGATGTTTTTCACATTAAAGCTCGTGCAAGTGATTCAGGATCATTTATGCACAGATTCTCTGCTGCTAACTCTCTAAAATGGTTGACTTTTGCAGCTTTCTTGTGTAGTATGATATCAATCGTGCTTCAATCAACTTTTTCCCTTGGTTCTCTTCAAAGCTGTTTTACATTCCTAAAATGCATATTTCTTACAAAAAGTAATACCTTTTTCTAGTATAAAAATTTAGAGGCTTTAAATATGATATTTTAATCAATTATTTAATCAATGATGTAGGGGGTTTAAATACAAATAAGAATGGTTCTTAACCATATTGGAAATCATTAACATTCTATCATAAAAAACAAAAAAACACAAATTCGAAAAATAGAACATTTCCCTGCCGCCTTAATTACATAATTTTTTATTTTATATTTACATATTATATTATAATTAATTTCCCTAAAACATTCTAATTTTCTCTTCTAAAACTCTTATATTTCTGACCTAAACACTTTTGTCTCCCATAATCCACTATAAATTCTTATATTATCTTAAAAAATTAATTGATCGTTACTTTTTTATTTCTTCTAATCTTGACCTTCTAAACTTATTAAAATACTCCTTAAATGTAACATTTTTAGTTTATGTTAAAAATTTCCTATTAGTTATTGATTTCTCTTGATTGTTAATTAGAAAATATTATTTATTAGCTTTATATAGAAAAATACAAATGAATAATGATAAGCAATATGTAATATTTTCAAATCTCTTTTACATCCTTTAAATCATTTTATTGATATTGTTCATAAAAATCACGAGTAATCTGGTCTTTGTTTCTTATTTCTTCAGGCAAAGATGTCAATAAATGATAGATAAAATGTTCTAAAGGTTTGTTTGGTCTTTTAATAATGAGTTCTTTGTAACCATTTGAGATGATTTGATTAAACTTTTCCTATTCTTATTAGTTCATTTATAATTATAAATAATATAGTAAGAAATTTATATGATAATTCAAATAAAACTCGAAAGTTAAGTTTTATCAGTAGTGGAATTGTTTTTCCAGTTTGAGTATTCTAAAGATAATTCTACGATTTGTGTATAAAATTGATAGAACTTTGTACTCACTTCTTTTGTAAGAAGCTCTTCTCTTATTAATTCTTCAATTAAAAATGCAATTTTCTCCATAAGCTCTAAAACTAATCCTAAAGTCACATCATTCATAGGATTATTTATCTTATAAGCCATTAAAATTTGATTAATGGTTTTTTTAAACTGAATGATCTTGATTGTTCTTTTACAAGACACTAATTAGTTAAGCATTTCATCCATTTTAAACCATGTATTTAGTGTTTTAGTTTGAATTTCAAACAAAGTTAGAGATTTAGGGATAGTATTTTCATTTTCTATTTTAATTAGACGAATTAGATTTGCTGGTTTTTCTTTATTTGTTTTTGTAACACAAATGCCCATTATAAAAAAATGATTTTATATTAATTAGAAAATTATCTATTTAATAAGTGATTCTTATATATAGAACAAATATCTTTTGATGTAATATTTAATTTTTATTTAAAATATTCAGAATATAAAATTAAACATATAATTCATTAAAATCCTTATGGGTTACTTTTAGATGGTGAATTTTATGGATTTTAGTTTCCAATCTTGTCAATCAAAATTTTATAATCAAATAACTTTTAACCATCAAATTCTTTATAAATAAAAAATCCTAAAAATTCTTTTTATCTTTCATCTAAAAGAATGTTACTACCCTAAACTGCATTTTTGAATTCCATTTCATCACATAATTCACTAGAAATGTTTGTTTTCTTTTAAATCAACATTTTTATTTATTCAACAATAGATTGTCTAAATTTCCAAATTTATTAACTTATAATTTACATAATTTGATTTTATTATTAAATCTCAAATAATTGATATTTTCCTACAACATTTTTTAGCACACTCTTTATAATACAATTATCATTAGTCTATAAAGGTGTGAATTCAACATAAGGTTATGTATTATCTTCAATTAAATATCTTGCTAAAAGCAAAGCCTATTTATATTATTAGATACAAAATGGAGCTGCTTAAAGTATTTCAACTAATTCTTAAATACTTGTTTCTTATCTTGATTCAAAAAATTGGTTAATTTATTCAAAAGCTACTGATTAAGACATTAGCTAATATTTTAATTTTCTTCCAATCTCTTCAACATCACAATGATTTACTTTTGGTAATTTTTATTTGGATACTTCAAAATCAGGAATTATTTTAACACTTTATACTTTTGGAGATATTTAATCTTCTCTCATTGAATCAACACTTAATCGATTTTATACTGTATATGATCTATCTCTATGATCTTCTTCTAATACAATTTTTGTTTCTGATTGTTATTTAATTGAATTGCTAAGATCATCATCAGGAAATACGAAAAAATTCTTATTTACTTTCTCGTCCAAAGCTTCTTAAAATGAAGTATCTGCCTCTCTTTTATTTGTAAGCCATGATTTCTTTGTTTAATATTAATCCTCTAATTCCTTAAATTGTCTTTACTTTTAAAACACCAACAATTTTTATTTATCTATTTCCATTTACATTTATTAAATAACATTCTATTTATTATTTAATTATTGATTTAAATTATCTATAATTTCTTTATATTTAGTTTTCTTTTATACTTCCTAATCATAATTTTTCTAATATTTTTTAAATTCAGCAAAACATTATTCATATTATTCTCTGTGTCTATCTTTCATTGCTTAACAAGTTAATAACTCTTATCTTAAACCAAGAATCTTTCTTTTCTACTTTTAATTGGTATTAGATAGAATTCTCACTTTTTCTTCCAATTCCACTGTTTGAATAGTCAATTTATGAAATTTATGAACCTCATGTTCTGTTTTCAAAATTTCATTAAATTGTTTGTTTAAAATTTCAAATTTAGATTTTGTGTTGCCTAATTCCATCTTACAATACTTATAAGCACAATACTTCCATTTCTTGCAGTTTCATATAACGGGTACTCTTCTTCAAATTATCTATCTCTGTCTATCTCTCCTGTAACAACATTCTTGCCTGTTTTAGTTTTTCTACTAATCTTGAACTCTAAGTGCAATTGACTTAGTCTTCAGATACCTCTTATGTAGTTCGTTTGTCTTATTACTCTTTCTAATTGAATTTATGATAATTTATTTACCTCATCAAGTTTGATTTAGAATTAAAGTTTTTTATTTATCTCTTTAAGTCTTGCATTCTCTTTCTTTAACTAGATTATTTCTTCTTTAAATTATTCAATATCTTTTTATTATGTTATTTGATATCTTCCAGATTATATTTTATTTATTGGTGAATCATAAATTTTATTAATAGGTCTTTTTCCATAAAATTAGGATGTGCATAAATTCATATTTTCAGGAGTTAAAGCTGGTAATCCATTAGTCATTGATTAATTTAAAGAATAAGCAACACGCTAGTTTTATCTTGCAATTCTGATCATTATAAAAAAGTATTAATAATTTTTAATCAATCCCATTTAAAACAAATTTTAAAATTGAGACAAATATATAATACTCAAACAAAATCTACCGTTATTTTAGATATAACACTTATTGATTTATTTATTTTATTTCAAAAATTTAAGATAATATATTTATTGATATAAAAATTGATATTAAGAAAAAAATTTAGAAATGTAAGAAATTTAGAAAGTAATAAAATTTAAGTTAAAATATTTAAATAGTTTGTTTATATGCCTAAAGTAAATATTATAGAAGAAATTGATAAGATTAAGATTTTATAATCTTAAATTAAATTATGAATGAAATATATAAAAATATTGATATAATTTATTTAATAAAATAGAAATAAATAAAGGTGATGTAATAATTAAGGTTGTTTGAGGAGAGTATAAAGGTGTTAAAAGTAGAGTTTGTAATTAAAGTTGAAGATGGTGAAAATAGTTTAGAATAAATTGATATATATCAATAATATTTATTATGTAAAACAAAAACGGAACATACACAAAGTCAAAATATAGTTCATCGATGAGTGTATAAAGTGTGGATAATAGAGTGAGATACTCTTAAGCTCCTGAAGAATTGGGTAAAAGGGCAAGATTACCACTTGATATTACAGTATTTGTAATGGCAGTAGAAGTAGAGAGATTGTAAAGAGAGAATACTTAATTGAAATCAGATCTATAATATAATAGTGATAGTAATTTAGATAGAGTATAATATGAGAGTCAAATAAGAGATTTAATGGAAAAGATAAGAGTGCAAAATAAGTAATATATAATAGTGATTAATAGTTCTTAGAGTACTTTATTGATTGATATAGAAAAACTATAAAGATAAGTATAAGATTTAGAAGATTAACTTAGAAGATAATAGTAATCATAAAAAGAATTTGATCCAAATTGGAGAACGAAATTGAGTCAAGCTGAATTATAATTGGCAGCATTTTAGAAGTAATTAAACTAATAAGTGAATCTATTTGGTGGTTAAAGTGCAGATTAAGTAATGAGAGAATTAGAAGAATTAAGAAGAAAGAAATTATAATTTGAAGATTTATCAAGATAAATGAATGGAAAGAATGTTAGTAATAAAAGTAAATTAAAATAGATGAATTATTGAGAGAAATAGAAGAGTTAAGAAGAAAATAAATGTCAGTTGAAGATACGAGTGTTTTAAGATAATAATTACTTTAATCCTAAAATCGTGAAAGATAATTATAGTAGAAATTAACAGAGATGGATTCTTATGTATCAACATTAGAATCTGATTTGAATAGATTTGAATCAGAAAATAAAAGATTAACAATAAGTATGTCTTCAAAGATTTAAACTGAGAATAATGAAGCTATTTTATTAAGAAATGAAATAACTAAACTTAATAATGAAATAAGTAAATTATGGTCAGACAATGAGACACTTGTTCTTGAAATAGACTCTTTATAAATGAAACTTCGTACTTTGAGTGAAGATGAATTAAGAAGATTAAGAAATGAATTAAATAGACTTTAAGAGTAAAATAATCTATTGGAATCTTAAATGATACGTTTATAATCTTAGAATTAATCTTTAATGTCAGAAATATCTTAACTTAATATGACAATTGAATAAAATTAATATGCAATTAATGATGCAAATAAATAGAAATATATCTTTGAGGAATACAAAGAAAAAATAAGACAATTTGAATTAAAGTTTTAAGAACTTTAATTATAAAATGAGAGATTAAGATAATAAGATCATAAAGTTGCTATTTTAACAACAGAAATTGAAAGATTAAATAATTTAATTAAATAATTAAATATAGATGCTGATGAATGGAAACAAAAGTATTAAAGAATAGAATTAACCTTGATGGATTATCGATAAATAGAAAAAACAAATAGAGATGCTGCTTCTAAAAATGAATCACTTTTAGATGAAATAGAACGATTAAAGAAAATCTTAGAATAAAAATAATATGATATGGATTAATTAATAAAATAATACGATGTTATTTAAACTCAAATTAGTACATATTAAATAAATGCCAATTCAAATGTAAGTAGAATATAAGAATACGAATCAAATCAAAGTAAAACTACAGTTATTGTATAAGAGAATGAAAGACTAAAAAGATAACTTTAATAGCATTAATAATAGATGTCTGTTCTGTAAACATAAGTTTAGGAATAAACTTAAAAGAATTAATAACTTATAACTTAACAGTAATAGAGTTTTGCAATGAATAATAATAGTGCTGAAATAGATAAATTAAAAGGATAGATTCATGAATATGAGAATAAGATTGCAATGTTATCACTGGAACTTTCAAGAGTTAGGAATTCTAAATAGAATACTAATTCATATGATAAATCTGATAAAGTTATGGAACTCTTAACTATTATAGCTATGATGTCTGCTGAACTTGATAATCTTAGAGGCATTACATACGATAAAAGTACTGTGTAATCATAAAGATTACAAGATAATACTTCCTAATCCATTCGCTCACAATCCATAAATAATTAATAAGCTAATTATTCATACAGTAGTTGGAAATAGAAATGAGTTTATATATATATATATAAATAATTTTATTTAAGTCAGCGCTGTGGAGTATAGAATCATTTATCATTTCTCTAACTCCTTTTCATCATATATTAGGTGAAGGTAAGGATCACCTACTGATGATTAAAATTATCATTAATAATCAACCACTATATAAATTGATATTAAAACCATGATTTTATGGGTTTAATAATTAATAACTAAAATTCATTATTTTTATTATGGAATATTTAAGTGAAACATTTAAGAATTTAGAAGTATATTAGAATGGCTAACTCATTAATTATTAGCATAATAAATCAGATTAAGAAGATAATTAGATTATTGAAGACTTCATTACTAAATTTAATTTTAATTTGCAACAAACAAAAACTGATGATTAATTAATTGATCGATTCTCTTAAATGAATTGCCAAGAAAACTGACACTTAAATATAATTAATCAATTATTAAATTAACTCTCATTTTCTAATTAATAAAAAATCTCTGCGTTTACTTCAACTTAATTAGTATTGATATAAAAAAATCAAAATAAGCTTTTCACATTTCTTTGATTCAGCATCATCATCAAAACCAGACAACGCAACCAATTTTACATTCTCAATCTCTTTATTATTCATCTATTATACATTAAAATAAAATACCATCATTCTTATTTTTTCACCTGCTTACCATCCATTTAAAATTTGCATATAAAGATCCTTAAATACATATCTAATATCTAATCTTGAAGTTCTATTTAGTTTTATAATAGCTTAAATGTGTTTATTATCTATGCACTTTATTTATTGGCTATTATTCATTATATGCTTCAATTATATATATTTCAGATATCAAATCTTTAAGTAAAGTTTTTAATGCTATCAAATTGAAAATTTAATCATCTACTAATAAATACCAAGTTTTTTATTTTACAAAACTTATTTTAATTTAAATCTATCTTGTATCTTATACCTCTTAAGAATCCCCTTTGTAATAAGTTTTAAAATTCTGTAATTTTTACCCTAAAGACAAAAATTATTCATATTTCATGTTTTTGTTTGATCTGCATCTTATTTATTTAAAAGAGAAGATCTTACTATTGCTTGATGATTCTCCTTCCCATATGATGAATCTTTAAGCTAAATACTAAGATATTAGGATTAATACCCCTATTTAAAACAATTTATATAATTAGCAGATTTAATAGAATTATCTTAAAGTTTTGCATATATTTTAAAAGACATTTTAGTTCCAATATTTTATTCACTTCATAAATCTATTCTTTCTGATGGTCAAACCTACAAGATTTTTACAAACTATTAATCCAATACTTGTCCAAGTTTTATTCTCTATTTTTTAATAGAAAAAGTCGCAAATAATTATAAAATTATGGCTTTATATTAAATTGTATTTCACATCCAGTATCTTCTATTGATATTGTGTATATAAATCTATTTGTGGAACTTTAAGAGGTTCCTTACAGTGTTTTTCTTATTTATTAAAATGTTTTATTTATTGATGATACTGTTATTGTGATACTCCCTTACTCTGTAAATTTTATGAATTGGAAACATAATTCATTATTATTTATTTAATAATGTTTGGATCTGAATGAATTTAATAAAGGGGAGTTGCGTAATATGAATTCATCTCAACTCCCTTTAATTCTGCCTAAATTAAGCACATATCTATCACTTCATCAATTATTTCATTTATATAAAAATTAGTTAAACATAATCTCAACTATTTCTTTTGAATTCTTGCATAATCTTGAATATCATAAATCAGTAGTTCTTCTTATTATTTTAGATTTTTATTTTTTTGGAATCTCTTCATTCAATAAAATAGAGGGTTAAGAATTTTACTAATTTTTTCAGTATCAATATATATTTCATTGTGATTAGAAAATTAAACTTTATAATCTCTTTTCTTCATTAACATCAAATTATACTGAAAATCTCTTTAAAATGATCTATAATTTCCTCTTGAAATTTTGACCAACAGTGTAAATTTGTGATTTTACTTTGTAATTTGATTTTATTTTCTGAATAAAAACTATAGAGGCATTTTATAAATTGATTAGAGTGCTGATTTTCATATTTAATTCGTTTTCTAGATTTTTAATATGATAAGGAGGCTTTTAAGTTTGTTTATTATGACAAGAATTAAAGTTGGTAAGTTTATTTGAACACTTAAAAAAGTTCATTAGCATCTTCTCTCTTGCTTACATTTTACAATAATAATAGATAAGTGCATAAGCAATTCAAACGTATGAGATTGCATAATAATATTCATTGAATCTCACAATCAAATATGTGAGTCTATAACGAATATTAAACATTAAAGTATTTATATTTACAGAATTTATATTAAGGCAAGCAGCTTCAGTATTATGTATATAAATAACCTCATGATATTGTTTAAGAGCAAATACTTTGATGTGAGTTTATTTAAGTTAGTGTCAAATAATAATAGCTTTTTTGACTTATGAATTTTTATTTCCATTACAAAATTTAAAATATTATTGAGAAGAGTAAATCTAATATAACAAACAGTCCAGAATTAGAAATTATAATAATTTGAGTCAATCTCAATATTAAAATCATAAGCTAAACGATAATATTACAAATAGTATATTTTTGTTATCCTCCTATTTTCATAAATTTGGAATAGATTTATAAATATATATCAGTTGATGATAATTCCTTTATAATATCAGATTTTATGATATAATAAAGGTAAAAATTTTATGTTTTAATAAAAACTAAAATCTTCATAAATAAGATATCAAACTTCCTATATATTTTCCTCATCACCTTGTGAATTATGTATTTTTTTATTATTTCTCCAATACTCACTTTCATCTATACAAAATTCATCTAAATCATTTTCGTACGAAACATTTCCTATTTTTGAATAAAAATTTGTTTTAGTCATAGGTTTGCTATTTTAAGAAGAAAATCCCTATAATTATAAATAGTAATACCTTCACTGATTTTTCAATTATGCATTGATGACGTGCAGTTAATATTCTAGCAGATTCAGGATAAGATGGAATAACAAATCTAATTATATATTTCAAAACTAAAAAAGACACCAAAATAGCTGGGAAAATAAGTTCTTAATTTTTTGTAAAAAATCCAGATGTAAAAACTATCAAACCTGCATTTACAAATATTCCTAAAAATGTTATGATATCTAAAATGATTAACCAATTTCCAATGCTTGATGCTCCTTCAGGAAATGGTCTTCTAACAAATTTTAAAAATTTCAATTTATCTACTTAAATTTTTAAAATATTTTATCCAAAAGCCATTATAAAACATGCTGGAAATGATACACCAAATAATATTAAATAAGAAAATTAGATAGATATTTCTAAATAGTCTAATACACTTCCATCAACTTCCTCTTTGTCATCTTAATATGGATCTAATCCTAATTAATCTTCAATTTATGTATCAATATATTTAAAAGGATGAGTATTTTGTTTCTCTACAAATAACTTATTTTTTATTTACTAATTTTATTAATATTCTCATACCCTCATTGAAAATTCTTTAACAAATGGTACAATTAACTTAGGTAAACTACCAGTTAAATTAGAAGAGAAAATAGTACTAAGTTAGTTAGATAATAATAAAAAACAATCGTTTGTTATTTCTTCATTAACTTTACATATATTCAAATTAGGAAAGAACCCTGATAAAAATGAAACAAGAAAGAAGGAATTAAAACTAAATATAAATATACATTATAATACTTATTTACAAATCTAAAAATAAAATTCTTCACTACTAAAGAATTTTCAAAGGATTATAAAATCTTATGATTTTCTAAAAAATTGAAAGTTTTTGCTACATTAGCATAAACAGTTGTAAATATATTTATTTAAACAGACATTAATATACCTGGTATAGTTTATGAAAGTAATGGTCCTTAATTATCTTCTATCATCTTATTTTTAAAAAAGAAAATTCCTATGACACATCCAACAACCATTCCTATGATTAAAAGACTTACTCCAAAAGCACATAATTTTGTCATCTATCTTCTAAATGGAGAATAAAAACGTTCATTTAGAGCATCAGAAGTAATAGATCTAATAAATTTGCCTTAAAATGCTGGTCTTTCAGCAGCAACTTATTCAATATTTTATTGACCAAATTATAAACTAAATATTACTTATTCTTATCTCCAATATTCAATTAAAAATGTACTCCAAATAATAATTAACGAAGAAAATATTACAGTTAGAGTATCTTATAATCCTGCAGTTGATACTGATTATAAACCTTAAAAAACAACACCAACAACAGATAAATACCATAGTTATTTAGTATAAAAAGTTAGAAATAAAAAGTAAATAGCAACTTTTTCTCCAAAATAATCTCGATATGTTTAAATAGGTACATGCCAAGGAGCTCTGTAATTAAAAGCACTATCTTCTTTAACAGATTTACAATCATAATCAGTTGATTCCGCATGAGCTTTTAATTATACTAATACTTCATCAAGTTTTTTTTCTCCTTAAGCTTACTCATTTTTACGTTTGTTGATATATTCACTATCTTCAAGTGTTTGAAATAATTGATTTTTTGGTTCTCCATTTAATTAATATGGATCATGAATAGGAATATAAAATAAAGCAATTTAACTTTGTAATATTTTTTATATATTAATGTGTTTCAAGACAATGGCATGAGTTAATTTAATTTTTTCCATATTTAAAAATTCTGATCTTTATTTTTTTTCATTAAATTCATATTTTCTCCACATTTATTTTCCATAATCTCCTTGTGGAATAAAAAATTCAGTATAAGGAGCTGTAGGATAAATTTCTAATCTATCCCAAATATTAAATAAAATAGATCGATTATTAGTAATATCTTTAAAGAAAGTTTTATATTTTTTAAACCAAAGTTCATTAGCATCGCTGATAGCTTTTCTAAAAACTAGTTTATAAAGAAAAGCTTCAAATTCTTTTAATCTTTCTTTTGCTTCAGAAGAACTTTTTTTAATTGATTATATCTGTTTTCCAAAACATAATATACATTCGAGATAAATAAAATAGGATTACCATTCTTACATTGAAATTGGTTCATCATTTAATATTTCAGCTTTCTCTTAACTTTGATCAATATTTAAATCAATAGCTAGAGGTTTTAAGATCATATCAACTTCTAATTGTTTTAAAATAAGATTCAATCTAAGATCAAAAGGTTTCCATTAAACTATTCTGTCATATAATTATTCACAATGGGTAGAAATATTAGTTAAAGAAATAATCTTTTCCTCCTTATTTGTTTCATTACTGAGTTCTATTAATTTAGCTTATATTTTCTAATCTTCTTCTAAATTAGATTGATATGATCTCAAATATTTTTTTAATCTAAATGGTCTTAATTTATAATCAACTGGTTCTAAACTAAATAAATCTGCAAAACCTAATTCAACCTATTTTACAACTTTAACTTTTTATGCTTATCTCATAATTACTTATTTTGTACTTTTTATTACTAAAAATATTTAAGCTCCATTTGATGATATAAATTATCTACAATGTAAAAAAGCATTACGCATTAATTTTTCTATTATAGTAAATCTAATTAAGGTCATAAAATCTTTAGGTGGTTAATTATTACTAATCCAATTTTCTTCATTTGTTGTTTCATCTTTAACTTTTTCTAAATATCTACCTAAATTAACTTGTTTCTTAACTTTAGTAAATTATTTAGGATCATTTAAATTAATTTTAAAAAGTTCTTTAATTGGATCCATATATTTAGAATCATCTTCTGGATTAAATTATGATTTTTATTTATTAAGTTAATTCATGCTAATATCATTATCAGATATAGATTTATCTTAATTGTTTTTTTTTGAAGTTTATCCTTTTAATTTTCTATTTAATGCTTCTTTTTCTTCTTTATCAAATTTTTCTTATTTTTCTTATTATATTTTTTTATACTTTTCCATAAATTATAAATACTTTTCATAACTATTTAATTCTTTTTTCTTTTTTTTATCTTAATTTTCTTAATCTAATTCATTATCTTAACCTTCTTCCTTTTCTTATACTTCTCCATCATCATCATGTAAATCAGAATCATCTAAATCCATATCTATTTCAAAATCACTCAAATTAATATCTATTTCTCTTTATTTAGTTTAAGATTTCTCTTAATTAGAAACCTTATTTTCTTTTTCTTTTTCTTTTTAAGAATGTATTGATACATTTCCACCTTCTCCTTTGTCTCTTTAAGAATGTAATGATGTATTATTAGGTCTCTCAGTTTTATCTTTCTATGAATGTTAAGATACACCTCCTCTCTCTCTTTTTGTCTATGTTGGAGTTGAACTAACTTTTAATTATTATGTTTTCTTCATTCTAATCTCTAATTCTGATTTTTCAATATGTGGAGATTTTGAATCCTACTCCTAAGAATCTATATGTTCCTTCTTTGCTGCTTCCTCCTTCTCTTTCTTCTTTTTTTCCTCTTCTTCTTTTAGTTTCTTTCTTGTTTTATCATCTACATAATCATCAAGCATTAAAAATGCTAACAAAAATGCTTCTTTCTCTTTTTTTAATTATGATTCTGAAACATCATCATTTTTTTATGCTAAAGTCTCATCATAAAATTTCTCAGCTTCTTTATATGTTATTGCTGGATTTTTTACTCCATCTCCATCAGGATTAGGAAATACTATTACTAAATCTCCCATATTATAATCTTCATATATATCTTACATCTCACTATATTCATTTGGATTTAAAAAATCATCTTAATACTTCTTTTCTTATTAATGAGAATCTACTACAGCTTTCATTTTTTACAAAAATTTTCTAGCATCTACTTAATTTGTATAAAAATTTAAAATTTCTCTCAAATTCTCTTCCTTTTTATTTTACATCTTTTGTTTCTTAACCATTTTATTATTTAACAATGGTTTCTTTTATTTTACTTTCTTTTGATCTTATGGTATTGCCTCATTCTTATCATTCATTATAATTTTTTTATGTTAATATATATATAAAATAAATGGATACTCAAGGAAGAAGACTTTTAACAATTATACGTGATATTTTACTTAAATGATTAATATTTCCATCTCCAAAAATCATAAAGTCACTTGCAAAAACAACTTTATTTTCAAAATATTAAATAGCTTGATCTATATTATATGGTTTTGTAGCAAAATTTGAATATTATTTTAATATTTTCCTAAACCCATAGAAATTTACTTGTCCATCACTGTTAAATAATCCCTTGATATAGAAAAGACTTCTTTCAGTAAAATGAGTCAAAACCAAATTTTTTGCATTTAATTCATATGCATTAAAAAAAGCTTATAAAAATGTAGAATGTTTAACTTCATCAGCTCTATTTGAAATATTAAGAAAAAAGTTACTTTAAAGTCATATCATCTGGATATGTACATTCATGTATTAAAAGATCGCAATTTTTTGCAAATTCAAAAAATTTATTAGATGTTCTAATATTTCCCAATCGATCACTAGAATATACAACTGTTTTGCCATTTGAAATTATTTTGATTGCAGTACTATATTAACAATGTTATGTCATTTCTAACTCAAATCTTATGTTTTTATATTCTAAAAATTCTAAAAACTCAGTTTTATTTAAATTTTTATCAAATTTTGATTGATAATTAATCTCTGGAAACTCTTCAGTTTCTAAATGATTAATTTTAAATTAATTTTTTGATAAAGATTTAATTTATTCTGTTATATTAGTATTTACTAATCCATCTGTAAAAACAATTTTAATTTAATTTACATAACTTTTCGTTCCAAACTCTTCCTTAAATAAATTTGTCAATAATTATGAATACCATAAATATATGGGTTTTGGAAGCAAAATAAAAAAAGGTTCTTCTGATAATGTACATTTATGTTTAATAAAATCATACAAACCTTAATGATGATCGTTATGAGAATGAGATATATAGATTACTTAAATATTACTTATTTTCTATTTGAACTCTTCATCATTCTTGCAACTAAAATAAAATTAATTTAATGTATTCTAACCACAATCCATCAAAATACCAGTTTTGTTAATGTTTGCATAAATTCCACTAGCATTTCTAGATTAAGTTTCAATAGAGGAAGATGTTCCCAACATCTAAATTTCATAACTTTCATTTTAGTTTTTAGGAATTGAATTACATAATCTAATTAATTCTAGTTTATCTTCTTTTTTTAATGAATATGAAATTTATCTCTTTACTTTTAAATCTTCAAATGATAAAATTCCCCTAGCAATTTAAATTGTTTTCATTTTCATAGGAATATATTTTAGTTGACTTGGCCATAATTAATTTAGATTTTTTAAATTTTCATGAAATTTAAATTAATTTATTTATTATTATCCTTAGAATAAGATAGGAACATTAGTTTTCATAAATTTCAAATAATCTAAATAATAATATCCAAAGTTTTCTCTTCCCAAATCTTCTTAACTTACTTTATCGAGTTCATAATAATATTCTTAAGAAGTAACAATATGAATTATCTTATAATTTAATAACTTTAGACTTTCAATTAAATTTATATATTAATTTGATTCTAACAATTATTTATTAGCATAATGAACAATTAAAAGTGTTTGATTTACATCACCATCTTTCTTAGATTTCTTAAATTCCGTACTATAACTCTATAATTCATCTTGTAATAATTGAAAGATATTCTAATTAAAGTCTTCAACTTCATTTTGAGTCTTAAAATCTAATATTAAAATTGCTTATTATAACAATTAATAATTAAATTTCTTAATGTCATCAAATTATAGTTATTTTTCATTATGATAATACTTTCCTTCCTTGATATCATTTATCAGAGTAAGGGGAATATTTAATTTTCTAAGTACTTCATAATCTATTTGCTACTCAGCTTTGAATGTCACTAGATATTAAGTAAGATTAGGACTAGTAGGGTAAATATCACTTTTACTTATTTCCAAAGAGAGGTTTAACTTTAAAATACTGCATTGAAACTTATTTATTCTAATCAACTAATTCCAATGGATTTACATATTGTTATGCTTTTTCACAAATAAATTGATTAATTCCATTTAAAGTTTGCATTTACTTTTCAACAGAAGTTTTAACCATATCTAAAAATTATATTTTATTTCCTATTCCAAATTTCATTTGCTTTATTTCCATATTCTTATTTAAATCCATAGATCCAAAAGCAAGATTACGTATTCCAAGCATATATCTAGTCTGCATAATAAATTAAGTTATTCCAGGAGGACCCAAAAATGTCATATTTGTAAATTGATTTCTGTAAAATGCATAATACATTATTGGAATAAGACCTTGATAAACTTCTTAAGTGTTTCTATGAACAAAATAAAATGCCTTATTAACAAACAAATTCAAATCATGAAATGATACCAATCTATTTGATGGCTCTTCACATGTTCCAAAATATAAACGTTCATGGCCTTATTAGTGATCAAGACATATTGATATTATTGGAAAACGTTGTAATTTGTAAGTCTTTATGATTTGCAAGTTAATACGCTAAATTTACTAATGACCAGACATTATATAAATTAAAGTGAATTTATAACTCAAATATGAGCAAAAATAAATATCGAATCTTATACATAGAAAGAATCTTTAAGTTTCATTAATATTTGCGTCAATGTAAATCGAATTAGAGGAAAACTCTTCATACACAATATTTCTTCAAAACACTAAAGAAGAGAAATTGGGAGAAGGAACCTATGGTAAGAGCATATGAGAAAAGAAGAGGAAAAAGGTGGTTCAAAGAAACTTAAACTTGATAATTAAAATTATGAAGGAGTTTCTAGTACTACAATTATAGAAATAACAATTCTATAAAAGTTAAAACATCCAAATATCATAAGGTATTAATATTATAAATATTTAAGTTTACTTGAGGTAAAATACTTTATGGAAGAAAAGAAAATGTTGCTTATTTTATTCTATGTAAAGTAATCTAAGAAAATATATGGATAGAAATTCATCATTAACTCTAAATAAGATAAAGCCAATAATATATAAAATACTTTTAGGATTATCATTTTGTCACAGTAGAAGAGTATTGCATATGGATCTTAAACCATAAAACATATTATAAAATGAAATGATGACAATTAAATTAGCAGATTTTGATCTTTCTAGTGTATTTCCATTTCCAATGCCTAAATTTACAAAAGAAATAGCAACTTTATTTTATAGAGCTCCTGAACTTATGCTTGGAGATAATAATTAAGGAACTGGAGTTGATATATGGGCTGTCGGTGCATTATATCGGAGTGTTTAACAAGAAAACCCCTCTTACCAGGTTATAGTAAAGTAGATATGTAGTTTGAAATGATGGAGGTACTTATTTATTATTTATTCTTTTTAAAGTTACTTAGAACTCCTTCTGATTAAACCAATGTTGGATTATCTTAACTTTGGTTTTTTAAAATTACTTTTCCAAAATTTAAAGGCAAAGACTTGGCTTATGTAATTCCACTATTGGAGAAAATGAATTCAAAGCATTGGAAATCTTATAGTCTATGCTTTAATTCAACCCGGGTAAAAGACCTCAAGCTAAAGAATTATTAAAGTATCCATGGCTGATGATATTAGAAATAATTATTGAGCTTTTAATATCATCACTTTATATTTATATTAATTGAATAGATTTATAAATTATTATTTATCAATTTAAGTTATAAATTTCAATTAGAAAAAAATAAATATTATTCAATAATTATTTATTTTATCAATTAGTAATCTAATTTTCTACTTGTCTCATATTTAAGAATATTAAGCTATAACTTATAAAAAAGGCTAAAAGCCACCAACAATTGAAATAAATGAGCATGTTAACTTTATTGATTATAATATAATTTTATTTATTAATTAATATAATAAAATATTATATATATTAATATAAAATAATGGCTTTAATTCATAATCAAAATGACATGTAAAACATGTTTAGTAAGGCTGGAAAAATTACTTCAGAGAAATACATAATTTTTTAAAGAAAAGAAGAGATAATAAATAATAGGCCCAGATATTTTAAAGGAAAATCTTAATCAGTTGCTTCTTCAGAAGAAGTGAATTAACAAGCTGATAAAAAAATGCCAGAAATATAAAATAAAAAATAGGAATAAATAACAGAAGCAGAATAGATTTAACGTAAAAATTAAGTGAAGCTTTCGTAACCATTTTCAAAGCAACTGTCCAGATAAGTAGGACATTATACAAAACTTAGTAAAGACAGTAAACCTTCTTGTGGATAATATCATGTTAAATACAGTGAATTGGATAAGTATTTATTGAAATAATGATTAAAAAGAGCAATTCACTCAATTCATGATTATGATAAATCTCTCAAACAAACTACACCTCTTGAAGTGCCAGGAAAACATGGAGAGCCTGAAAATATGGAGTAAGTAATTTATTTTATATATTTATAGTAAACCATTAGTGGATAGGCCTCGATTTTCTAGAACATGTTTTATTGATTTAATTAGATAAACACCAAGGTATAAATTTAGAATATATAATTAGACCTGATATATTTTTTGGAAGGCCTACTCCACATCCTGATAGATTCAGTTTTTTAAATGTAACAGATTCTTGGAGTAAAATACCTAGAACTCCATCTGTTTAATTAGAAAAATAATTATCAAGAGATTAAATGATTATTTATAAAAAGAAATAATTTGCCCCTGATTATCAACCGAATTTTGAATTTGGTAAAAAGTATTAGAATATTTTAATAAATAGATAATTGGGTAGTTGTGGGGCTCCATTTGATAAATTAGAATAAAGAAAAGATATAATGACTAAAATTCCACCTTATAATCATGAAGCTTATTTTGAATTTGATGTTTATTCAAAAGATCCAAATAGTAAATTATTTAGAACTCCTACAGCTCCAAATTTTAAAAATATGTTAGATAGAGAATGTGATGGAAAATCTCTATTACCAAGTTTTATGTAGGTAATTATAATTTTAAAATAATAAGAAATATTCAAATACTCGTATGGGTATTACTCATTTACATTAAAAAATGTTGGAAGTTAACAACTTTAGAGATGGAAGATTTCAAACAGTTACTTCAAGTTTCTTACCAAGCAAGGCATTCAAGAAAAGGCCATAATTGGATGAATCAAGTGAAGAAATAGAATAGATGGAAGAATAATGATAATTTATAATCTTTAATAATTTTTATTTATGATTAAGATCAAATCTTTTAATAAAATGTTTTTCTTTAAAAATTATTTAATAGTATTTATAAAAATTAATAAATAAAATTACAACCTTAATCCATTTCAATATGTTAATATTTGTTTTATATTATAAAGTTTTTATTATTAATTTATATATTTTCTTATTCTAATTTAGTGGAATTTTATGATATTCTTTTTGTTTTTGCTAATTAAATTCTCTATTAATATATTTTTCATTACAATATCTTTTTTTATGAGAATATAACCCAAGTTTTGATTTAATCTTCAAATATCTATTAATTACTAGAAATTAATTGAATATGCTTCAGCCCAATAGTTTGATGAATATCAGCTTTCGCCTTTCTGAGATTTCTACTCATATCACTGAATAAATAAAAAATCAAAATGAGCAGTTTCAAGTAATCTACACAGAAAGGTAAAAAACTTTGGAAAAATTACAAAAATAAATAGAGAAGATGAATCATGTGATTTCAAGAGTGTGTGATAAATAACCTCCTTAAAGAATAGATTAGATTCAAATTCTCAAGAATCAGTAGTATAAATATGAACTTTAGATGGAAGAAGATTTAGAGCTTCCATGTTATAGAAACAGAATTTTTCAAATCAAACTTAGGCTTGTTTAGAATGAAAAAACAATAATTAATGCAAATAACTTGCTTGTTGAATTACAAATGTAAGAATAGCAAGTAATATTAGTTGGACTTATGACAAGATTCCTAAAAAACTTACCCATAATAACAAAAACCAATCAATTTTCAAAGGATGCCAACAAGCTATAATTAAAAAAGGTTATGGCAGCTTAAACCGAATTCAAATTAAGGAAGTTTCCTCCCATTTTCCAAAAGGAGTATTTATGATGATTATTTTACCGATAGATGATGGTGCAGTTATTGGAGATGAGACGTAATTATTTGTTTTATTATTGTAGAAAATATTAGATTAAAAAAGAATGGATAAAGCCATTAATTATAAGTGATGTTTCTATCAAGGCAAAAAAGTTTTCTGACAGACATAATCCTTACTATGCTAAGTCAGATGGAACAATTAATATTTTGGAATAGGAATGATTTCTTTTATAAATATGACATAAACAATATAAATATTTAAACGTAAAAATTATGTTGAAGACAATGAGAAATATCTATATTCTTAAAGTGTTTTAAATCTTTGATATTATTTTATCATTTATTTTTTGAAAATTATGATCAAGTTCCCATGACTTATTAAAATACTTGGAAGGTAAGTACTCTTCTAAAGCTGAACCCTCCTTTTTTGCTCAATAATGCTGATCATTGAACTTAATTAAACTTTAAATTTATATTAACGAAACAATATTCACAAATCAACCTCATATTATTATTATACATTATTATATTGCAGATTAATAATTAATTAAATAAATTAAGGTTTTAAATCTAAAAATAAATATTATAAATTATTATCCTTCCATTTTTTAGGATATGTGCTTAATTTTGATAAAGCTTCACTATTTAATATTTTACCTTAGATTTATATTAAACTAATTTTCATAAAAAGGAAAAGAATATTTAGGTAATATTAATACTTTTAATATAATATATTTATTTTAATTTATTTTTTTTAATATATTAATTTAAAATTTTCTTTATGAACAGAACTTTAAAAGGCACCTAAAATATTTCATTTATTTTATTAAAAAATAAATGGAAGATAAAATAAATAAACTTTTTGCGTTATTCAATGATTTCAAGAATCAGCAGCTCTTTAGTTTGGCTTTGGCTTAAATAGTGAATGTTTATAATGACTATCCTGCTTGTCTATATTAAATATTAAGAAAAACAAACAAATTAATATATTCAAAAGCACAAGATCCTCGTCTTCGTTTAGAGCATTCTTAGATTGCAGCTGCAATAATTGAAAGAACCTACAAGATCTATAAGTAATTTATTTCTTAAATAAAAAAGTGAACGACTTGAAGATTATCTACTTTCATCATCAAATGAATCAATTCCTGAAAATTTATTTCATTTTGAACCAATAATGGATCATTAAGTGGATGATGTAATGTAATAAGAATAAATTCGAGATTATGAAGAAATAAAAGCAAATATTAAGTTAAAAAGTGAATAAATTGATTTTATTCATCTAATCAATGATGGCAGCGCAATTCTTGGAAAAGACATGAAATACTTAAAAAGATCCTAAGAAAATAAAAATTAAAAATTAGATGATGAGAATATTGATATTAAATAAGAAGAAATAATGAGATTAATGGGTTTATCTGGAAATTTCAATCTTTCAAATATTACAAGGTTATTACAATTTATGTAAGGAGATGCTGAGATACCTATTGATATGTATTCATCTTCTGATGAAATTGCAGAAAGTTCTAGTGAGGATGATGCTGTAGGTCAATATAAAAAGAGAAATAAAGCAAAAAGTAAATAACCAGAAACTAATCTTAAAAAGAAAGCAACTGTTTAAAAGAAGAATCAAAGTACAAAGTATTGTGTAATAAATCCTTTCAATATTATTTACAATAGAGCAGTTTATGAGTTGATGAATCATAAATGGTAAGAAAGACATGCTAGCGCTTTAGTATTGAAATCAATTGTTAGGCAAAAAGGATTCTTAAATTTAGGATTTAGTTATATGATAAAAGGGGATGAAAAGGAAATTAATAGTATTTTACGAAACAGTCTAATAGAATATATTAGTGATAAGAATGGATAATTAAATAAATTAGAATATCTATTAACAAGATGTTGTGTTCTAATTGTTATGGATCGATTTGCAGACTATTTTGGAAATCAAACAATTATGATTGTAAGAGAAGCAGCATGTTAAACTGCTATTACACTATTAACAGATAGAAATTATAACACAAATATATGGATCCATTATCCTGATAGTTTTATGAAATTTGTACATTTATTGAAAGATTTTATTGAAGAAGGTTAAAGAGTCTAAATTTATGAAGTTTCTTAAAGTGCTTTATTTTTAGTTAAAGGATTGCTAAAAGATCATTTATAAGTGGTTTATGATAATTTCTCAGAGTTGTTATTGTATGTAGGTTAGAGAGATAATGAAGATGAGATTCTTGAATTATTAGCAGATATTTGGAAAGAATTTCTTTCATTAGGTTTGAATTTGAAATATTTTAATACAGTTTATTCTCTGAGTATGGAATAATTAAAAAAATAAGATGATATTAGTTTTGCTGGAAAGTCTATTTTCTAATTTTTAAGTGATCTTTTTTAAGCAGGTTTTAAAATATCTAAATAATTTTAAGGAGAAATAGAAATTTTAAAAAAGTTTTTCTTTCATAGAATTATAGAAGTTAAAGAATCATTTTATAAATATTTATTAGCTTTTTCGAAATAATAAACTGAAAGACAAGATGATCCTAGAACAATAAATTATATGAAAATAATATTTTAGACTGGAGTCTTTGAAGAGAAACTTGAGACTTTCCAAAATTTAATGAATATTCTAGAGTAATTATCTAAACATTTGAAAAAAGAATAACTTTAAGAATTTATTTAATTTGTACACAATTTTTCAACCGATAATCAATTTAAGAAATATTTCTATCTATTTGATGGTATTAAAAGAGAATCTCTAGAAATACATTATCCAAATCTAGCTTAATAAAGTTTAAATCCAATAGATAATTAAACATATAGAATGATTAAGACAGCTTACTTGCTAAAAGATATTAATTTTAAACACTAGATAACAGCTGATTTAGATCCGATAAATTTTATTTACACTTTTAAGAATTATATAAATAATAAAAAAGAATTAAATTAAGAAGTGGATAGCACACGTTAGAATGGATTTTGTTTTGATGAATTAGATTTAAAAATCTAAGTATCTATGTAACAATTAAATGTTTTACTTAAAAATTATATGTAAATTGAAAAAGAATAAGAATATTTAGCAATTATATAAGGATTTGTTAAAATTTATGAAGATTTTGCAATAGCTCCAGCTCATTCATAAAAACTTAGATAACTTTATCCAATAATTCTAAATTAATTAAAACAGTTGAGTTAGATTGACTATGAAATGGATTAAGAATCGATTTTGAAATTATAAGATACTACATCAGATTTAGTTTAGAGTCTCTAATCATTTACAAAATTGAGTAATGAATTAAATTTGAATTTTAAAGTATTAACTTCTGATAATACAGAATCATTAATATAAAGAATTAGGTAAAATTGTTATTTATTTAAGAATAGACAAGTTTTAATTAATCTAAGATATTGCATCCGAAAGATTGTCAAAATAGATGTCTCAAAATCCAAATTGTTGTGATTTAACATCCCTTTATATTAAATAAAGTGCTTAATAAACCGTTTAATATATCTTAACTTAAAAAAGTGAATTAAAAAGTATACATTAATAATATTTTTAAAGGAAAAGACTATGGTAGAAAAAGGCTAATTTGGCATTTGTTAAAAAATTAAGTTGATTTCTAATCTTGGCATCTCTTTTTTGAAAGGCTTTTTTTATAATAATTGAATTATATTCCAAGTGATCTAAGATATAACTCAAATTTAATGACTTAAACATCTAAATTAATAATAAGAGTAGAAGATTTAAAATATAATTTATGGGGAATTGGTCTGATATAAAATGCTTATTCATTATTTTAAAAAAATGCTGAACATCCTGATTTTGATAAATGGGCCCAATATTTATTATCTAAATTATTAAATTATTTACCTGTTTTAAGCAATATAAGTGATGATGATAATAATAAAATTATTTTAGATGATTAGAAGGGTGGAATATTATTAGAATTTGATTAAACATTTAAAAAAGTATTTGCTTTAAAAAATACATTGTTAAAACTCTGTGCAAAATTTATTCATTTTTTGGCTGTTTCTAATAATATTAATGTATTTGATCAAGTTATAATGCAAATAAATTAATTGATAAAAAGAAATGAAAATGGAATATATGATATTTTGAATATAATTTTGAAAGAAAATCCTATTTCACTAGCACCGATAAGTGGTTTTTTAACTTTAAAAGCTATTAAAAAATTAACAGCAAAAGATTCTAATATAGCATAATCAGCAAGCAAATTATTTGGTTTTTTAGTACCTATATTAACAATTATGGAAATACCGTATTGTCCAACATCGTAATCTTTAATTAGTAAATTTAAAAAAGCCAAAGAATTTTAAATAGGTTTTGGTAAAATGACAAAAGTAGAATATAAAATTGAAGGTGGAATAAAAGATCGTACTATATTAAGAGATTATTAATGGGATGGTATTAGATGGTTAGGATTTTTAATTAAATATAATTTGCATGCTGCATTATGTGATGATATGGGATTAGGAAAAACCATTTAAACATTAGTTGTTTTAGCAAATGAAGTATTTAAAAGAAAGAATGAGAATTTGATTTCCCTTGTTGTTGCTCCAAGTACAGTTGTAGATCATTGGTATGCAGAAACAAAAAAGTATATAAGTAATTCTGTTTTAAAACCTCATATATATGATGGTGTCTTTTAAGGAAATCTCATTATGGTATCTTATAATTAATTACTTAAATTAAATTAAAACTTTCTTAATCAAGAATTTTATTTTCTCATTTTAGATGAAGCTCACATTTTAAAAAATAGTAAAAATAAGACTAGTAAAGTTATAAGAAGCTTAAAAGCAAAGCATAAAGTTGTATTGTCTGGAACTCCTGTTTAGAATCATCTTTTGGAATTATGGTCACTTTTTGATATTTTATTACCAAATTATTTAGGAGATGAAGAGTACTTTAAAAAGAATTTCTCGAAAGCATTTCATACTAATATCTTTTCCTTAACTGAAGATGAAATTTTATTTGATGAATAATAAATTAAAACATTACGATTGCTCCATAAAAAGGTATTACCTTTCATAATGAGAAGAACTAAATAAGATGTATTACCATAATTACCAGCTAAAATTATAGGAGATTATTATTGCACTCTATCAGAACCACTTCAATCTTAAATTTATCAAATTTTAGAATCAAATTCATTTTCAAGTGATATAGAATAATAAATTACTAAAACTTAAGGAGAGTAAAAAAATAAAGTTTGTGAATCTGTTCTTAAATTATTACATAAATTGAGATAAGCTTTAGATCATCCTATTTTAATTAAAAGTGTAATTCTACCAAATAAAAGACCAAAGAAAAAAGTAAAGAGTGAAAATATTGAAATGTTGGCTGAATAAGAAATTAATTAATTATTAGATAATTAAGAAAAACCTGAAAGTTATTCTAATTCAGGAAAGATGATTGCTTTGAAGGATATTTTATAATAATTAGGATTTCAATCAATTGATGATACAACATAATAATAACCTCAAGGTGATTAAATTACAATTTATACAAATTTTAATAAAGTCTTAGTGTTTTCCAGATTTAGAGCTGCCTTATAATTAATAGCAGAATAATTATTAAAAACATAATTTCCAGGATTATAATATTTAATTTTAGATGGAAGTGTTCCTTAAACATAAAGATATCCTTTAGTAACTAAATTTAATGAAGATCCAGATATAAGAGTATTACTATTAACAACATAAGTAGGAGGTTTAGGATTGAATTTAAGTTCAGCAAATATTGTAATAATGTTTGATCATGATTATAACCCTGTTAATGATCAATAGGCTATGGATAGAGCTCATAGAATAGGATAAAAAAATGTTGTTTAAGTTTTCAGATTGATTGTTAAGGATACTTTGGAGGAGAAAATTATGGGAATTTAAAGATTTAAATCAGCAATATCTAAGGCAATTGTAAATTAAGATAATGCATCTTTAAAACAAATGGAAAAAACAGATTTATTGTCTATGTTAGAATCTAATGCTTAAGAAAATAATAAAGGTATTATGAATTGTTATATTTTTTAGAAAAAAACTCTGAAGATGAACAAATTGAAAAATTAAGTGGTCCATATTCTAAGATTTTAGGATAACTTAAATTAGATTTATTAGAATAACTTAATTTTGACAAAGAGTATTGATATTCTACATTGATTGTATTTTTTCATATTCTTAATCAATATAAATATTGCCTATATATATAATCCATAAAACACAATAAATAATTCAAGGACTTTTTTTATTGTAAATTATTTATTATAATTCAAATTGAATATTGCTTATAAATAGTATCATTTTAAAAATATATTAAGAATTTCTTTTAATGTAAACAAACTATTTATTTGATTTTTCTTTTCCCTATGAAAATTTTGTATTTTTGAATGGAAATGTAGGAATTATTTTACTTAAAAATATATTTGTTTGATGTTTCAATATCATAAACAATTTGGTATATTTAGAGTTTTGAGAATATATATATAATATTTAATTGATCTCAAATAAAGGATGCTAGAATAATCTGGACATACCAAAGCTCTTTCAGAAGGTTTTTAGACTGTATTTGAGTCTGATTTGGAAAGTTTATAAAAGTTTAAGTTAAATCTAAACATGTAGAAGACCAAAATCAAGTTCATAAGAAAATTATAGAAGATTATTTGAGATAACAAAAGATTGTTCTCATTAATAAATACCATAAGCTCATTCAGATGAAATTCCAGAATTCGATTCTCTTGAGGATTCATGTTAAATTAGACCTTCAATGTGTACTAATAAATCAAACAAATAAAGTTAAGAAAGTGAGGTGAAATTATTCGAAAAAGAATTAATATAACCTATGAATGAAGATGATTATTAATTAATAGTTAAGAGTGAAAAAGAGCAATGCAAATTGCCTCCAATTATGATGAAGAATGGGGGGTGTTACATAGGATACTGGTACAAAAAAAAACCTTAAGGTTAAGGAGAATATAAATTCGCAGATTCAAGCAGATATAATGGTGAGGTAATAGAACTTACAATTAAATTTAGTGGATTAATGGCTATGCAAGTGGAAAAGGAAAATTTTATGATGCAGAAGGTGGATATTATTATGGAGATTTTCATTTGAATTATATGCATGGCAAAGGTGTGTATAATTATGTTGATGGTTCGATTTATGATGGTAGAAATATGTTTATATCTTATGAAGGATAATGGTTGAATGATAAATTCAATGGATATGGGATTGAAGTTAAAAGCGATTCTCATTACAAAGGTATTTTACTAGAGCGATATTAGGTTAATTTCGAAATGGTTTGAAGCATGGTCATGGAATCTTAATATTCAGTAATAAAGAGAAGTATGAAGGTTAATTTATGAATGGTCAATTTGAAGGAAAAGGAACCTTTGTATTTTTGATAATAATATTATAAGATATGGCCAGATGGAAGAAGATATTAAGGAGATTGGAAAAATGGAATGATGCATGGTTAAGGAATTTTGTAGTGGCCAGATGGTATTTTCTATTATAAAGACTTTAGGTCGAGTTTATGTTGGATAATATGTAAATGATAAGAGATAAGGTTTCGGAACATTTCAATTTGCTGATGGTCGAAAATATTCAGGTTAATGGATGAATGGTTTATAACATGGAAGTGGAGAATTTACAGAATCACATGGATAAATTACTAAGGGAGTATGGAGGGAAGGTAAATTATTTTCTCTTATTTGATTTAATAATACTTATATATTTCTCATAATATGTTTAAGAATATTTGATAAAGTTTTCTTGGGGAATAAACTTGTGTAAAAGAGTACTAAAAAGATATTAATCTTATATTTTTAAGCTTTTTTTTTATTTCATTTTTTATTTTCATTAATCCTTTTAACAAAGCTTATAATTTATCCTAACAAACTCTTTCAATATCATCATTAATCATATTGAATATAGCAACTTATATCTTTAATTGATCTTTAAACATTCTTTAAATCAATAACCCAACATTAAATAATTGATACTCCTTTTTAAGTTATTATTTTGAAATTTTAAAAATCTTCAGGAGTTAATGGAGCACCGAAAAAAATATCTTTTGCTTTTTTAAGATTATAATTTTTAAATATATCCAACTAATAATAAATAATCTCTGTTTTTATACAATTATCATGATATATACTCAGGTTTAAGACTTAAAAACTTTTCCGGACTCATTACTTTTGGTAATTCAACTTTCAGCAATTCTCTTAAAATTGCTTAAGTAAAACCAAAAGATTCTTTATTTATTTCAGATTTTAAATCATTTATTATTTCAATCTTGCTGTCTTTAAAAGAATAAATGGGATCGATCTTATTTTTAAAATACTCATGAAGATTATTCATTCATTAATATAATTTGAAAGGGTCTCCCTTTAAATTACTTTATCAGCTAAATAATGTATGGATTGTTAATGTGTGTGTCTTTTTTTTTTAAATATTTTAACTAAAACTCCCTCTAGAAGTTGAAACAATATTGGAATTAGATATAATTTATTGGTGGAAGATCTCTATATATCATATTATATGCTAGAGTTTTATTATTGCCACCACCATTAAAAGCTTTAGATTATTAGCAAGACAATAAGTAATTACACTTCAGCTCAAAATTCCAGAATTAATGAATTCCTTTCTCAGCTCAGCTTGGATTGATAAAATTTAATAAAGGTAGCATTTAATGATAACAAATCGATCATCTTAATCGAATCAATAATAAACTAGCAAACAAAAAATTTATTTCAAAATAAAATAATAAATTAATTTTAGAAACACAACTTTTACATGCATAAGATCAAAATAATTTCTGAATATTCCTTTTAGAAAAAAAAATGGAAAGCAAAAGAATAGTTCCTCATAATTTTTTATTTAGAAGAAAAAAATGATCAAATTAAAGATTAACTATAATCTCAAATAATCATCCTGCTACTAGAGATTACATGATCAATTTGATTGATTTTGGTGATTGAAAAAGATTTATTACCATTAATTTAAATAAACTAAGGTACAATTGGAATAAAATAATGATAATTTCTAGGAACATTCATTACCGAGTATAATCTATAGAGAGTATGGATATGATTTTCAAGATGATTTATGGACTATTGGAGTAGCAATATATTAATTTTTTACTGGCAGATTACCATATTTTTCTGAAGTACTGGAGATTTGATTTAAAATCTTTCTCGAAGATATTTTTTAGATAATGATGAAAGAGAACTACAATTAAAACCATATTATCATTAGGATTTTATAAACTTACCCAATAGTTACAGAGACTTCGTTAAAAGACTGATTGATGGTCTGGAATCCTTTAAAAAGCATTCAGCAGGTATCTATCTGTTCTAACTTAGAAGAATTGAAACATTTGGATATCTAATCTCACATTACCAAATATGATGAAAATAGCGAAGGATTATAATGATGTAGGTAAAAAGAAGTTAAAATAGTTATTCATATAACAAAATTCTTATTAAATCAACAATGATGTTGAATCGAAAATTTGCATATAATCTTTTTAGAGAGTAGAAAATTTGATATAATATAAAAGGAGGATATACTCCAAAAGAGTTAAATAAAGATTTAGAAGTTTCAATAAATGGTTTAAATAATACATAATATAGTTTGAAATAAAAATTAGAATAATTCAAATTATTTATTTAAATTATTAAAGAATCAATGGAAAGAAGGAAACTATTAAGTACATAAATGCTATTACAATCTTTGAGAGTGAAATAAGTATGAATATTAATGATTTCAATCAAAGAATGGAGGCAAATATATATGTTTGTAACTAAAATGTAAAATATTGCATAGATTTATTTGGTCTGAATTTATGTGAGAGTTAAGTTTCATTAAGTTAAATTAAATATATGATCGAAAGTGAAATTTAATAATTTCAGAGCAATTAAATTGATGCTGGTTTTTTGTAATAACTCTAATAATTTGAATAATGAAATAATTATATTTTTATAAGTCACTAAATTAATATTATATATTGTTTACAAGAATATGAAAAGGTTAGGAAAAGAACCTTAAAAGATCAAAGCCTTTAATATACTTCATCTTGAACATGTAGCTAATCGAATAGATCAATTAATCAATCCTACTTCTAGAGAGTAATTTACTTAAGTGCGGTAAATCAAACCAGGAATTAAATTTATCATTAACAATAAATTGACACCCTACAAGTAAAGACAATCAGTTTTTGAATAAATTTAATCTTCTCGATCTAGTATTATTCAAACTCAAGATAGATAAAGAAATTAGAATAACAACAACACTTCAAAAAGTTCATCATTTTTGGAAAAAAAAATAAATCAATTAAAAAAAGAACTTGGTGATTTATAAAAAGCTAAGCTATTTGAAAAAAACAAACCTATTCTTTCTGTTCATAAAATGGCTCTCTAAAATAATTTATAAGAGATTCATGATCAAAAATTATTGATAATAGACAAAAAACCCTAATCAGCTAGAAAAGTAATTGATAAATCAATTGAAGAGTTGAATGGTCCTTTGAAAAAGAAATCACCAAAACATATGTTTTTATAAAATATTGCTATTGAAAATTCATCAAATCACTTAGAACCATCTGTTATTAGTATTCCAACACCAGAGATAAGAGCAAAGATAAAATTTGCTCCTTCTCAATAAAGAAGTGTTAGTTAAGGATTGATATTATAATAAAAGAGACCAGTTAGGATATGTAACAATGATCTTATTGAATTTAAAGGTTGGGATGTAGAAGAAGAAGATGATTACTTAAGATTAGGATGAATTTTAATATTATTCATTTTATTTAAATAATGTCATACGACACAGCACTTACAGTATTTTCTCCAGATGGTTAATTATTTTAAGTAGAATATGCAATGGAAGCAGTTAAAAGGGGTCTCTGTTGTGTTGGTGTAAGGGGAAAAGATGTTATAATATTGGGAGTAGAAAAGAAAGCTACATCAAAATTATAAGATGTTAAAACAATTAAGAAAGTATATTAATTAGGTATTTTATTCATTTTAATACATATAGATAATAATCTTTGTATGACCTTTTCTGGATTGAATGCAGATGCAAGAATTTTAGCAAATCAAACTAGATTATAATGCTAACAATATAAGATTTACTATGAAGATGATCCTTCAGTTGATTATATTGCTAAATTTACCAGTTAGCAATAATAAAAATTTACATAAAGAGGAGGTGCTAGACCATATGGAATTTCTACTCTTATTGGAGGATTTTATAATAATCAACCTAAACTCTTTTAAACTGATCCTTCAGGAGCATGCTCAGAATGGAAAGCTACTTCTCTAGGAAAGAGTGCCAAATAAGTTAAAGATTTCTTAGAAAAACATTGGACAGAAGGATTAAATGAAAAAAATGCTCTTTTACTTACTACTAAAGTATTTCAAAAAATTATTTTTAGGCTTTAATGGATGTAGTTGAAAGTGGTAACAAAAATATAGAATTATGTGTTATTAGAAAGAATGAATGTTGGTTTTTGAATGAAAATGAAGTTGAAGAATTAACAAAAATTACAGCTCAATTATAATGAGTTGATATCATCAAGGTATTGAGAAAAATATTCATTTTATATTACTTATGTATATTTGTGTATATTTTCTCTTCTAATTTTTAAGAAATTATGATTTAATATTAATTTTTTCACTTAATAATTGCGATAAAAATTGATGATTATTCAGAATTTTTATTCTTATATTTATGCTGTTTTTTGTTTATATAGATAGCAATTTTTGTTATGGAGACAATCAAATCAATTTTATAAAAATTTTATATGAATGAATAATAAATTTCATCACATTTTATATTGAAAAATGTTAATTAATTACTATGCATACTGAATCTGTTTTATACAAAAATGATTATATGAAAATATTTGTTTAATAAGAAGGTGAAGTAGATTTTTTCAATAATTTTTAAATTAGAAATATTATAATTAATGAAATAAGAATGTTGGGATGATTTGCATCTTGCTAATGAAAAATCAATAACAAAGATTTTGGAGGCAGGTGAGCATGTTTTGTTTTCAAGTTTGCTGTACAAATTTAATGAAGTGAACAAAAGATAAGAAAGAACGATTCTAATTACAACACATAATCTATATAATTTGTCAAAATTGACTGTAAAAAGAAAAATACCAATAAAAAGAGTTTATGGGATAACAATTGGTTTAATAGGGACAGAATTTGTAATACATGTGCCTGAAGAATATGATTATCGATACTCAAGTTCAGAAAGAAGAGATTAAGCAGTGCTTTGTATTATAAAGGCTTATTGTCAATAACATAAAGGAGCAGCACTTCCAGTATTTTATAAAGATGAACTAACTCTTACTGCCTATACAACAACAAAAATAGATAAAAAAAAGGGAATCAATAGGTTACCAACAACAGGATCAGAATTAATGAATGAAGATTAATTTAGAAAAAGATTAGATTCTTAAACAGAAGAACGATTATAAACAAGAGCAAAGACATCTACTCTTTATGCAAAATAAAAAGGCGAAGCTGTAACAATAGATGATTTTGATTTAATTAAAGTATTAGGTAGAGGTGCATTTGGTAAAGTTATGTTAGTTGAAAAAAAGAGTGATAAATAATATTATGCATTGAAATCTATAAGAAAAGAAGATATTGCAGATCCTGAATAATTAGAACATACAAAAACAGAAAGATTAGTTTTAGAACATGTAAATCATCCATTTTTAGTTTCATTGCATTGGGCATTTCAGACACCTGAAAAATTATTCTTTGTTACACAATTTATGAAAGGTGGAGAATTGTTTCAACATCTTAAACATGTTAAAAGATTTGAAGAGAATAGAACTAAATTTTATGTTTCTGAAATTGTAATTTTACAACTTTATTTTATAGATTTTGGCATTAGAACATTTACATACAAAAAATATCATTTATAGAGATTTAAAACCAGAAAATGTCTTATTAGATGATTAAGGTCATATATGTTTAACTGATTTTGGTATGGCTAAGATGTTAAAATAAAATGAATTAGCTAAATCATTTTGTGGTACACCTGAGTATTTAGCACCAGAAATTCTACTTGAAATTGGTCATTCTATGGCTGCTGATTGGTGGGCTTTAGGTATTCTTACTTATGAAATGTTATATGCACTTCCTCCATTTTATAATAAGAATTAAGATCTTATGTTTAAACAAATTTAAACTAAAGAAATCAATTTTCCTACAACACCTTAGATTTCTAATGAAGCAAAAGATTTCATCTCAAAAGTATTATTTTATTTAAATTATATTAGTTGACTATTAAAGATCCAAAACTTAGATTAGGATATAATACAACTGAAGATGTAAAAAATCACCCATGGTTTAAGGGAGTGAATTGGGATAAACTTTTAAAGAAAGAAATTGAAACTCCTTTTAAACCATAAATACAAGGAGAGGCATGGCTTGAAAATTTTGATAAATAATTTACAGCAGAAGAAGCAATCAATTCATATGCACCTGAAAATAATTTAGTCAGTTAAGATGAATTTAGAGAGTTCGACTATTATTAAAAATGATATATATATATCTAGTAGAATTGAATCATTAATTAATTATAAATTAGTGTTATAACAAATGCATAGCAGTTGGTCTTTATTTATGATCTCTTTATAAACAAATCTTTATAAACTATTAAAGATCTTAATCCAAATCTTCAGGTATTAGAGGTAGTGAATTATCCGTGATTATATACAATAGAGCACTCAAAGGATTATCAAAATTATGTTCATGCCATGGTTTTTTCCCTGTAGACATTTCTAAAACAGTACATCCAAATGACCATATATCACTAGCTCTACAATTTTCATCTTAACTAGCAACCTGAAAATTAAATATAAGATTACTTCAGGAGCCATGTAAGGAATACTTCCTTTAAGAGAATGTAAGATATCTCCACTTTATTTTGAACGTTAAATTGTTTTCTCTTTAATTTTACTGCATCCAAAATCTCCTAATTTAATTTCTCCATCAACTCCTAATAATAAATTAGCTCCTTTAATATCTCTATGGATAATATTATTCTCATGTAGATATGCTATAGCTTGCAATATTTATTTAGAATATTAACGAATTGTATTGATTTGAAGTGGTCCAAACTTTTCGGTTAATTAAGTTAAGGTACCTATAATAATGTAGTATAATACCTTATGATAAATACTCCAAGTATAATAACCAATAATCTTCATTTTCTGAATTCCAAACATAACGGATTATGTTTTTATGTTTTATACTTTTGAGTAAATTTATTTCACTTTTTAATCCTTCTAAATCTTCTTTATCAAAGTCTCCTTTAAGATTAATCTTTTTGACAGCATAAATTTTTCCAGTTCTATTTTCTTGTGCTATGTATACTTATCCAAAAGAACCAGCACCAATCATTTCACCTTCAGTAAATGTTGGAATTTGGGAGCTGAAATCAAACTATGAATTTGAGGAGGAATCTTAAACTTATTTATTTGAATTAGAAGATTCTAATACAAATTTTTAAGAGCTTGAAAATGATTGATTCTTTATAGTAGTGAATCTATTATCTATTACTTATTCATTTTGATAGAGCACTTCTTCCTTTATTAATGTATCATCATGAAAGTCTATGTCAAAGAGAATTGATACCATTAATAGGGAACTCAATCATTCTAATTGCAGGACTTTAAAATTTATATATAATCTAGTCAATTGGTTCCTAATTTGCTATTTATAATTTTGATTGACGATTCTGCAGTTTACGAATGATAAGACCCTATGCTCTATGTTTTTTAGCTGATGGATATGACTTTTATTTTTATGTATTATCAGTAACTGGTCGAGTATCTTCCTTTTTCTCAATTGATTTCTTTTTCAGAATAGAAATAGATCTAAAAGCCGGGGGAATTTGATCTATTTTAGTTGGGTCAATTTTAATTCTGGGAGATAGAAGTGGTGGTAACCCTGTATTGTTTGAAATCTTAGGTTTACTTTTGGCTAGAACTCATACTTTGTAAATTACTTTACATATCCCCTAACTTAGGGATGGAATTCATTATGTAATATTAATATATTTTTATATTTTCCAATGATTGCATCAATAATTTATAGTGGTTTCTGGGCTTATGTAGGTAAATTAATAGAATCCTCCTGCTTCATTGAAATATTTCTTAAACATGTCATCCTTTGCTAAAAGTGCTTCTTGCTATAGTAGACATATGATGTTGTAAATACCTCACTCTATTCAATAACAAACCATAATAATAAAGGATAGAATAACATCAAAGAATTCCAGAATACAGATCCTATATGCCACCATTAACCATAATATCTAGATAAAATCAATAATGTACTTGTATTCCCAATTATCATAATTGGTGATTCCCTCCATTTAATAAGGACTATAATGAGGATGTCCCATACCTTAGGCAGTTTTAGCAACATTATCAGGTAAATAATATAATTTAAAGTGTATAGGAGGAGCAATCTCTTAAGGTGATCCTTAATTTTATACTAATTAAATGATTACCCACTAAAGCTCTACTAGCTGGATCATGATGATAATATCGTGATTATTTTTATAAAATTTGAGCATTCCTCAATAATCTCTTCATATTGTTTTATTAAAAGAAAATATTAATAATTTTATATCATTTCATTTATAAGTAACTCTAAGTTCCAAATCTTCTAAGTTCTAATCTCTAAATACTCATCGGACTGTTACTATTGTGAAGTGTTCTACTTTTAGGTAAAACTTCATTTAATTTCAATTTTGATAAAATCTACTATGTTCTTTACTTCGTTGAAAAATTAGTACTCTTTTCTTATTCTTCTTTAGGTTAAGTAGTCAATCTATATTGAGTCCTTGATGTGCTTGGCTGTTATTGACTTATACTCTAAGATACCTCACTATTTTTTAATTATGAAGGAAATCTGAAAAACAATTTAAAATATGAATCTCTATCTATATAGTTCTAAGATCCAATAGTTTTTTAATCAAAAAAAGTCTTTACTTAAGCATATGAACAATTTCTATCTTTAAATAATTTCTTAAACTATTCAAATGCCTTTTTTTCTTACTTCTTATAAAATTAATATTCCTTTAAAATAAATCTATATTAATACTATATCTGATTTTTCTTATTATGGTTCTCTCTTCATCAAAGCACAATTATTTCTAACTTTTACTTTAAACATTGGTCTAACAAATTAATCTATTCCTTCTTAACCATTTATTAGTTTAAGTTTATCATTTGCCATTTCTTCATAATATCTCATTTTATTCAATCTGAATTAATGAATCGACTATAACAATGAAATAAAAACTGATTATGTTTTTTCATCCCAAAACCTCCTGCAACATTTAATTGATGAATTACTTCATTATATCTTCTCTACTAATTCTTAATATTTAACCACACTAACTTCTACAAATTATTGAACATTTCACTTTTGACCATCTTATTGTAAATATATTGAATAATTTCAATATAAATGTCTTTCCATCATCCATTAAAAATGCTTCTTCACCAAAAAACTCTCCTGGTCCTAATACACATCAATTATTAAATTATTAATATTACATACTATGAGTAGTAGATATTCCTTTTAATTTATGAGAATCATTTAATGCATATGTTACTTCGAAATTACTTTCTAAATAACATAATAGATATCGTACCCTTCTCTAACTATATAAAAATTAGAGCAGTAATCATTCTATTTGATCACTGCCTAATTTAATGTTACTTAAATTGGTTCAAAATGATAACTTATTGTCTTTATTTCTCTAAATGACCACGATTATAAAAATGGGAACTATAATCATAATAATATCTCTCATTTTATTACAGAACATAAAAACGATATCCTATCCTAAACTTTTTCTTATTCTTAAGCTCCCAATATTGTTTTAAAATCATGTTTCTCCATCACTGCAAACATACAATCTTCTTTTGCTATTATTGTTGCTGTTCGTTTCGCATTATCATTCAATAAAGCTAATTCTCCAAAACTATTTCCAGCCTTTAATACATTCACTTCTTTTAATTCAAATTTATTTGAAACTTCAGGATTTGGTAATAAAATAAAAACTCCAACAGATCCTTTAAGAATTATGTAAAATAGAGACCCTGAATCTCCTACATGAAACAATATCTTAATATTATAAAATTTTTGATTACTTCTTCTTTTTTTACTGTCTTGTAACTTAAAACTGACATACATCTTAAAACTATATCAGGATTCTGAGATTGAAGATTCTTAAAAAAAGTAATTGTCTCAACTAAATGTAAAAGTAATGTTAAATCATTTTATGTTCTTCTAGATGGAGCTATCTATATATGAGAAAATCAATTTTTCTACTTGTAAAGTCTTTACACATAAATTTATTTACGAAGCTTTCTCATCAAAATTGGAGAAAGAGGCCATAAGAATAAGAGTAGATTTAAAATAATTTATAAAAAATAAATAACATTTTATTTAGAATCATTTTCGTATAAAACTTTTTATTGTTTAGAATGCTCTAGCATTATTTCTATATTAAGGTAACAATTATTGACAAAGAGTACTATTGAGATCTGATCCTAGAGGTGGTTTCTTTGTTGTTCTTCTTTCCGGACTCTAATTATAAACATAATTTTAATGTATTTAAATAGGTTTTATTAGAGAATCTAATTTAATTTAATAAAATACCATTTTAATCTAAATAAAATGGAGATTTTATTTCTGGAAGCATCCAATTTTAGTTTTTACATCCCTTCTAAGGACTAAAGTTCTCTTATTATAATTTAGATTTTCCTTTTTATTTAGATTAAATAGATCCAATAGCATTCTTATCATTATGCAATGATAAATTTTTAGCTCTTGTTACTCTATAATTTGAATCAAACAAATTGCAATTTTCTGAATCGAAAATACTTCTAATGTCTTATTCTTAAGGATCTTTACTCTAAGTTCTTTGAGGACTTATTGAAATCGAATGCTTAACACTAACTTAAGTTTTTTTGTTTGGACTCTAATTTCCAAACATTGTAATATTTTTATTTGCATATGGAGTTTCCATTGTTTATGTAAGTTATAGAAATTTTAATTTCCTTGCTTTATCTACAAGAGTAGTTATTTCCATTATTGGCAAGGATTTAGATTAAAGAAATCTTTAATTTCTCTCTAAACTTTATAAAAATAGTCTTTCAACATTTTCAAGCTTTGATTAATGATATACAATGAGATTTGAACAGTATTACCTAAATTAAGAGTTAATGTATTACTTGTTTAAAAGCATAATATCATAAAGTTTCCAAAAATCAATGTCATAAAATTAAAACAACGTTCGATTTTATTAACTATTCAATTACCATTAAGGAACTGATCTCTTCATTTAAATTTATGGACTATCTTCATTTTATTAAAATGTTTGCATTTCACATCTTTTCTGAACTTTATTTAGTATAACAGCAAAATTCTATGCCTTATAATTTAAAATATCTCTTATGCTCAATACATAATTTATGGCATTTTAATTCTTGCACTTTTCAATCAACTCTGATACTCTAATCTAAAATCGGTGGAACAATCTGCTTGTTAACAAAATAATTAAAACTTTTTATCATGATCTTGTAGTTAATAATATTTGTATTTTTCAACCAGTTAAGGAATTGTGATTTCTAAATCATTCTCCTTTTAATCAATAAATAATTAGATTCCTCTAAAGATAACATCCAAATCATCTGGATTAACTTCATTCAATTTATTTATTTCCATTTTATATCAAATAAAAACTTTATAAATGGTTCACTCTTGACATCATACAACTAGGTCATATTTCCATTTATCTATAATTATCCTAAGAGTAACCAAAAGAATTTCGACAATCGTATATAAACAAGAGAATCGATCTTTTGACATAAAATAACAAACAAATAGAAAAAATCATATCATTACCTAATTGTAACTAATACTATCTATTCAATCTTAAGATATATTAAGATCAAAAAGATAATTTTTTTATTATTATTGTAGGCCATTTAAATGGATGATATCATCTTAAAATAGAATTGTATTATATTAAAAAAAATGTTAAATTAACCAAATAACAATATAAAAATATCATATTGCAAATTACTTAATCATGATTAAATTAGAAAAATCATCCTTAAATCCATCCTAAATCTTTCATCAAACTCTTTACATTCTTTAAAGGTTTTTATTTTTAAAATAATCTTTAATTTTAGATAAATTTAACACTAATTAACATATTAAAATATAAATTTATTTTTCATAATATATAATTCAAACTAAATCATATATATTCATAAAAAAGTTATTGTTCTTGAACTTAATTATTTATTTATTATCAGTTATAACATAAAATGATTACCTTTATTAATTATCAAAAAAATTAAGAATGTAGTTTTTATGTTTTGGTCAGGCCTAAATTCAAAATTACTGAAAGTAAAATATAGTTAATTTTTATGCTTAATTCCTTTAAAATAAATTAGAATCTTTAATAAATATAGAATTAATAAAATAATAATAGGTTTTAATGGGAACATGTTCATAATGTACCACAAAATATGAAATAATAGAAAGCGAAACTTTCAAGAAATACGAAAGTGTAGATAAGAAATTATTGGAATTAAATTAAATATCTAAAACTACAATCTTTGAAAAAAAGAGTAGTAATTAAAAGAGGGACAATGATCAATTAATCAATAAAGTTTTTGAGGATTCAATAGAAATAAGTGAAGTGAATTAAGAAAAGGATGAAGTATTATGGATACATGAAAGTCTAAAGAGAGGAAAAAGAAAATATAGCTTTTAATAGTAAATGAAAAGGCTAAATCATGAAGATAAAAAAGTAACGAAAAATTAAAAAATAATTCATGTGACAGATCCAAATTTGGCTTAAAATTTTTCAAATTCTTCGAGTTCAATGAGTTAATTTTGTGATTTGAGTAAACATTTGAAAATGTGTGAGAAATAAAATATTTAATCCAATGATAGTAAATCAATAAAAAGTATTTTGAAAAAAAGAAAAAAGAGAAATAGTGAAAGTAAATCTGTTCATTTTGCTTGTAATACAGAATCAAGTTAGTCATAATTAAAATCAAGATCATGTAGCCATTCAAAAAAAAAGAAAAAAAAAAGAAAAATTTAATTCATTGACAATTATTAATTTTGAATTTAAATTTGGTTCATTTTTTACCTTTAGCAGCACCTTTTTCTTCCTCTGGTTTTATACCTATACCTAATAGGGCATCTTTAAATTTTTAGTATTCATTTTCAAAGTTAGCTATTTCATCTAATACTTTGGTCTATAAAATGATAATATAAATATTGATACATCTCCAGATGATTTATTTTCTTTAACAGGTTAAGCCTGAATTTCTCTTTCATTTTATTATTTAGCTTATTATTCTCTAACTTTGAATCTATCAGAATAGTAATTTACTCTTTTAACTTCTCTTTCCCAGAATAATCTCATAGCTTTGACTTCATTTCCTTAATCTTTACATAAACTTTATGGAAATTCAAGTAGATGTAAAGTACCATCAGAATCTCCAACAGCAACAATATGAGCCATATTATCATTGAATTTTAATGATGTAATAGCACATGCAACTACTTGAAATTATAAAGTCCATTTATGTGATTAATCAAGCATATCCCAAACATCTAAATTACCATCTGTTTTTCCTATAATAATAACACCAGCACGATAAGGAGAGAATCCACCACAAGTAATATGTGCTTATTTCATGATTAGACTTTCAAAAATAGGAAAAGTAACATTATGTTTCCAAACACAGAAATTAAAATCATATAATGTTAGTATAACATCTTCAAAGAATGGACTTACATCCAAAGCAATAGGTGGTCTCATACTTCTTTATTATTACCAAATAGATGAAACTAATTAATTTTTTTATCCTTCTTCTCCTTATTTTTCTCCCCAATCTAAAATAAAAACTTCACCTTCATCTGATGTTCCTGATAAAGTAGGTGTTTTTTAATCTATATATATATTAAATATATTACTTTTTCTAAATTAAATTTATCCTCCACCCATCATTCCTCCACCTTCTGGTCTATACAATTATATTCCATAAGCAGCTTTCCAAGGAATTGTTGAAATCTATTAGAAGTTCAATAACAATAATTTATACATCTTATTATGTTTTCTTACTGTCTTTATCAATCAATCTACTATCCCAAAATAGAATTTATCCATCTGAACTAATACTAGCAAATTAATATGTTTCTTAAGAAGATGTAAGTATAAGATGATTAAAATGTTTCTTATCAAATTCCATTCCAATAGGAAACCATTTCACAGCTAAAACAGAATTCTTATGAGATGCAACTTATTTTCTTAAGACTTCATTTGAAGAACCTGCTTAATAAGAAGCAGGATCTTATAAAGCTGAAACCATTTTAGGTTGAAGTTCTTAAATTTCATCTGAAAATAGTAAGAATTTAATAAATACTTCTTTCTTATTTAGTTTTTTAAGTTTTTTTAGAAGCAAAGACAGAAAGTGCTGTACCACTAAGATCCCATAACATTACTTAACCATTTATAGTTCCACCTATTATAATATTAGGATCTTTTGGATTAAATTCAAAAGAAAGTATCTCAAGTGGAGATTATAATAGAAGAACTGGTTCTATAGAATGAATATCTTCAAAATCCCAAAATACTATAAGTGATTTATGAGATTTAAGTTAATATATCGCTCTTTCTTCAAAGAGGAGATTTTCTACAAAAGATTCTGCAACAATATATTTAGATTTAATTGCTTAACTAGTTGGTTAGAATTAAATGCATTAAATCTTTTTACCTTTGCAATTTAAATAACTGAAACTTTTAATTTCTTTAATTACATTAGTAAGTTCAGCATTTTAATCTACAACAAAATACTTGAGATTATAATACCTCCATTTTATTCTGAGAGTGGTAACACATTGAAATCATCTTAATATATATCAATAGTTTCATTTGATTATAATGCTTCTTCCATAATTGGATAAACTATTTCTAAAAATTTACGCAGATTTAAATCTTCTTCTGCTTATTCTTTTCTTTCATCTCCTTCATCTACTTGTAAAGCCTTATTAATTTTTCTATTCCAGACTGTCTAAGAACTTGCGTCTTAAAATGGATTGCATCCTTAAATGCCCATTTCAATAACCTTATTTTTAACAAGTTAAAGAGGATCCTTATCTAAGGCTTTGATCTCCCCTGTTCTTTCTGATGTCTCTTAATCACTAAATTTGAATGTCAAACTAAATTTTTATTTTAAAAACTTACCCAAATTCTTTTCTCTTTTTAATAAATTACATCTTAATGAGTAGCCTATCTTTTACTGTAAAAGATTGGATTTCCTTTATTAATCAATAAATTTCTTATTTTACCTAAATTGTTTCATCTTCATGATCTGTCTTGTATGGTCTAGGTTCTAGTGGCTTCTCTTCTACAAAATCTTCATCTTCTGAAAAATCTTATTTGGAATAAAGAATTCAAATTCTTACCTTCCTGCTCATCAGATTCATGTTTGCTCATTAAATAATATGAATATTAAACAAATTATTGCGATTGCATAATCATTAATTTTGATAGCATACTTAAGTATAAACCCTACTCATTATTAACTTGTATTGACTTCTCTAGGAGTCTTTATGTAGATAATTGTTTTGAAATGGAAGAAACATTAAGACATTATTACTGAAATATCCTAAATATTATTAACAGTGCCTATGGGAATCATTTTATAAGATGTTTGCAGTACATTAATTGTAACTTTATAACTTATACATATGAAACCAACTAAATTTCTATTATTTAAACTCTCTTATGTAATTATTTTAGGAATCATTATGCATGGACAAATCTAGGATATTATTCTGATATGTTTATCTTTACTTACTTTTGCTATTGATACTAAATTAGATTAACCATCATTCTAAGATTCATCAAATTAACTCTCATCCAAAAAATTACGAGAAGAGAATGAACTCGATAAAACAGATAAATCTGATAAAATACATCTTTAATCTATTGCTTATAGTGATAATTAAGCTGGACATAGAACTAGTACTAAATGTAAATTCATTTTAAAATTTCATTTAGATTAATTTCTATAAATCCTTGATGAATTTCCTGATGGTGTTGCTTTAATCATTTTTGATGAAAATCGATTACCATAAGTTGATTTCTGTAATTAAACAATAATGAATCTATTACATACAACATAATAAGATTTATTGAGTTCTTTGATGTCTCTCAAAAATCTACATATCATGAAGAAAAACCAATAAACTTAAGATCTAGCCACCTCAATCTCGACATATAGAAGTATGTATTCTCCAGAAAAGCACAAAATTGGAATTGTCAGATCCATGTATAGAGCATCAACTACTGTTTAGAATCATAAAAATGAAATGTTCATTAATACAAAATTAAAATTCTCTAAAAATGTAAACTTTTCACTTAAGATAGCCTTTCAAAATGGCCTTAGAATAAGCTATTCTCTAAATCCATTCATAAGAAGTGTAGTCACTATTAACAAAAACTCAAATTGGTTTTGATTTACATACCATTTTAAATGGATATACAACATCTTAATCAAAAAAAGATATTTGTATTGAAATCAAATTGTTTATCTCTTACCTTAATGATTAACCATAATTATTAATACTAACAAGGGATGTTTCATATAAAGATTATATTAAATACATCAATTAACATAGTAAAGCTAAATCTAATTCATTAAATTTTGTTTCACATGAAATTAGAACTCCAATTAGATGTATTATTTAGTTGTTAGAAGAATTTGAATAAAAAAATGATACTATCAAAAATGTTCTCTGGAATTGTTATTATTTATTAAATTTCAGTCATGATTTACTTGATCTAGCATAAATTAAAGTAGGTAAATTTAAATTATAAAAAATCAAATTTGATTTAGAATAATTGATTTTATAATTATTTGATTTATTTAGAGTAGAAGCAAAGAAAAATTAAATTTCATTGAAATTAGAATACGAAGAAGAAACTCCTAAATAAATATGTAATGATGAAATTAGAATAAAATAGGTATTGATTAATTTAATTGGAAATGCATTTAAATTCACATTTGAAGGTAGTATTACTGTAATAGTTTCAAATTAAAAAGATGGAACTTTAATAATTAAAATAAGTGATACAGGTTTGGGAATTAGGGAGGAAGATAGAAAGAAATTAATGAAAGCATTTGGTCGATTAGATGATGATGAAACTAAATAATTTAATAGATCTGGTGTTGGATTAGGATTATTGATTAGTAATATGATTTGCAAATCTTTATCTAAAAAAGAGTCTGGCATCAAAATCGAATCAGAACTCTATAAAGGAAGTTCATTTTCTTTTGAAATAGATTATGAAACTGAATTTGATACTATCATTATTGGTGGTAATGATAGTCCTAATGAGGAAGAAGATTAAGTTGGAGATGAAGCCTAACCTAGAGTTCAACGTATTTATTCAAATCAAGCTTTTCGATAGAGAGAAATATTAATTATTGATGATAATTAATTTAACATTGATATTTTGATTAAACTATTTAATCGTAAAGGAATTAATCGAATTGATTATGCAATAAATTGTTAACATGCATTAAAAATTTTAGATGAAAGAATTCAAAATCATATCTATTATCGAGTTATTCTTTTGGATATTGAAATGCCAATAATTGATGGTTTCGGTACTGCTAAGATGATTAAACAATAAGTTAATGATACAATGATTACTATGCCTGTTCTTATTGCAGTGAGTGGACATGGTATACATATGAAACAATAAGCTTTAAATAATGGATTTGTTGATTATTATGAAAAACCATTAAAAGTTTAAGACATTGAGGAGATCATCACTCGTTATCTACAATGATTTAATTTTTTATAAAAATACTAATTTAAATTAAAATTATCGTTAAGATGTTTGTTTGTTGTGGAAAAAAGAAAAAAGATCGGAAACATGCTTCTTTAGGGAATCTTCATTAGTTAAATTTAATTTGTTAGGATGGACTATACTTTGATAAGAATCTTAAAATAATTACAGAATTCAATAAAACAAATGTATTCAAAATAAATTTAATTGAATATAGTTTAGTGATACCATAAGAGGAAACTGCAAATATTATTGTCCAATATGTTTTAAATATTATGATTGTATGATGTTAAACATATATTTTAATAGGTATGCTAAATACAACTTGTTGTTCAAATTATGTCTGTCATGTTTGTGCAGTTTAATCTCTAGCAAACAAAATGTACAATTGTCATTATTGTCGAAATGAGTAGTGTAAATATGTTGATGTTGATCCTAAACATTAGTTAAAAATATATACAGATTCACATACTAAAATATGAAATTTATATTAATTAATATATACAAATGTAAAAAGTAGATTACATCTTTAAGATTGTACTAATTGGATCCTAGAATGTAGGCAAGTCTTCTATTATGGCCAGATTTATAGATCAAGTTTTTAATGATAGTTACCTTTCCACAGTGGGGGTTGATTTCAGAATCAAAACACTTTCCATACACGATAAAACGTAAATGTTTAATAACACTTATTAGTATTAAAATGTAGATTTGGGATACTGCTGGATAAGAAAGATTTTAGGCTTTAACTTAATCTCATTACAAAGGAGCTCATGGTTGCATTGCTGTATATGATGTTACAAGTGAAAGGTTATTCAAATTTTCTTATTTCACAAATAGATCATTTGAAGATGCCAAGAAGTTCTTAAAGTTAGTAATTGAAGAACATGGGTTGATTCCTGAAGCATGTTATTTAATTGCAAATAAAGTTGATTTAGTCAATAAAAGAGTAGTATGTAAATTCTAAATATTCAAGATTCTTGGAAAAAATGGAAATGACTTTGCATAAGATTTAGGAGTTAATTATTTAGAAACTTCTGCTAAAACAGGGGATAATGTAAATTAATTATTTTTGGATTTGGGCAAAATTATCTTAAATTTAGTGGATCAGAAACGCACAAATGCATAACCACCAGAAAATGATACTAGATTAAGAACATTAGATACATAAAAAATAGAATAAGAATAAGGTTGTAAGTGCTGAAATCTATATTTTTAAAATCAATAGAATTTATTAGATATATTTTTATTCAAAAAAATTGGCAGAATCTCATCTACATTATATTTGTAGCTTTATCAAATTAATATTTTATTATAAATTTCTGATAACTGTATCATATAAATACTGCCAATTTTTAATTGCTTTGCTTAAATAAATTTAATATACCATAATTAAGTTTTAATTATGATATCAAAAAGCAGAGTATTACTTACTTTAAGTAGGCCTTAAATAACTTATTCTTTCTCCTTAAGTATAATATTGATTCTATAAAGGTAATAAACTTAGAAATTAAGTTTTTAAAGGATCAATATATAGAGCTATTGGTATTTTGGCAGGAATTTAAGTCAGTGCAACATTTATTTCACATTATTTTGTAGATAAATAAGTGATTTTTCCTGTTGAAGATTATTTATAGAATGATAAGATTAAAGAAAATTAACATTACTCAATAGCTGGAATAATAAAACCTGGATCTATAGAAATAAAAAGAGGTACTTTGGATGTAAAATTTATTCTTACAAATTTTGATGATGATATTTCTGTCATCTATAGAGGAGAAACAAAATATGAATTTAAAGAAGGAGAAACTATTGTTATTACTGCATATACACCTGATTTAAAGAATAAAAAAAGAATAATAGGTCTTGATTATTAGACCAAACATTCAATGGATGGATATATGTGGGAAGATAAAGTTGGAGTTAATCGCAATAATTATGGACTCAATTCTAAATTATAATCTTAATTATGAAACAATATTCATTTATTTAAGTATTTGTTACTATTGTCTTCTAATCCTCTTTTTTTTGATTTATTTTTGATGTTATTATTAGGTTGATTATTATTATTATTATTTGATTTTAATTCTTCGATCTCTTATTTTAAAGTTTGTATTAACTATTTTTATTATTATCTGATAAATTCACTTTTTTCAAAATTTTCTTATAATCTTTATTATTCTTATTCTATTTAACTAAATTTTTCATTTTATTATAAAACTTTCTTCAATTTTTTATTTAACTAGTCTATTTAGGATTGCATTTATTAATTTTTTTACTTTTCCTTAATTAATTAAGCCCTATCATCTTCCCATTGTTTTCTTAATTGAGAGACTTTTATTTGTAATGATTAAACATCTTATTATTAAGTGCTGATTCCTCTTTATAATGAAGTTTGTGATTTTTCTTTGCTTTTTGATTTAGCTTAACTCAAAGATTTTCTTTAAGCTTTAGATTAAGATAATTTATTCTCTGCACTTTCAATATTCTTTTCTAATTATTAAAATTTATTCTTTCTTTCATCATGAAAAGAAGATTTATTAAGTGTTTTGGTTGAATGTTCTTATTCTGTAAATTTAATCTGTTTTTTGTGAGATGATTAATTATGATTATATTTATTCTTTAAAGGTGTTTCTTCATCTGAATCCTTAACTTCTTATTATTATACTAATTAATTTGGTTAGATTTGTTTTTCAATATTTTTTTGAATTCTTGCTTCAATAGTAATAATTTTATCTTATATTTCATTGAGATCACCATTAGTAGTTCGTTTAGTTTAAGATGTAGGATTATTACTTAATGCTCTTATACTAGATTGTTAAATTGATTCTTATTCAAAATAAGATGATGGTTATGTTTTTTGGAGATAACTTGGAACATTATTATATTTAAGCATGTCAAGTTCTTTGTCTAAGAGAGTATTGAGAAAACTCAGTTTTTCTTATGGAATAGGACTTTGATTTTATTGCATTTGAAAATTTAAAATATATTACAGTTGTCATTTCATTATAGGTTCAATTAGAATTCCTAATAATCAATTTTTGGAACCATATCAATAACAGCTTCTAATAATCCATTTGGTAATACTCCTCCAGGTCTCCAATATTAATTAGCACCTACTTCATTTCCAGTAGGCATTCTAACACCAAATTTCTCAGGAAATGGAACATCTATTCTACTCAACCTTCTAAATTACCAGCCTCCTGGGGTAACTCCAAGATTTCTCTCTACAATTGATAAATTGCCATTTGCTGTCTTTAATAATTAATCCATTTATGATTTTGGTATCACAAATATTCCATTTTTATTTCCTATGAATTCTCTACCATTATTATCCAACCATGCTGTTGTTATTATAAATGATGCTCCATATCTAAAATACTTCAAATGTTAATCAATATATTCTTAATTCATATATTCTTAAGGTTATGGTCTATTTCCTTTAGGTTTTGCTACAACCAATTATTCTGTCCAACCTGAATGATAAATTAACCGAATCTTTTCTTTATTTCTTGGAGGGTCTTTTGGATCAACTTCATAACAAGAATCCTTTTTTAGATTTATCCCATTAATACTTGTTGTGTATTTGCCATCATTAATATGACAATCAAGAGACATATTGTTTTCATATATAAAACGAATAATTATTAATTATATAATCCTCAATTTAATTTCACTATAGTCTCTTATTATATAAAGCTTTTATTATTTTCTTAGTATTTTGTCCACCAATTCATAAGATAAGTATCATTTATCAAATTGAACCAAGGTGTAAATTTTTTCTAAATATGTTACAAACTTTACTTAGTTTTATTATTTAAATTGTAAAAATTCCCTCTGACTTAACCATTTGCAATCTTATACTTCTTCTGGGTTCCATTCAATCTTAGGCTATTCTTATTCCAATTTTGCAAAATATATATAATCCACTATCTTGTAAAATAAAAGGAATACATTCATATTCTCCAAATTGATCACTATCTTTAGCAGAGTATATTATTTTTTAGATTAATTCTATTTTTGTATCCTTAATATCAAAATTCAACTCTGCAAGTGTTCTTTATCTAACATAATATTCACTGAGTCGATATTTCATAAGTGCGTCGTTCTCATTTCCGTGATAGAGTTAATGACTACAACATGTATTAGCCCATAATAAAGGAAATGTTTTTTTAGCATTACTGCGTTATTATAGGAGTAATCTGTATTGTGAATCAAATAAAAATAAACTAAAGGCTCTATGAGGGTAAGATTGTTGATTGAAAATGTATTTAGTTGAATGAGCTAGCCATTTTTCAATAGGTTCTTTTAATGTTATTTGTTATCAATATATACCTTTTAGTTAATCATTAAAGTCAACTAAGATCAATTACTAAGTTTTTTCTTATGAAAACTTAAATTACAAACGAATTCTTTTCATTAATAATAAATGAGTGAACTTTAATTAATTCGTCCTCTCTATAAATAGGGATCAGTAATGAAAGAATTAACTATAGCTTCCCTACAAACAGCGATGAGTTTTTTGTTAGAATATCTACCAAATACAATTTCAATTTATTTGCTTGAATTCAAGGAAGACTCTTTATTAGTCGGAGCCTTAGGGTTAGGAATTCTTACAACTTAAGCATTCGGAATGGGAATTTTAAATGGTTTAGCTACAGGATTAGAAACCTTAGTATCATAAGCTTATGGAGCAAATCATTATGAATTATGTGCAAAATTGTATTATAGATCGTTGTTTTTGTGCACATTGTTTATGATACCTATTTCCCTATTCTTGATCTTTTCAACATAGATAATATCTTTTATCAATAAGTACAAGTGCTGGTTTACTTTAGCAATACAGAATTAGCAGAAGAAACAGGACATTTCAATAGATATATGATTTTAGCAGTCTATTTGAATGCAATCTTTGTGAATACAAAAGTATTTTTAAATGGTTAAAACATTTACAAATATCAATTCTACACTCAGCTTGTCACATGCATTCTTTTTATTGGAATAAGTTATTTTTTTATTGTCAAACAAGAGTTAGGAATAGTAGGTTGTGCATTAAGTTTAACAAGTTTAGATCTATTGAATAACATTATCTTATTTTCATTTATTTTTGTAACTAAATGTAGTCAAGCAACTCTATTTAAATTTAAAAGATAATACTTATAAAATACATTAAAATTTTTAAAAGAAGCTATTCCTATAGGTTCTATATTGTGGTTAGAATGGATAAGCTTTGATTTTTATGTAATCTTAGTTAGTTATCTAAAAACATAAACAATAAGTGCTCATGTATTAATGTCAAATTTTGCAGGATTTCTATATTAATTTAGTTATGGAATATCGATTGCATCAACAACATTTGTAGGTAATGAAATGGGAAGAAAGAAAATAGAAATGGCTAAAAAATACACCAAAGCTACATTTTTTATAGATGGAATCTTTTTATTAATAACTTTAGGATTGTTTACAATATTTGGAAATTCTTTAATTGAAATTTTGAGTGAAGATGAAACAGTTATTTCAGAAATCCAGTCTTCAAAATATTTATTAGTAGCATTTATTATTTTGGATGGTATAGTATTAATTTAAAAATAAAAGGTTTATAAGCAATAATTTCAGGATTAGTAAGAGCAATAGGAAGAGAGGCTAGCGCTTCAATTACATTTATATTATGTTATTTGGTCTTGGGAGAAATTATTGGATACTTCCTTTGTTATACTGCTGATTTTGGACTTAAGGGAGTTTGGATTGGTATTGTAATAGGAGCATTAGCTTATGATGTCATACAATTTGTAAATTTGATATGGAAAGATTGGAATGTTTTGGCTGATATTATTCTTGATAAATTAATCATTTTACATTAATAATAGATTATAGTATTCTAGGAAGAGGAAATATGAATAATATTTTAAATAATTATATTTTATTGAATCTCATTAATTATGATCATAATTTATATAATGATTTAGATCTTTGCAACTGCAAAAGAAATATCACTTTATCCTAATGAAGTAAATATCATTGATACCTTTTAAGAATATGGCATTATTTTAGGAGCAAATATCACTTACTTATCATCAAATTCTCATTAATATAATATAATCAAATAAAAACTAATTAATTCTTAAATTCATAAAATACCTTTGGTTTACTAAATAAATAACCCTTTTTTCAAATCCTTTTATGTTAATGGTTCTTTATAGAAGTAGATTGAATAAAATTATATTCTTTCTATGGTTCCAATATCAACTGGATCCATTTTAGCAGTTGTCTTATATAATAATGGTAAGTTAGCTTATATAAAGGAAGATAATAATAATTATTTATTAGTAGAATAAAATTAATCAATATCGATTGATACAATTTAATTACAAAATCGTGTTTATATGTTTTATTTATCAACTAAATAACAAATATTGATAATACTAAATAAATAATTAATCAAAGTATCTATTAATGTGAATGAATCTAAAATATTTGGTAACAATTTTAAACAAAATGATGATAAATTCTTGACTACTTAAAAGATATTGCTTGTCGAAGATCTCTTATTCATTACTAGAAATAGGGAGCTGAGTATCTATTCAATAAATTAAGAAGTTGTGGAGAATTAGTTTTAGAATTATAATTTTACATATAATTTAGATGATATCAAAGTTATTTTTGAAAATGGCATATATAAGGTGTTTATTTTAAATAGAAGATTTGGTGTAACAATTTTTAGTTATGATCCAAAATTGAAATCATTTAATGAAATTTCATCATTCGATTAAATTTCTTATAAAGGATATTTAATTGGTGTAAATAATTAGATTTTAATAATTGTTGATGAAGAAGATAATGAATCTATTATTTATGAATTCCATTACAATGAGTAATTTCATAAATGGTAGATATATAATCACCGACTGATATAACAAAAAATTAAAGATATTGAATTTACCATTAATAATGTAATTTTAATTGGTCAAAATGGACATCAAATAATTTATCATTCTATACCTCCTGAAAACTTTTTACCTCAAAATTATGTCACCATTCCTGGATTACAATAAATTAATCTAATAAATAAAACAGGAAATTTTAATCAAACATTGATAGGTATTACGAAACACACATTTTACATTTTTTAATTGTATTAATCTCCACAAAAAATAATATGCACTTATACTGATGATTTAAGTCCAATAAAATTCATTTATTATTAGAATTCTACTAAATGTTCTATAATGCCTTAAAAATAAGACGGAAACTTATGCCTTTTCGTTTCAAATTACACAATTAATTATATCTATCCAATTATTACTTTAAAATACAAAATATAAGAAGAGATTATTGTAATCTCTATTGTTATTATATCTATTATATTTATTCTCCTAATTGTAGCTAAAAGAAAATGCAAGAAAAATGTTAGAACTAGGTCAGAAAATTAAAATTAATCTGACTGTAGTCAATATGGAAGCCCAAAGAACTAAGACTAATAAGCTTTAAAAAGCCACACATATACTATGGATAATGAACCCAATGGATCCATCGAACTTGTACCTACATCTAAAAATATAGATCAAAGTCCCAGTTGAATAAATTAAATGATTTAAAAAAATAAGATAATAAATAATAAATTATTATCCAATGTTCATTATTTTTCTTTAACTTATCATTTAAACAAATACTGAAGTGATTCAAATTTTGACCAGATAAGAGGCAATTTTAGATGTTTTCAGTTAATCAGGTATCATTCTTGAATAAAAACTTACTGAATAGCAATTTTGCAAAATTATCCAATAACAATTAGTAGCAAATAATATTGATGATAATTCAATAGCTTTGATAGATAGTTATAATGATGATAATTTTAGTCAGGATTTTGAATATGGTTCATACAAAGGAAAGATAGGGAAAATTATAAAATTTGTTCAAGTTTAGCAAGGAATATTTATTCTAAGAGATGATGGTTAATTATATTATTTAAGAATTCAAGACACAAAATTCATATAATAAGCTACTTTTAAACTAAACATTAATGAAGTATCTCTATAAAGCAATGTTTTTATTGAATATTTTGATGATTAAAATTCAGTCTTGATTATAGTAGACGGAGAAACATTAGCTTTAGATTTAGAATTTGATGATGAAGATGTTTATATTAAATAATACAAAGTTTATGAATAATGGTAAATTTAGCATATAAATAGCATTGCAACAGCAAGTAATCTTATTATTGTTGCAATGAACATTGGTATTAAAATGTTTGAATTTGTAAATCATCAATTAAATGAAATATTTATAGATACCTAAATGTTAGGTAGAATCTAAGATATAAAGGTTTTCAAATAAATTAATAATGATAATTATTTTATATATTTGTTAGATGAATAATGTGGAGTTAGCTAATATATATATAATATTGGAAGAAGTGTTATTTTGTAATTTAATTCTTAAATGGGTTAAATTCCATATCCTGGAGAGATCTTAGATGTACATGGAGATATTTTAATGATTGCGTAAAATTAGACTTTATTTGAATTTCGAATAGATTATATTAAAAATAGTTATGAACTAATTAAAAAACATGATTTAGAAACTGATATAATTGATATCTAATTAACTGATACTTTTGCAATCATTATAGGAAGAAATGGACATTAAATTTTGTTTCACTCAATTCCTTCCACTTTTTCTTAATTTGAGTGGATGAATTAATTAGTGATACCAAATCTTAAGTAATTAGATATATTATCATTGAATTTGAATTTCTATAAAAATAGAAATCAAAATAAAACCATTTAGAATATTATTGTTGGAATTACCTAACATAAGTTTTTCTTTTCGAAAATTGAATTGGTATTAAATATTATTATATATTTTAGTAACAATCATATATTGAATGCTATTCAGATAATATTTCTTCTGAAATAGTTTTAGAGTATCAATAAAAGTCTACTTATTGTAAATCAAATTTAAAAAATAAAATATGTTAATAAAATAAGGTTTATACTATACAATTTGTAGATCCAAAAGCATTTGGAGGAGGAAAAGAAGCATATCTTCTTATATTAATTCTTTACGTGATATCTATTGCATTCTTTTTAATCTTTTTGGGAACCCTAATCTTTTTATATAGAAGATATCATCGAATTCCTAAAAGAATTGAGTTGGATGATAAAGAAGAATAACCATATACAAATACGGTGAGACATATGAAAATGGCTTCATCAAAAAATATTATTTATTTGTCTAAAACTGATCAAACTCCTATAAGTGGTGTTTAGGAATAAGTTAATGAACAACTCAATAATAATAATATCCCGATTACTTAAGAAAATTAAGATATATCTCCTATGGCTTCTGAAATGAGATGATGATTATACATAAAAATTCTTAATTTATTAGATTTATTAAAAACTAACTGGAATATTAGAGACTTAATGCAATAATAGTATATTTTGATTATTCGTTAATGAAATCAGATTATTAGTAGATATATATTAAAGTAATTAATAATAGTCTGCTTTATTTATTGTACTTATATAATATATATCAATCTGTATGTTATGATCCTTTGGTAGCACCAACACCTGGCTTTCCATGTCTTGTTGGCTTATATGTTAAAGAAAATTCACCTAAATATCTATTATTAGAGTTTTGCATTTATTTATACCTGCCAATCATATCAAACTTAATTTCAACATTGCTAAATTATCTGCCATTATATACTCCAACAATTGATCCAACCATTTCTGGGACAACAATTGTATTTCTTTAGTGTGTCTTAACAGGTTTTGGTTTTTCTCCAGGTTAGGTTTCTTTCTTTGATTTACGAATCTATATAAAATCTAATGAATTAATTTACTTTCTTCATTAAATTTTAGAAGGCATGTACTTTTTCACCTTAATTAGAAATTCTTCTTCTTTATCTTGCTCTGAATTACTCAACCAATTTATCCATTGGTAATTTAACAAGCTCTTCAAGTTATAATCCTCTGTAGGTAAACTTCTTAACACCTTTGAATTATTTGTCTTATGTTTATTCAGCCATTATTTGAAAAATGAAAATAAAGATTTTAATATAATCGAAAAATAAATAAATATATATAAAACACTAACCCCAATAGCTCTATTTCTATATTTATTTAGGTTACTATAATCCTATAAAGTATTGTATTTTAAAACATTTTAAACTTATGATAGTTTGAATTTATGAAGAAATGAGATTTATAATATAATTGAATTCTCTAATTCTTTCATTTAACTATAAATAATGACTTTATGAAATAAATTATATTTAGATAACCCTTTTTAGTTGATGAGAAATATCAATAAATCTGATAATACCTTTTATATATAATAAAATACTGAACTTTATTTTTACAGTATTTAATGATTTAGTTTATGACAAATCAATATTATAATAATAATATCTATGTTATCATCTCCATCTAGACGATTAGTCAAGAAAGACATTAAACCTGTGAGACCTTCTATGTTTTTAAATGATTTTGACATATCTTCATTGTCTTAATTAATAACAATCAAAAAAGATGGTAATGAGGCTTCAACTAGAAGTATAGACACCTTAGGATCATAAACTCAACCTAATGATATGTCTGATAATGGAAGCTCAATATTTTTACCTGTTATAGAGGAGAAATCAAAAATTCGATTCATCAAATAAACTTCAAATCCAAAACAATCTATAACTTCGAGAAAAGTTGTAATAACATAATCAGACTCTATATCACCCATGACAAAATCAGATATTTATTTACCATCAATTAATTCAATTCCAAATTCACCAACAAAATTTTTAATTCCAAACCATAAAAGACATTTAACAAATGTTGAAGAATAACATAAAAAAGTGGAGTTTAGAAAGTCTATTTAAGTTATAGATTTTATTAACAATATTATCACCAAAGATGTAATTGATGGAAGTGTTAAACCATTGAAAAAAAAATTGTAAAGATAATAAACAAAAATGATAAAAAAAGAATGACCACCACTATTTACTACAATGATTTTTTTAAAACTAATCTATATTATACAAATCTAATAATGTTTATTTATTTTTTCTTTTTTTAAGTGATATCAGTGAAATAATTTATTACTACATCTCAACATATATTTTAAATAATATTTATTATTTAATTGAAAATAGTTGTTTAATATTTATGACTAATGGTTGAATGTAATTTATCATTCATATTTCAACTATTCTTATCAAATTTACTATGGTTGCTTTTTCATAATATTTTGAAAAAAGTATATTAATTAAATATTAAAATCTGAATGTGTGTTATTTCAATATTTTATTCTTAATTTATTATTTATTAATTAAGATGTCTGCGTTAATATAAGTTTGTTTAGACACGTTGGCTTTTGATTAAATTGAAGAAATAGTTTTGATTAATGGATAACCTTCAATTTAATTGATCGTTTATACACCATTTAGTTAATATTGTTTTGAAAGTAATTAAATTGATAATAAAAGGCAATAAACCCATTAAGGAATTTTATGATTATGTGTAACATATTCAAAAACATGGTTTTATGTTATTAAGTCTAGATAAAACTTAAATTGATCTACTACAGTCTGTGAAAGATAAACAAAAAACCATCATTGCAATTAATAAATTAATAGATGAGCTCTTATATAGAAGAGATCTAATTACAAAACAAAGAGTAAATAATTATTTTTATTTAGAGACTATCAACCTGTTGGGCTTGAATTAATAAATAGAAGTTTATTCATAAAAGAAAGCCTTGGTAAATTTTCATTTATATATAAGAATAGATTCCTAACAATTTAATTGGATTCAAAGTAATTGATTCTCATCTTACTGTGTCATAAATTTTAATTGTTAATTAGTACTTGATTGTGACATTAGAAAATTAGAGTTAATTATAAAAATTTGGTAAAATTTGGAATTTGATTGAACCTGAAATAATGGGATAAATGATTGTATTTTTAATAGGAGAAACTGCTCCTTTCTAAAAAATTTATGAAAAATATTTTAGTTTTAAACTATTTTGTGTGGAAAATGGTAATTTTAAATTAAATCATTAGTCGATGATAAACTTATAGTAGGTACATGTTAAGGAATATTAATTATATACTCTATAACAGGAAATTTAATTTAAGAGAAAGGTAATATTTAGGTTTTAACATCTCCTATATATAAAATCCGGAATTTTAATTAAGAAATTTATCTTATAACAGATAGTTAAGTCAAGATATTGGAATAATAGAATTTTGAATTGATAGGAGGAGGAAGTCTTAAAAACAGATTATAAGCAGCATGGATTACTTGTTTAAATTTTGATAATAAAGATAAATTATTGTTTTTAGGTATGAAATAAAATAAATTGTAGGAACTTCTTAAGGATTCATTTTAGTATATAAACGAACTGAAAAACTAGAATTTCTAAATTAAATTAATTTTAATGTAAATACTTCAATTAAATGTATGTAAATTATTGAAAATTATCTATATCCATGTACTGAAAATGGAGTAGCTATATTGCAAATGATTTACAAAGATAATTAGTTTTAATATTAGGAAAAAACTGCATTTGCAAGTTAATTGAAATTAGTTGGGTTTAAAAAAACTGAAACCTCTGTATTTGGATTTACTTAGTGTGGATTAATAGTTTAATGGAATCCAGAAAATGGTCAAATGAATTAAGCTTACAAAATAGATAAGAATTGTTTATTTGGATTACATTATTAAAATTAAATATTTATTGTAACAAGTGAATCAATGATTTATATAGTTAGTTTTTTATGAATTCATAATATAAAACTTTTATCTTTTATTTTTGTATAAATAATAATTATAATTTGTTTGTTAATTTAACGATGTCAAAAAGGCCAGAAGTGAATTTGACTTGCAATCAATTAAATTTTCAGTGTTAATAACCCTTTTCACGTAAAACTCAATAGAATTTAATAGGTAGTCCAATGAATAGTGTATTTGAGATTGAAGGAAAGAAATTATATTTGGGTAATATTATTGCAGCAAATGATTCTAAATATCTACAAAAAAATAATGTTGGAGCAGTATTATCAATTATTGATACAAGTGATATCAAATTAGATAGATCGATAATTCACTTAGTATAAAATATTAATATTAAATTAGTGGATTGTAGCTGAAGATAGAGAAGATGTTCAAATAACAAGATATTTTGAATAAGCAGCCAACTTTATTCGAGATCACTTAAAACATACAAATGTTCTGGTTCATTGTTATGCTGGAATATCTAGATCTAGCTCTTTAATTATTGCTTATTTAATTAAATATGCAGGATTTTCATTAAAAGAAGCAATTACAAAACTCAAAAGTTAAAGGCCATAAGTCGATCCTAATGATGGATTCATGGAATAACTTAAATAATTTGAATTTAAAGTAAAAAACTCTAAATTAACTAAAAGTGAAAATAGAACTAATAGTGTTTGTAAATTCTTAAATATTAGTGTTGAAAAAAATAATAATTAATGCTAATAGATTAATAATGGAATTTAGAGCTTTAATATATATAGCAGATTAAATACTACTTCTAATAACAAAGGAAAATAAATAAATCTTTAAAATTTAACACTTTAAAAAACAAAGATATCCTTTTTAGATAAAACTTAAAGTCCTAACAATCTAAGCACTTCAAACAAAATAGGAAAAACTTTCATTTCGAATAACTTTCAAGAGGATCCATTCAAATAATACTAGAAAATTAAAAATTCTTAAAATCTATTTAATCAATAGATTTTAGGAATAAAAAATATTTTTAGTCAACATGGAAGATTTCATTCTCAAAATTATTGAAAACCTCTATTCATTTATATTGATTGTTATTCAAATAAAATTAAATAACTCTAAAAAATATAATCACAAATGCATCCTACGTAATTCTACAAATACATTTCAATCTTTTATGATTAAATATTGATTTTTATCATTCTTTTTTTATAACAAGAATAATTAATTATCAGTAATCTACATTGCTTCAAGAGGTCCATACTTCCCATAATCTAAAAATTCATTCACTATGAATTCAATATACTTGTAAATATTTCTTGAATCAATAAGATAAGATAAACTTATACATCTATATTCATTATTTTGACTTTTGTATTAGAAATTTTTTCGAAATATCCTCCAACAATAAAAATTTAAGTTGGATTTACTTTACTAAATATGCAAAACTAAAGCTAGGTGGGCGTTTTAAAATTTATTAATTGCCATTCATTATTTTATACTCTTCCACAAAATTAAAAGGTTTATTATTTGCTTCAATTCCTCCAAACTTGAAAATACTCTAATTATTATAACAAACCAAAGTATTGCAGAATGAAAATTATTAATTATTATTTTTAAAATATCCAAACTAGAGTATATTATTTTGCTCATTCCTGGTCAACTTAAAATTAATTAATTGAAAAAATAATAGCTCTAAAGAATATAGCAATGTCTTCTTTAAGTAATTAAATTTTTTTTGACTAAATAAATTATTATAAATTACTTAAACATTGTCATAATATTGATTTAAATTTTATGAATAAGTGTCAAACATAAGTATAAATTTGTAAAATTTGTGTAAATTTTAATCAATTAAAATATCATAGGTCTAATAAAAAGTAGAAAATACCCATTTATCAATTCATAACAATCCATATGAATTAATAATTTAGGATTTGTGAATTTCATCAATATCTTTGAAATGTTCTTTTTCATTTGAGATTGATCTTTTCAACAGAAACATTTTATTATTTTTCTTGCTATTGTCAACTTTAATGATTTTCATATTAAAATCTTCATCAATAAATTTTTATTGTTCTAATCCATCTAAGACTATATCAAAAGGAGTAAATTTTGCGATTTTCTTCTTAATCATTATTGAAAACAATAATTTAGAAATATTTATATAATTGCATCATATTATGTAATATAAATTGTTGTCCCTTCTATTAATATCAACAATAGTATGGTATACGAATTAACCTTCGAAACAAAGATTTTAGAGAGGTTTTTCAAATGATTTTAAAGCATTTCTTGATTAAAAGTATAAGCTTTGGGGATTTCATAGACCTGATATAATTTCTGGATGTTATGGGTATTAGATTAATAGATGTATATAGAGGAGCAGAAACAAGACCAACTTAAAAACCTTCTAAAATACCTATAATATTTATACATGGTAATAGTGATGTTGCTGTAGGAGATGGAAGCTATGGGAATTATATGACAGGATTTAGCTCATAGATTGAATATTTTTTAAATCAAGGATATGAGAAATAAGATTTATATGCCACAACATGGGGAGATGCAGACCCTGCTACAGCAAATTTGAATTATCATTCTGAGAACTATCTAAAATACAACAGGGCATTTGTTGAAGCTGTTTTAGAATATACATAATCACCTTACGTCAATATTATTTCACATTCTATGGGTGTAACTTTGGCCAGAAAAGTAGTTAAAGGAGGAATAGGTCATGATGAATTAGGTAGTGGCAGATATGATCTAGGGGATCCACTAACTTCTAATATCAAAGTATTTGTTGGTTTAGCAGGAGGAAATCTAGGATNTATTATTTTGCTCATTCCTGGTCAACTTAAAATTAATTAATTGAAAAAATAATAGCTCTAAAGAATATAGCAATGTCTTCTTTAAGTAATTAAATTTTTTTTGACTAAATAAATTATTATAAATTACTTAAACATTGTCATAATATTGATTTAAATTTTATGAATAAGTGTCAAACATAAGTATAAATTTGTAAAATTTGTGTAAATTTTAATCAATTAAAATATCATAGGTCTAATAAAAAGTAGAAAATACCCATTTATCAATTCATAACAATCCATATGAATTAATAATTTAGGATTTGTGAATTTCATCAATATCTTTGAAATGTTCTTTTTCATTTGAGATTGATCTTTTCAACAGAAACATTTTATTATTTTTCTTGCTATTGTCAACTTTAATGATTTTCATATTAAAATCTTCATCAATAAATTTTTATTGTTCTAATCCATCTAAGACTATATCAAAAGGAGTAAATTTTGCGATTTTCTTCTTAATCATTATTGAAAACAATAATTTAGAAATATTTATATAATTGCATCATATTATGTAATATAAATTGTTGTCCCTTCTATTAATATCAACAATAGTATGGTATACGAATTAACCTTCGAAACAAAGATTTTAGAGAGGTTTTTCAAATGATTTTAAAGCATTTCTTGATTAAAAGTATAAGCTTTGGGGATTTCATAGACCTGATATAATTTCTGGATGTTATGGGTATTAGATTAATAGATGTATATAGAGGAGCAGAAACAAGACCAACTTAAAAACCTTCTAAAATACCTATAATATTTATACATGGTAATAGTGATGTTGCTGTAGGAGATGGAAGCTATGGGAATTATATGACAGGATTTAGCTCATAGATTGAATATTTTTTAAATCAAGGATATGAGAAATAAGATTTATATGCCACAACATGGGGAGATGCAGACCCTGCTACAGCAAATTTGAATTATCATTCTGAGAACTATCTAAAATACAACAGGGCATTTGTTGAAGCTGTTTTAGAATATACATAATCACCTTACGTCAATATTATTTCACATTCTATGGGTGTAACTTTGGCCAGAAAAGTAGTTAAAGGAGGAATAGGTCATGATGAATTAGGTAGTGGCAGATATGATCTAGGGGATCCACTAACTTCTAATATCAAAGTATTTGTTGGTTTAGCAGGAGGAAATCTAGGATTAAGTTCTTGTTATACTGCTGGTACATCTTTACCTAGTTGTGGATTAACTAATGGATTTTATCCAGGATAACCACCTTATATTGGAAGATCAACTTTCTTAGAAGAATTGGATTCTAATTCTGCTAAAGAAGCTAAATATGTTGTTACTGGAAGAGCTAACTATGACGAAATTATTGGAGGAAACAATCTTGTTTGGGGCAAATATACAACTAGAATTAAAAATGAAAATGATGAAATCGTTTTTAATAGTCCAACTATAGGTCACTTTGGATTAAGAGATGAAGCTGGACCTGAAATTTATTCAATTCTAAAAAAATAAGGTGCCATCAATTAATGAAATTAACAATATTTTCATTTATTATAATCCATTATATTATTTTATTCTTTCTATCATAAAATCAATTCTAATTTACTTATGTCTTATTTAAAGTCTTGTAAAATTTATTTGAATTTATAAAAAGGTGGATTCTTAATCTAAATATGAATTGATAACATTCTCTAGATTCTCATTAATAACTAAAATTTATTGTATAAAATTGTTCTAAAACTAAATTTTTTATTCATATAGAGATTTGATATTTCTTTTCTAATACACCTTTTTAATGGTATCGAACTACTATAATTTATAAAGAATATATATTAAAATTTTACATAATAATCAAAAAATAAGTTAAAAGATTATTATTTCCAATTTCATAATTTTCTTTTTCCAATTTTAGTGTAAAAATTATTCCATTCTTTGAATTAAATCTGTTAGGATTATACTTTAACATCTTTTTTGATGTTAATTTTTATTTCGAAATTGACATAAGCACAAAGGAGATTTTTTCGATTAAATTCTATTAGTTTTAAATTAAATTGCAATCATTTCTTCCTTGTCAAATCTTAATAATAAACTTAAGGAGAGTTTAATACTTTTTCAATCGAAATTTTAATTAAGTTCAGATTTAAGAAGGGTTATTCCATGATATATTTTTAGAAAGAAGCATAACTTAAATGATTTATAAATTATCTATATTTTATAACATGCCTGAAAGTTAATAACATAATTAAACTACTGATAAATTATTTACTAGCCAAATATTAAAAAACAAACTATTATTAAAATACAAAAAATCAAAATTTTGGCATTCTTTAAAATGAAAATGAAAGTCAATACTTTTTAATATTTAAATTTAATTAGTTGTTTCCTAATTATAACTCTACTTAAAATTAAAGTTCTATCTCATAAGGTTGAATTTGAACATAGAAAATTGCCTGTAGATTTTTTTTCTATAATAAGGCTTTTTCCTATAATTTATGTTAGTAATTAAGTTGTATTTTTTAAAATAAATAACTCATATAATCAAAAACAAATGAACATTAATTATGGATTTCATAAAGTCAGACCATTTCCATGATGAATTTGATCATGGTGTTAAAATTTATGGTGTAAATAATTATTCCATAAGATGAGTTCGTCAGTTAATACCTAAATACTTTTTTTTCTTCTTTATATTTTATTTTTAGAAATTTCAAGAGCTATATGGTGATTAGGATAATGCTTTTATGGAAGATCAAAGTGTTAATCATCTTCATTGACAGGACTATTATCTCCATTTAAAATGAGGTTCGAAATTGGATGATATTGGATAGTTTGCATTTTAGGGTTAAAAAAGTAGTGTTGTATTTTTGATATTAATTTTAATTACTGTTGCATGAATAAGGCAATTTCGTTTAAAAATTTTAAAGATTTCAACCAAAATTATGAGAATGATAATTAATTTAAATTTATTACGCACCATAATTATTTTTAGAATTAGTAAAGTTAATTAATAAACAAATAATATAAATCAAAAAATCAAAATGATTTTTAAAAGAATTTATGTTATAGAATTTGTTTGCAATTTATTCTTTAATGATGATCTATTGAAAACATCAAATTAAGAAGATCAAGAAGATCTTAATCTTCGATGATTTAATGTAATTATTTTTAAGGAGAGACTTTGGGTAAGGAATTAAATCTTGTTTTAAATTTGGATCGTTATTTCATGTACCAGGGTATTGGCCCAAAGATAGATTGTATAATAGCCAAATGCATTAAATCGTTATTGCCNTCGAACTACTATAATTTATAAAGAATATATATTAAAATTTTACATAATAATCAAAAAATAAGTTAAAAGATTATTATTTCCAATTTCATAATTTTCTTTTTCCAATTTTAGTGTAAAAATTATTCCATTCTTTGAATTAAATCTGTTAGGATTATACTTTAACATCTTTTTTGATGTTAATTTTTATTTCGAAATTGACATAAGCACAAAGGAGATTTTTTCGATTAAATTCTATTAGTTTTAAATTAAATTGCAATCATTTCTTCCTTGTCAAATCTTAATAATAAACTTAAGGAGAGTTTAATACTTTTTCAATCGAAATTTTAATTAAGTTCAGATTTAAGAAGGGTTATTCCATGATATATTTTTAGAAAGAAGCATAACTTAAATGATTTATAAATTATCTATATTTTATAACATGCCTGAAAGTTAATAACATAATTAAACTACTGATAAATTATTTACTAGCCAAATATTAAAAAACAAACTATTATTAAAATACAAAAAATCAAAATTTTGGCATTCTTTAAAATGAAAATGAAAGTCAATACTTTTTAATATTTAAATTTAATTAGTTGTTTCCTAATTATAACTCTACTTAAAATTAAAGTTCTATCTCATAAGGTTGAATTTGAACATAGAAAATTGCCTGTAGATTTTTTTTCTATAATAAGGCTTTTTCCTATAATTTATGTTAGTAATTAAGTTGTATTTTTTAAAATAAATAACTCATATAATCAAAAACAAATGAACATTAATTATGGATTTCATAAAGTCAGACCATTTCCATGATGAATTTGATCATGGTGTTAAAATTTATGGTGTAAATAATTATTCCATAAGATGAGTTCGTCAGTTAATACCTAAATACTTTTTTTTCTTCTTTATATTTTATTTTTAGAAATTTCAAGAGCTATATGGTGATTAGGATAATGCTTTTATGGAAGATCAAAGTGTTAATCATCTTCATTGACAGGACTATTATCTCCATTTAAAATGAGGTTCGAAATTGGATGATATTGGATAGTTTGCATTTTAGGGTTAAAAAAGTAGTGTTGTATTTTTGATATTAATTTTAATTACTGTTGCATGAATAAGGCAATTTCGTTTAAAAATTTTAAAGATTTCAACCAAAATTATGAGAATGATAATTAATTTAAATTTATTACGCACCATAATTATTTTTAGAATTAGTAAAGTTAATTAATAAACAAATAATATAAATCAAAAAATCAAAATGATTTTTAAAAGAATTTATGTTATAGAATTTGTTTGCAATTTATTCTTTAATGATGATCTATTGAAAACATCAAATTAAGAAGATCAAGAAGATCTTAATCTTCGATGATTTAATGTAATTATTTTTAAGGAGAGACTTTGGGTAAGGAATTAAATCTTGTTTTAAATTTGGATCGTTATTTCATGTACCAGGGTATTGGCCCAAAGATAGATTGTATAATAGCCAAATGCATTAAATCGTTATTGCCTACTTTAATAAAAACTCTTCCTATATTGGTGTTTGTTTTGAGAATATACCAGTGTATAATTCCACAATAAGGCAAGCTAGACTCCAAATGTCACTTGAGGTATCCCAGGTATCGCATCGCATGATAACTTCAGGTGCTCTGTATTATCTAGTATTGATGACAGTACTATGATGTTCATTGGCTTAAGTGGCACCACCCATATCTATTAGTTTAACTAATTTTCTTATTCATTTAATTGATCTGGGTACTTTTGTTGATTGGCAAAAACGATGTTTTCAGGCTTTAGATCGGTATGTGTAATGCCAAGGGAATGGATAAACATTAGTGAGGTAGTAACTTATTTAAAGATTGATTGGATTTCCTTAATGTTAAGTGAATGAGATTGGATATATTCATGGAGATTAATGTCAAGCTGTTTAAATTGTTGAATATGCTACCCTTTCAAGTAAAATACAATGATAGTCCTACCAAGTGAAGTAATCATAGAATTTGACGATACCCGCCTCACCGAAGGGATCAAGTAACTAGATTTATCTTAAGACATCCACTTCTGTATGATCAGTTTCGCTCAAGATCTGAATATTAATCTAATAACTTTCACAGCATATGTGTTTGTTAATTCGTCAATAACTTCTAAGACCATTCCAAATGTCCCCGAACATAAATATTTAGTTATCACATATTTGTCAATTTTGTCTCCAATTTCGTAATGAAAGTGGCATCCACTGCTTGAAGAACTTCCTGAGGAACTACTGCTACTAGATGAACTAGAAGAAGAAGAGCTTGTGCTACTACTACTATCTGTAGTTGATCTAGCCATCAATCTACTTTTAAATAGTAATAATCACTTAAGCTTTGAAGTCTCTCTACTTCTGCTTCTAAATTTGTAATGCATTGTCTATGGTTCAGGTGTTTGCATTTCTAAATTATTTTATATTTTTATTAATGATTTTAATGACCTCATACTTTAGGCTTAATACCAAACATTGGCTATCTGACACTTAAGCCTGAACTCTTTACTACTATTCTTGTTACACTACTTTTTTGTTATCACAAACTCTAATACATTTTTTATAACGTACATTCTATTTTTTTAATGCTTCTAATTCAATTTTTGCATTCATCAATTTCTTTTAAGTCTCACTATAATCATGATTAATTTCTTAAAACTTTCTTTTCCATACTTTCATTTCATTATTTACTTCTGTGATTCTCTATATTATTACTTCACTTCTAGTTTAAACTATTAATACTCTTAATCTCTCATTTTCTTACCTTCTAATTCATTTACCTAAATTTAAATTTATATTTACTCTTGTATTATCTACTTTTTTTACTATTTATACATCTTTCTTTTCATATTCTGTTATCAAATATTGTAAATATAGAACTTGATCTCTTCATTGTACTTTTAATTCTTCTTTAGATACTACTCTCAATCTTACAATTTTTTATTATTATTAGCCATATGATTATTGACCACAATGATTACATTATTAATAATAATTCTAATGATATCCATCAAGTAATATAGATTATCTAGGAATAGATTACTTTTGCAATTAGTAATTTATGCTTAACACTTTATTTTAATTTGAATTTCTATTTTCCTTTTTTATATCAAAATTAATATATTTCTACTCTCTTTGTTCTATATTCTTTTGTCTTGTTCAATTAAACAAAATTTATAGTACATGTTCACTTTATAGAAGAGTTATTTATTTTCTTTCTTCTACAAACGATTCTTGTATAGTTTGTATAAAATTATTCTAATATTCAATATTTATTTCTTTAATTAATTTATGGATAAAGTAGAGTCTGAATGTGTCCTCTGTGTTTAAGATGCTGAAATCATAGCATTAGGGCATTGCAATCATAAAACATTCTGTTATTAATGTATGATCAAAATGAGAGTCATCAGCAAAATTAAAACATGTCCCATATGCAAACAAACTTTAGATAAAATTATTCTTACAGATAACTTACAAACTTAATTCACTGATTATTCTATCAATTAATTACTCTCCATCAATTATTCAGTATACATTTTTATCTATATATTTTCTAGAAAGATTCAAAAGATGTATTCTTTACAGATTCTTAAGTCATCAAAAATAAAATTGAAAGTTTAAACAATTTTAAATGTCCAATTACAGACTGTCAATATGATTAATAAATTAACAACTTCAATCAATTGAAATTACACTTAAAAATAGAACATATGCGTTTTTATTGGTATATTATTCAATTCTATATTCTTAGTGATGTTTGTGTAGAACAAAAAACTTGTTTTTTAGCAGAATAATAATTATACACAGAATATTAAGTTAGACATCATATTAATTATGGTGATATTGATGAAGATTCTAATATCATCTTTAAACATCCATATTGTAAGTTTTGTAAAAAACATTTTTATGATGAAGACAAATTTAAATAACATTTAAATCTTGCTCATATTAATTGTAGCTTATGTGAAGATAAGAAATTCACTTTTTATAAAGATCATGGAAGTTATGAAAAACATCTAAAATTATCACATTATTTATGTGAAGAACCAGAATGTAAATAAATGTTAATTGTTTATAAAACATCTGGAGAATTAGATTTACATAAATAATAAAGTCATTGTAATGATCCTAGAATTAAAAAAATATCTAATTTAAATGTGTAACAATTTGCAGGATTTTATGAAGATCCTAAATAAAAAAAATAACTTAATGATAAAGAAGGTGAAGATTTTACAGATCAATTCATTTCACTTGAAAAAACTAAATTAAGAGCTGTCATGTAAATTGATGAACATAAAGATGAAGCTATTGATTTTAGAGATTACATGTATGTAGACTATAATGATGAGTAAGATAAACTTAATGATTAGAGTGAAAAAATGCATGCATAATAAAATATTAATCTAGAAGATTTATAATTAATTAAACCCCACACACTTCCACATATGAAATTTCAATCATTTTTGTCAAAATGTGCTTAATTCTTTAAAGGTCAAAAAAATAAAGAAGAATTACTAAGAAAATAAATTTAACTTTTTGAATCTGAAAAAATTAGTGCTGAAAATTTCGTAAGCAGCTTCATCAAAATGTTTGAACCAAAAACAGGACTAAGATTAATTACTTTTTATATGGCTATGAATGATGTTAGAGAAAATAAAGGTTTATGGAAAATTTTAGATGATGCTTATTTAAAAGAAATATAAGCACTTCCTAGAATTAATAATCCAATTATTATTATCTGTAAAACATATTCAGAATTATTTATTAAATTATTGAATGAATTAAATAAAAATTTAATCAAAAGAATAGAAGATGGAGATTTGGTTAATTATTAAGATACGATTATGCCTAGAGAAAGAATATTTTAATTAATTGAGGTTTTAAGACATGTAAGAACATCTGAAATGGGAAAATTCAAATTTGCTTTAAATTTTGGTCTTAGCACATAAATATTAGAACACATCAAACATAAAATACTTTTAGATGATATTTCTAAAATTTAATGTAATTTTTAAATACTTATCAATTAGAACACATATTATTTATATCAAATCATGATTTGGTTCCGTTCTATCTTTATGTTAATTTGAGTATGAAGATTTTGAGAGGAGAATAAATTCACAAAGAAAAAAAAGATCTAAATGAATGCGTTTATTAAGAATTTTTTTAGAATAATAAGAAACTATACAGTTTAATTAAAAAACCTGATAATATTGAAGCAAACAGATAGTAGTTTTTATCTAAATAAAATAATATGCTTAATAGAAATGGCATAGATATGAATCCAGCTGATTTCCCTTCCTTACGTATTTCTTTTTTATAATTCCTATAGCTGCTTAAAAATAAGATTAAAAGTCAGAATTAAATTCTTAAGTTAAGTCAAATGAACCCTAGTAATAGTAATAATAAGATAAAAAATCTAAATAAAAATAATAATAAGCACAACCTATTGGTAAATGGAAAAATAGTGGAGCAGCAATTTTTTAAAATTAAGCAGCTATTGATGATTAATTTCCAAGTCTGATTACAAGTAATCGTACCTATTAATTTAAAAATATAGCTGAAACTCTTTCAAAAAATATGAAACCTGATAATGGACAATTTAAAGATGATGATAGCTTTGTGCCTTTAAAAGATTATAAACCTGCTGAACCTATTGAAGATATTTTGAATCCAATTATACCTGTAATTTTGAAATTCTATATTATTAGAAAAAAAATACAGAAATGAAAGAAGTTGGTAAAATTAAGAAAAAGAATAAAACAATTGTCTAAATTTCAGGAGGTTTTAGATGATTAGTCTTATTTATTGAATGATTAATTGATTTGCTTTGGGGATGCTTATTATATTAAAATATTATCAATTTTTCATCATCTATTTCAAAATACCACTTTTTAGCTTGTTTTGTTTTATGCTAATTATTCTTACTTTCCAAAAATTGTAAAATTCATGTGATCTTTAGCATCATTTCTATTAATTTTTAGGTGGCAAATTAAAAATATTTAAATAGTACTTAATATTTCTGTTTTCATTTTATTTTTTTTTTTAAACTATTTTAAAAATAGTTATAATTTCTACTAATGTATCAAATTGGAGGAATTTATTTTTTTAATTATCAAATTATTATTACTATTATTTAAGTTATGAGAAAACATTTTGTGAACATAAAAATTTATATAAATAACTTAATACCAATTTAATCGATTAGAATGCGGATTATTTATTTTTAGAAATCTTCACATCAAAGGCATAGTCTCTTTAATGAATTTCAATTTATTGAGATTAGAACTTTGTTTTTATTCTTATTATAAGTAACAGCAAATATAGAATTTTTGTGTTATAAATTTAAGTAAATCCATATATGAGATAAAACAAATAATTATTTATAAATGGATTTCTTATCACCTGAAAATGCTTGTGGACAAAGTCTTTTAATTCTGGTTGCTAGAGGAAGTGCCATTTTAGCTGAAATTTAGAGACTTTCAGAAAACATTCCAAAAATTATTACTAGCAAACAGTAGGAATATAAAAAATATGAGAAAATTTTATTTGATTTTGAATACTTAAAAAACATCGACGTTCTTGAAGATGAGATTTAGAGAAACTAAGTATGATATAATTTAATGTAGGATATAAATGAATTGGATGAAAATTTTAAGAAATCGTATTTACCATTAGTAGAAAGATTTTATAGATTATTTGAAAGCATCTATTTGTATTATTCAGATTTAATGGCTTTTATACAGGAGTTAGAGGAAGCAGTCTTTATGCAATATTCTGTCGAGACTGTGTTGTAAGATTCAGAAGGGAAAAGGTTATTTGCGGAATCATTTTATTTATATGGATGCATGTTATTATTAATGGATATCTTAATTCCTGGAAAAGCAAGAGAAAAGTTAATCATTTCCTACTATAGATATAAAGGAGGTCAAACAGCAATTGAATATATTAATGAAGTCACTAAATTATGTGCAGACACTGGATATTCAAAAACAGGGACACGGTCTCCTTTTTATCCTGAAGAATATATGGCTAGATTTTAATTGCCAGAGAAATTGATAACAGAAGTCATTAATGCAATAAAGGATGAAGACATTTACAAATTTACTAGCATATATCCATCAGCTGATCATAGATCAATGGCTTTATCAGTATAAGGATCTATGTTATATGTATTGTTGTTTTTCACTCCTTAAATTTTAAATAATAAAAAGGTATCAAAAACTAATTAGAATTTAGGCTAAAATGAGAGAAATTGTTGATAAGCATTTTTATGACTAATGGGTAATATCTTTTTATTTGGGTTATTTTGTCGATTTATCAGAATAATGGCAGCCATATCCTGCTGCAAGAGAAGCAATAAAAAATACAGTCACTTTTGAATATATATAAGATTTAGTGACTTTTTATCAATCTAAACTAACAGAATAGATTAATAAAGTTTAAGAGTTTCTTTATGAAGGATAGATGACATAGGAATATGTTCTGGATAAGATATCATCTTTAATGAATTGTGTTAGAGAAAGTAATATAGCAATTAGATGGATTTTGCTTCATTCTAATACTAATATTTAGAAAGCAAGAGAATTATTAAATAAAATAGATAAATAGGAGGTTTTATAGTTGCTTTTATAGAGTTCTAAATTTGAAAATCGTTTATTAAAAGCTATAAGAGCTATTATTGATAATAAGCAATAGTATTGGGATGAAGACAAAGCTAAATGCGTTGAGAGAATGTAAGAATTATCTGATTATTTTTCTGGAAAGGCTTTAGGAAAGGTAAAAGCAGATGAATCATATATGTAATGGTTTACAGAAATGGGAAACTAAATATAATCTTTAAATTATAGTGATAGTACTCATGCAGGAAGAAAAATACAAAGATTAATTTAAGCATTAGAAGATATCGAATAATATCCTTAAATTTCTACATCTATACAAGTGAAGCATTACTTAAATGAAACAAGGAAAGATTTAACACATATGGTTAAAATAGTCCATATAAAGAGCACTTTGCCTTCACATATTTCATTTAT